CGTACGGTCCAGCGCCTGACTCCAAATTGGACTGTAGAGCCAAGACGTTGGACAGTTCAATCGGGCTCCATCCATTTGATGCTCGTTGGCGGCGGCCTCTCGACGTCCAGATTAGCTGGATCAATGATGCAGCTTTGTCTTAGACTTTACAATCTTAACGCAATCAAGTCTATTTCGACGAGGAATCCGGGCCGGCCAGTCAAGTCGTCAATGATGGCCAAGATGCCCACCCCCTCCCGAGCCTTTGACTCAAACACCCCGTTTCTTCTCGCAAACGTTGGTGGCGCAATACTAACACTGTGCTCTTTTCTTTTGGCACCCACAACTGAACACATCTGACCGCCGCCCCTCGGACAGACAGACAGCCTTGGGTTTTGCCCGTGAGCCGCCTCTCTCGCGTCTTCTTGCCGACATTCCACGCCTGCAACGGTCTCGACATTGACTCTGTGGCTACAGTGCGACTTGACAGACATGGTAGACCGAGGCCAATTCGACGGTTGACCAACTGTTCATCTCGGTATGCAATGCAGGCTGTGGACTTGGCTCCTCGCGTTTAATTCACGGCTTGCCCCCTAGAGCGCGGACTCGATGTAGCTCAAGACCAGTCCACAATCTCAGCCGAACACTCAACGTGGACAAAAAAGCCGCGTCGTAGATTTGATCAACGTCTACGGTGGCCTTTGAAACTTGAAAACTTGAGCTGGCCAGAGCTTTCCAGTGCGGGCGGATAGGATAGCCTTGCTGGTTCTGCCGGCTTCCCAAGGAAACGAAGCGTGTTGCGTTGCGGGTGGTGGCGCAATGGAATCTAGAGGTTCGACCGACGCTTTTCCCGAGCGCCCAATCACAGGATTGATTGGGTTATAAAACCAGCAATGTCCGACCGGTGGTCTGGTAGAAAGGTCGCGAGAAAATGGTATGTATAGGCTATAGCACAGTTGAGTAGCAGGCAAGCGTGAGTTTCCCGGGAAGATGACCACCGAACACTCTGTAGGTCGAGCACTGGCTCAAGGGGCCGAAATGAAAATGGCCGGCGAGCGAGACTTGAGGCTGAAGCTGTTCCCGTTCCACAGATTGCGTTTCAGGGGCGGTTGGACTGCAGTTTCGAGAATCCCCTGCGGTGACTCGGAGTTACAGCTTACTCGCTTGGCTGGCGGTGAATCAATCACAATCAAATCAACTTCCATGACACGTCGTCTTCGTATCTCTTATCGGTAATTGGTGCGATTGATGATGACATCCTGGCAGCGTGTGGGGGAGAGTACTACCCATTTTGCCAATGGCGGTTGGGTGCTCCGTAGAGAGAGGAAATTTCATTGTCCAGTCCATACATACATAATGGCCCTCGAACCCACGAATATGAGACAGAGGACCACGGGCGACGGGGTTTCCCGTCTCGCACTCGGTATGTGGTGTCGCTGTGAATGATGGATGAACCAGGACGTTTGGCCTTGTCCAGCGCAGCTAAAATGTGCGTCGACGCCAGAGGACCGAGGTCTTGCGGTTGATGAATCGGCGATTCTCGTTGCCGGAAAATACTAGTCGAGCCCGTCGACAACGACGGAAATGACGACGGGTTTCCAAGTGTGATGATCATTAATTATCCCGCCGACTCCACCATATCCAGAAGCTGCTGCATCGGTTTAGTTCGCGACGCGCGATGCACAACGTCTGCCGGACCATTTCCTGGAATAGGGTCCAGCTCGCCCGAGCGGCCAGTCAAAGGCCACGACGGGCAGCGGAAAAGAAACGGGAAGACGGGGACGAAAAGAAAAAAAAGTAAAAAAAAAAAAGCCGCGTCGTTAGCGTTATCGTGAACCGGGAAACTTGCCAGCACCACGTCCCTCTGAGAGAGGGGCCGGCGCAATACCACCACACCTTTCCGCTCCAGGGGCGAACAGGCTTCTTCTGCCGGCGTCGCGTCGCTGTCAATTCGGCTCCTCTCCTTCTGGCAGACGGTTGAATACGACATTGAAAGACTGCCAAGGCCCAAGAGCCTTTTCGGTCTGAAGTGTCTGAGGTCTCTGAGCCACGCAGAGCACCTGAGCCCCGGAGGCAAAGCTCATGTGTGATGATTGGAGCCGATTGACCGAAGCGGATGGGCCTTTGAGACAGTTGAGGACCAAAGCGGAAGTGACGAGGCGTTGTCGGGCAGAACTGTGCTCAGCCAAGAAATTCCACATTGCTCTCGTGAGCCGAGGAGAAATGTGCGGGCCCAATGCTCAGTTCAGGGCTCCGTGCTCACCACGTCTCTTCTCGTGCGACTGGCTAGTATGGTCAAACCATAGTGCAAGACATTGTGAAGGCGCATCACGGGAGGACATGATGTGCCACCGCTAATTGCCATTGCTATTGCCATTGGCATGGATATGGTGCGTCCCTGCGGTAGATGTGCCACGTCTCGAAAGAAAGGGCATTGATGATGCATGCCATGGATGAAAGATGAAAGCGAGAGACGCGAGCGGTGCTGGGCAATTGGACTGATGAAGGAAGGAAGGAAGGAAGCAAGCAAGCATCATCCTTCCTCTTGCTTTACACATGGGATAACGGGGGGGGGCGATGGTAGGTCAGGCCGACTGGTACTCTGTAGGAGGAGGGACATTTTGATTGTGGAACCTTGACTTTAAAAAATTTTTTTTTTTAAAAAAAAAAAAAACCACTCCAGACAGAGTTGAGCGCGCCATCGTCTCGTCGTCTGCTATCGACACGCCTGTGGTTGGTCTGGGACGAGAACAGCACAATGTACATTCGCATGGAGCACATGGCCTCGTCCCCGGCATCGTATTGTGTACCTGATGCTGTCTTCTACTTGGGTACGGAGCACTCCGTACCTTGTATCGTGCCACGCTGTGCTCGATACGATAAATGACTCCAACCATTGTCGGCAACTCTTGGGTCATCAATCTCATGTCGAGCTGCGGTCTGCAATCCGAGCTCCGAGCTCCGAGCTCCGTTGCCCCTGCCCCAAAGCCCCGTGCCCCGTCATCGTCGTCATGCCTGCTTGCCCTGATCTTGATTCTTGGGTCACGCCAAGTGAGTAGTTGGTCGTGTTGAACCGCACCCCTCAATCCTGCGGGGCTGCCAGACTGGTTGAGTGAAAGCTGCTCGGGAGCGCAAATGCAAATGGCAATTGAGGAATTCCCCAGGTCATCTGGTCCACTCACTATCCAATGTTTGAATGCTGGCGTTGGAACAAGGACTTGATCACCTGGTTGCTGCTGCTGCTGCCTGCCCACAGCCTGCCTGCCACTGACTACAGGGCACCTCCAGCCAAGCCAACTCCCTGGCTCCCCGGGAGGTAGGTGCCTGCTGAGTGCCTCGAGTACCTAAGTACCTACTTACTTAGGTACCTGGGCAGGTACTTGCTCGACCAAGTACTTCCTCAAGTACCTACAGTAACTAGCAACTACTGCTAGTATCGCGCTTGAGGTCCCGAGGTCTTGAGCGGCCAGCAGCCAGCTGCCAAAAACACGAGGAGATGCGGATGGAGACTTCTTGGACTCCCTCAACTTCCCCCGTGTGGAGTTCCCTCTCACACACCGGCCGACGTATCTTCTCCCTTCAAAGTTTGGGGGCGCAGCACCAAGCCAGCGGTTGCTGTTTTTGTGTGTCGAAACCTCTCCAGCTTGGGGATGCGCTTCAACCATTAATGCCTCTGCCCTCCAACACCCCGCCTCTTCCTATGTATGCCGTTCCTATGCGAGCTCCTCCTTTTCTGCCCCATGACCTGAACGAGTGAGACGTCTCCGCGCCTCGTCTTGTTCGAGATTCTCCGCTGGCCTTTTTTATAATTCGTCTTCCTCCCTCGTCCTCCTCGCCTCCGCGTCCGGCTGGCGAACGGCGAACGGCTTTGCCCAATCTCTCAAGCTCTCTGCTGGCGTGTAATCGCGCCCTCGTGGGCCTTGAGGCGTAGGCCTTGACCTTGAGCCGCGAAACGGACCCGGCTTCTGTCTGTCCGCTCTGGCCATCATCTCAGTCTGTCTGCCCCTGCCCGTCGACATTGAAGAGTCCACGCCGTTGCTAACACGTGCCCAAGGCACGCACCACTTCGTCAACCGCTTCAACGCCATCCCTACATATATTTGCCTGCATACAGTGCTCGGCTCGCCGCAGACCGACGTACGAGTTGCTTGTTTTGGCGCTCGTCCGCAGCCCAACCTCGGACCAGTCCTCGGTACGAAACATCGCGGGGACGGACCTACTGCCCGGCATTGGTTGATTGCTGGCGAGAGACCGAGTACATTCCAAAAACCTGGGTTTTCCCCCCATCTCGTCTTCCTGTTCATCAACCACCATCGCGCCCGGCGGACATCCTGGCGCCCCTCAACGGTACCAGAAATCACAATCCGGGGCTGCCCGGCCCTGGCATCAACAGCGATCCTGCCAGAAGGCGATAGAGCACAGAGCCGGCGACTCCGCTTCCTGGTTTAGGTGCCCGCGCTGGCTGGCCAGTGGTGGGAAGCGCTTGCAGCCATTACGTCGTACACGTCGGCCCCCCGCCCATCTGTTCATGGTGCCTGGTGTCGTCGCGGTGGGTTGGTTCCATCTGGTTTCTGGTAGCTCGAGCGCCTCGTCTCCAGCCCAGTGGCAGGCCAGTCCTGTCGTTGCAGCGCAGCGCATCGCCTTGACGGCGGTCCGCGCCAGCCAACGCCGTTGCAGCACCGCAGCCACTGCAGCCACCGCAGCCACTGCAACCTCGAGCTTCGTACTCGGTACCGACGCGCGCTGACAGATTCCCGTGGGTGCAGCGCCGTGCCTGGCCTTTGCCCAAGTACCTTGGCGTCTTGGCCAGTATCCGGTACAGCGCTGCCAAGTCGACGGTCGTGCAGCGAGGCCGGCCACCACCATCTTTGGCGCCTTGCACCTTCGACGCCGCTTCTACTCAACTTCCATTCTTACTAAGCATCCTGGGCTCGTGGCCGTCATTGCAGCCGTCACCACTGACCAGTGACCACGCACCACACCGAGCCAAACCGCACGGACCACGCGAACCACACGAACCAATGGCGCTCTCACTGGGTCGCGTCTATCCGTGGACCTCGCATACACTGGGTCCGCCTGCGCACCGGCCAATGCCGTGTTCGCCCAAGAGCACTGGTGGTGGTGGTGGTGATGGTGGTGATGATGATGATGAGGGTGAGTGCGATTAGCCCTTGCTGTCTCCTGCTCCTTTGTCTGTCTGTTGTTGTTGTTGTTGTTGCTGTTGCTGCTGCTGCTGCTGCTGCCATGCACCAAGCTTGAATCGCCTTTCGTCCCCGAAAACCGCCCGACCCTCAAACCCCGATCCCCGACCACCGACCATCCATCGCCCACCCATCGCCCGCCGTTCGTTGTTTAGTCTCTTGCTTTTTTTTCCCCCTCCCTCCTGCTGCTTCTCGCTGAGCTTGTCATTGTCGGGCCTGCGTAGTGGTTTGTTGGTCGCATCCACTCTCGCAGTGCACTTCAGTGGCCGCCGGATGGAGCCCTGCCTCGTGTCTCCTGTCCTGCACACACCCCCCACCCCCACCCCCCCTTTCCCCCCTCCTTTTTGGGGGGCCCCCTCTAATGGTCATGGCCGTGTGCGGCAGTGACGTGATTGTCTGCGGCTCCATCGGCGAAATCCACACCTGACTTCGGGCCCTTGCAACTGGCTGTTGCGCCTTGCGCTTGTAATAGTATCAATTTGTTGATCCGTCGCTTCGCGGTCATTAATTATTGCCTGCTGACTGCTTTTCTTTGCTACCCACATCACAGCGCGAGCGTCGCCGCCGGCAGATCCCAAGCGCCCTGTGCCGCCGCCCGCCTCCAGTGTCTCAGCCCAGCAGCCCGAGACGCCGACGCCGACGCCGACGCCGACAGCCACGGACAGTTCCACCATCGCTTCCGCCACATCGGATTCTCTCTCTGCTCCCTGCTACTCGAGCAGCTATCCTTCCTCGCCTCGCCAATTGCCCGCGGACATCAACGACCCTATTCTCGAGGAGGCCGACGTTGGGTCCGGCACAGACTCGCCCATCGAGCCCGTCACGCCTGTGAGCGGAGGCCGCTACTCGCAAGATTCCACCACTCTACACCAGCATTACTACAGCCATTACGGCGGCCACCTGGCGCTGACAAGAGCGCACACGGCACAGAATCCCCCAAGGCCGGGTCCGGTGAAGGCACCTTCGCTGATTCCGCAAACCTCTGCGCCCGCGGCACTCCGCGTCAGCTCCGATCCGGCTTCAGCATCCAGGGCTGCCGAATCAGCATCCTCGCCGCAGACGCTCCCCCTCCAACGACGTGTCACCCGTGGCTCTACTCACAGTCTAAAACGCACCATGTCTCGACTCTTCAAGCGCTCCCACTCCTCCCTGGAGAAGGACAGGGAATACGCCATTGTCGCCGTCCCTGCGTCAATCTCAGGGTCTGCACCGCAATCAACCACGTACCTGAATGGGACTGCCGCGCCGAGCAGCCGCCTCCCCAATGGAAACAAGTCATCCACAACAACTCAGTCGAACTCGCCGCCATCCCCGGGCTCGCCTCTGGAAATAGCGCCCTCACACCGGTCCGTCGCTGACGCCGGCAGCACGCTGCCCAGCGCCGTCGACTTTCAGAAGAAGAACAGAGCAGCGACGGGCCTGACTCTTCGTGGCCGGGCTGTGAATTTTGTCGGCGCGACAATGGGCCGCGGAAACCGCCCCACCAAGGGCCTCCGGAGAGCGAGCAGCTTTGACACGAGCGATAGACCGCCTGTCCCCCCGTTGCCGAAGCACATTGAGGAGGAGAAGACGTACCCTCCCGAGCGACTCCCATGGCCACTGCCCCCGGACGCCGGCACCGGCGCAAAGGCACGTCGCATGAGCCTGAGCCTCCCCGACGACTTCACCGTCGACGTTGCCGAACTGCTCTCCGAGTTTGAGTACCAGCACAGGTTGCTGGGTCGGCACGGCAAGCACCTGGGCAAGGGCGCCGCCTCCAAAGTGACCCTCATGGCCCGCAAGGGGTGTCCGGGAGAACTGTACGCGGTCAAGGAATTTCGAGGCAAGTCGAACCGCGAAAGCCAGGGAGACTACGAGAAGAAGATCAAGTCCGAGTTCAGCATTGGCAAGAGTCTCCACCACCCCAACATTGTCGAGACGGTCCGGCTATGTACCGACCATGGGCGCTGGAATCATGTCATGGAGTACTGCTCCGAGGGCGATCTCTTCGGTCTCGTGCAAAAGGGCTTCTTCAAGGGCGAGGACAAGAAGAAGGACCGCCTGTGCCTGTTCAAGCAGTTGATTCAGGGTGTCAACTACCTGCACGCCAACGGCATCGCGCACCGGGACATCAAGCTCGAGAACCTTCTCCTGACCAAGGACAGCAAGCTGAAGATCACCGACTTTGGAGTCTCGGAAGTGTTCAGCGGGACGCACCCCGGCCTGAGGGAGGCGGGTGGCCAGTGTGGCCAGAACATGGGAGAGGTCCGTCTCTGCTCCCCCGGCATCTGCGGCAGCGAGCCGTACATTGCGCCCGAAGTGCTGGACAAGAAGCACAGCTACGACCCTCGGGCCCTGGATGTGTGGAGCGCCGCCATTGTCATGATCTACCTCACGTTTGGCGGGGGCATCTGGTCCCGCGCGCAACTCGGCAACTTGCACTACGACAAACTGGTCAAGGGCTGGAGTAAATGGTACGAGAAGCACCCCGAGTGCGACGCCGGCATCACGGACACGGACTACCCCAACTGCTACGCTCTGGACGTCGGTGTCAGCCCCCCGGCGCTGCGACGCGTTCTCTTGCAAATGCTCAACCCGGACCCCGCCAAACGCATCCTAGTCAGCGAGGTGGTCAACAACCGCTGGATGAAGAATGTTGAGTGCTGCCAGCTGGAGTCGTACGATGACCCCGAACAGTTTATCGACGCGACCAAGAAGGACTACAGCAGCAAGATATCGACCAAGAAGATATTCTGCCACAACCACCTGCCGCCCAAGACGAGTGGATCTCACTCGTTGGGCAAAATGCCTGGCAGTGCTGGCTACTGACCCTCTCTCTCTCTCTCTCTCTCTTCCCTTCTCCGTTCCTTGTTTGTCTAGTCCTTTTCTTTTCACACCAAATGCTTAATGTCGAGTGTGTCGATGCGGTCTTCACATGGCGCGTTTGGGAAAAGGGGGAAAGCACTTTTGACCATGACTGGCGTTGGCAAGGGCATTATTGGCAAGGGCATTAGCGGCTGTAGAGGAAGCGAGCAATCGTGCGAGCCGTGGCGTTTTGGTGTCTGTCGCTTTGCCTTTTTCCTCTTCCTTCTTCTTGTTTTTTTCTGACTCTGGCGATTTGCTCATTGCATTGCGTGGCATTGTTGCTGCCTGTCCTTTTTTTTGGACTTGTATTTTACCCAAGAGAAGAGAGATACTCGGAGCTGTCTGGTTCCAAGGCTGCCTCGGGACACCAAAACAAGGCAAGGCCAGCGTACACGGGACAAGTTTTCTGGTCGACCTTTTTTTCTTTTTCCTTTATTTTGGCTTCAATTTGCCAGCGTATATTTTTGTTTTTCTAATATTTCTCATCATTAACCTTCTCCGCCATCCGCATCCCTGGGTCTTGTCCTCTACTCCCACTCGTATTGCTCACGGGGGTTCCCTGGGAAAGATGAGCCTCCTGGTGGATTGGATCGCACGCATGGCGGTTGTCTGTTTCAGATTTCGCAGTGACGCATTGGGGAAATTCTCAAGCACACACAGTAATGGAAGGGCGGCATGGCAAGCAAGAGACGCGAGGAGAGGCGTGCGGCAAAGTGCCTTTGATTGGATTGCAAAAAAGGCGCGGAGAGATGTGGGCGTAGAAGAAGAAGAAAAAAATTGGCATGCCGGTGACGCTCGTTTCAGGCTGACTAGGGCAACAGTCCCTGTCAGATGTGATAGAATGCAATGAAACGATGGGCGATGCTCGAGATGTTGCGCGTTGCCTCTGTGCGTGCCGCCGGGACATCACTTGTCAACCGCAAGCGTTGGCCATGAATGTAGTGTACGAGGCAGACGACTTTATTGTCCACCGTCTCCGTCCGTCTGCTGTTGCTGTGTCTTGCCTGTTCATGTTTTGTTCCTCGGCGTGTCTGTCTGTCTGTCTGTCTGTCCGTCTGTCAGTCCGTGTCTCAAGTCACTGCCGAGACACCACGTTCTTTCGCTCCGCCAGGGCCTGGGGTCTCGATGCAAAGTACGGGGCACGGAGCACGCATGTCGTCGGTATGCGACAGTGTACTGGCAAAGACGGACCGGGGCACAATGCCAATGGCCCAGAGACGGAGAGCCTCGCGGAGCGAAATGGCCAGCTGGGCATGTACGATGTACGATGTACGATGTACGCACGAGGGTGTCGGCCAGCCCGCCAGCCCGCCAGCATTTCTATCCTCCTCATGGCTGCTGCGTTAGCACTTGCGTGCTCGTCGCTGCCAGTGCTCGTCACTGCCAGTGCTCGTCCTTGCGCCGGGGGCCCGAGTTTTGCATTTCGAAGCGGACAAGCAAGCGGTGGCGGCGCACGCTCGGTCTGCGCCGCGGCAATGGCCAAGGCCAAGCCTTTGTCTGCTTCGTCCCGCGGCACCGCGGTCGGGTCAAGTCAGGCTGGCGGCACGTCCCCTGGGCCCTGGTGCATCCGACGTTGCAAATAAGACATCTCAGGTGGCACGGCGGCGAGGCTTGCAGCGGAACCAGGGCACGGGGGGGTGGTCGGGGGTCCTTGGAAGCGAGCGAGCCGCGGGCGGGCCGGATGGAGGGAGGACGACGACGGGCGGGTGATGAGGATGAGGATGAGGATGGTGGCCGGCCGTGATGGACGATGGAGGATGGAGGATGGAGGGAGGGCGGCGGCCAATGAGTCGCTTGCTTACCGCAACCCTGCTGGCAGCTGCTGGCAGCTGCTGGCACCTGCCGCGCACGAAGCACTTCGGTCATGGCTTCATGGCCTCGCAGGCACCGCGATGCCTGCAAAAATACCTCAGCCTGCGAGGAGCACCAGCGCCGTGTGTGCCTGTGCCTGTCCCCGTCCCCGTCAATCCCCGCCTCGGAGTCGAGATGCACTCCAACTGACATGAGATGGACGTTGGAGCGAGCGAGGCGGCACACGGCTAAATCGGCTTCATGGGGTCCCCTCTCGCCAGCCGCACGACCTGGGCTTCCCCTCCCTCGACGACGGACAGGACGTGCTCTGAATCGACTTGCATGGCACCACTGCACCCATCTGGCTGGCTTCCACTTGGCTCTCGCCGAGCGTACCGCTCTCCAGGTCGTCTCCTGCCCGGGGCCAACGAAGACGCCTGGCAAGTGTGCCCCGGCGGCCGCCCAGCCGTCACGCCGCGCCGCGACGACTTCAACCGAGATGGACTGCCTGGGCCGTGGGCCGCGGCTCCCACCGGAACAGAGAGAGACACGGCAGCGCCGCAGCGCCGCAGTCGCCGAGCCGGTGCCGCGTCGTGCCCGGACAAACATCCGAGATGCGTCCCGCGGGGCAGCGCGCAAGGACGACGCTCCAACCGACGGCGTCTGACTCTCGGCAGCGCGTCTCCGAGCTGGCGGCCGCGGATATGACTCAGGCCGCCGTCCGTCTTGTCTTCATTTTCTTCGCTCACACATGGAATGGACACGAGGCCCGAGTACCCCGTACATGTCCCGGCAATGCGGCACGCCGAGCGTCAGTTGGCCAGCATCGTGTGCCCCCTTTACACTTGACTTGACCATCCACCCGCTTTGCGCACACACACCTTCTCTCGCGTGCGTGTGGATGTATGACGTGGCTGCGAACCCCAGACAGGCGGCGTGACAGGAAGAGCCGGCGCCTGGAAAGAGGCTCACGACGAAACGAGCAACACATGACGGCCGTCTTGTCCGTTTGAGGAATGCAAGTAGATAAGCAGCCAAGCAAGTCACAACTACCACGTAGCACGAGGCCCTACCTACATACGGAGTACACCTCCGTGACCTACACACATCCTTGCCACGCCTGCCATGCACGCATTGGGCTAACCCGGGACCCGGATACCGGCACTTGCTCGCGTCGATGCCGTCGCGTAGCCGGTACCCGAGTTCTGGGGCTGACAAGGGCGGAAATGTACCTCTGACGGCGTTTACGTGCGGCAAAGCAGAGGGGACGGGTGCCCGTACTGTGTTGCGAATCCCGAGCGGGTGTGTGCTTGGAAAAAGAAAAGGAGGCGTGACACTTGAGCTGAGGACCTCCTCCCTCCCTGACATCTACCATCTACCATCCATCTACCATCTACCGTCTGACCACGGCACGAGTTCCGCCGATAACCGCCCAGTCCTACCGTGACGTACGTAGTTGCAGAGCATCGAGTCCCCTTGTTCCTTGTTGCAGGTCGCCTTGGCGCTGTCATGTTCAGAAACCCCCCAACTTCACAGCTCGTCTGTGAATCCCCACGAGGAAACTTAATAGGCCCAACAAAGGAGACAAAGCAAGCGGCTTCACATGCGTCGACATCTTCATGCTGCAAACAACTCCATGAGGAACCCCAGTCGTGCGCAGACACTCCATCCACACGCCTCCAAAAATGCCGTACACGTGGTAAAAGCAAGAAAACAGACAAAGATGCGAAACGTCAGCCTCACGACAACTTCTTCTGCATCAGGTCCGCCAGCTCGTCGAGGAGCTCGACAGTCTCGGCCGGACTGGCGATCCAGGCCGTCGTGCCGACGCTCCGAGCCTTGAAGTCGTTGGAGCCAGCGCTCAGAAACTGGTCGCCGACGTGCAGGGTGTTCTCGCCCCTGATGGCCGCGCCCTGCCGGCCAAACCATTGCTGGCACACCGTCACGCCCCAGCTCTTGTCGCCAATGTCGACAAAGACGTCTCGCCCGCCGTTGAAGGCGCAAAAGGGAACGCCCTTGCGCCCCGTGGTCGTGGTGGCGGGCGACGACCGCCCGGCCGCCTGCGTCTGCGAGCCGAGGTGGCTCAGCTCCAGGATCCTCTGCACCACGAGGACCGTCTCCTCGAGGCTTTCGCGTGCGATGCGCACGTGAGGCTCCGACGGAATGATGCCGACGGCGCGGTCTTTGCGCACAATGGTCGCCGGGAGGTTCATCGTGCGCACGCAGTCCTTGAGCGCCGATTCCGCCACGTCCAGAAGCGCGGCAATGTCGGCCTCGGACCAGGCTGCCATCTCGGGCGTGAGCCATTGCGGTCGAGGGACGGGCGCCAAGCGATGCGGCGAGGACGGCTCGTAGGTGAAGAGGTAGTTGGCCTCGCCGCCCATGATGACGACACTTCTCTTCTGCGTTTCGTCCAAATCGGGCGACGCGGCAATGGCGTCCAAAAGACCATGGAGGCGGTTGTAGTATCCGTCAGCCGTGGTGTAGCCCGCGGCCGTCACGATGCCTATCTTGATGTTCTTGCGCAACAGGTCTGTCCACGCGCGAACCACCGCCCATCCAAGTCAGTCGTCTTTAATCTCGTCTCGGTCTGACACCCGTCCAGCAATCGGCAGCAGTCACTCAACCACGAGGTCGGTTGGTTCTCCCCCCCACCACAAGGACGCACAGAAGACAAGACGAGACACTCACTCACCGAGAAGTCGGGGGATGACGGGGCTCGCGGGCTCCAGACTCTCCCCGTCATCGTACAGCGTCACATCACCATCAAAGGTGGCCAGTTGCAGCGCACCGCCCGTCACGGCCATGACCTGCGCCGAGTTGAGCACCAGCCGCACGTCGTTGAACGACGGGGCCACGTATCGTCTCGACGAGATGTACCGCTTCCTGTCCTGATACTTGAACGCCGCCTCCAAAGGCAGCCTCGTGAAGAAGGGGCCGGCCGTGGGAACGAGCATGCCGAGCTTCGACGGCAAGGGGCCCGCGAGGCTCGCCGCCACGCCGCCCCCCAAGGCCTGCGACTGCGTTTGGTTTTGCTTCTGGCGCGATACTAGACAAAGGCACATCAGTCCGTCCGCCCACGTGCGAGCTACAAAAACGGAGACAACGAAGACGGGCTAAAAAAAAAACGCACTGTGGTCGTCAATCATCATCTCGACGTCACGCATAATCTCCGCGTACCGCCGATGAGCCTCCTCGGCCATCTTGGCGACGCTGGCATCGTCGCCCAGCACCCCCGTCGGCTGGGAGTAGAGCACAAAGGGCACCGCCAAAAGACCCTTGACCCATTCTGCGTCCACGTTAGCGTCGCGGTGCTCGCTCCTGTCGAGAACTCTGCACGGACCGACCGACCTATGAACTGATCCCGTCGATGGGTCTTGAGGGCATCTACGGCGGGCAACGGCGTTGGTCAGTGACGGTTTTGGCCTTTTCTGGTCCCTTTTTTTCTTCTTTCACACCCGGTCATGTATCCCTCCTCCGGTTGGCCCATCAGCCGTGCATGCGCAGACTTACACTCGACGCGGTATCTGGTCGTCATTCTGTATGGGTGAGACTGCTTCCGGGTCCAGATGCCCAGACGCACGGGTAGTAAGTAGACGTAGGCAATCCTCAAGTGCTGCCCCGAATGTCGTGCCAGAAGAGCAGTAGCTGGGCTGGCTGCTGTCCCAAGCTAAACTTCAAATGCAATCCGTGAACCGGCAAGTGCCCGCGGCCGTAGGGAGACGGGAGAAGCAGAGGGCAGACAAGGTCAAGCTCGAAAGAGGCGAGGTCGGGCGGGTGTCGAGATGATGGCGCGGGATTGACAGCGTGGGACGAGGGACGAGGGACGAGCAGGGACGAGCAGGGACGAGGGGGATGCGAGCAAAGTCCAAAGTGACATCCGTCAAGTCTCCAAGGTGGGGCGCCATCGCGGCACTCGCCGGTCCGCGGCCGAGAGGCTTCGATGGCACGTCGCCAAGGCCCGACTCGTCTCATCGAGCGCAGCACGTCGGTTTCTATCAATGCTCTTCTAACAGCTGCCTCCCATCATGATCCACAGTTCAACATCGCTACAGCTGGATGGTTTCGCTCACCACTGGACTACAGAGCTGACCATGCTTCTACACATGTCCCATCCGCCAAACGCCCACCAGCCAGCCAAAGTCTGCTCGACCGCTGTGTCTCTATAATACTGACCAAAAACACCGTCACCATCACGGCGGCACCCGGGTATAACCTCTCTGGCCATGTGTGCGAGAGACGTCGCTGCCGGAGCACTCGAAGCAGCCCATGTAAACGACTGCAGTGATGTCGTCGACATGCTTCAAGTAGCCCGTTCGCCTGTTCCATCGGCTCCAATGTTGCCGTCCCGCCTTTGGCCCTCTGAATCGTCTTCCCTGTCGGCGTCAGGTACACTCAATTCACTATTCTCACTCCTCAAGTGCCGGTCCGCAAATACAATATCCCATCGAAAAATGCTTTTCATGTCCTTTTTTCGAACTCCGGTCCCCTCTTGCAAGTGCATACTAACAACGCAATACGACACAGCACCCTACACTTGCAGTTCATACGTCTTCAGGTTTCTCGCTTAACTCGTCAGCCCACCAGCAGCAGCTTGTGCCTGCTGCTGAGCCAACAACTGCTCCTGCTGGGCTGCCACCTCGTCTGCCTTCACCATGATGGACTGGAGCAGGTTTTGTTCCTCGGCTGAAAGATGACCCGCCAGGCTGCTGTAGAACTGAGGTTGCTCTTGTTGCATTTCTGGGAAAATATACCCGTCAGTGACCCGTAACGGATTATCAAATTGGATACCTCGTCCGGTACTTGGGCTCAGGGTGACGCATACTTAGTAGGGTGGCCTTGAACAGCTGGTAGGGTTCGACCTTGTCGAGAGGCGAGTCCAGCAGAACGCTGTCTTCTCCCAGCTCGTCATCTTCGGCATCCTCAACCGCGAGGCTGTACTTCTGGGCCTGCAGAAGTGGCGTCAGCTTGCAGTTTGCGACCAAAAAAAAAAGGAAAAGACAATGAAATAAAAGGAGTGCGGTTAGGTTAGGGCGCTGCAAACCTCATCATTCAAGAACTCCAGGTAAGCTTTGCTCTCATCCTTGGATTCCAGTGGCTCTTCCTCGTTGTTTTCTTCCCCTTCGCCACTCCAGTTGGCCTCGTTCTCGTCCCACTCATCCGAGTCGCCCAAGTCGTACGTCGTCTCGAGATGGAAATCATCACGCAAAGCTTCTTCGCGGTCTGCAAAAAAAGCGTCAGCCGGGAAACGCCAGGATTTGATGGCGCGCGCAGTGTCGCCAGACATGACCTACTCTTCATAGCATTAGGCAGGGTTCGGAACAGTTCTGTGATGCCCTGGAGCAATCGTGGCCAACCGACAGACACGCTTGCCGGTACCTGCTCATGGCTGACACCCAAGAGAGCTGAAATTGCGACAATGCAGAGCTTCTTGTCGTGCACACGGCTAAACGACGTCATGCTGCCGAACCACAAGCTGAAGAATCGGTTCGTCCAGCCCTTGTTCTCGAGCACCTGGAGGGTCAGCAATGGATTATAGTGAATGGAGTTGATGACCATTTCCATAAGATGAATCTTGTAGCTCTTGATCTTCACTTCTTGGGTTGCCAAGATACCCATGGCCATGTTGATGAAGCCCTCGACACAGTTGTCGATGTGGCCTCGAAGGCTGAGCATCATTGCCTCCGCAAGCTTGCAGGCGCAAATGCGTTCAACGCCGCCTTGAACCTGGTCGGTGAACATATCGGCGACCATTGAGTACAGGGCCTGGACGTATTCGGGGTTTTGGATCAGCTGAGGTGTTCCGTACTGAACAAAATTGTCCAATGCCGGAAGCATATCTTCCAAGTAGTATTCGGCGCCAGCCTTGAAGGTAGTGTGAATGAGCTCGAAGGCTTGCCACATGTTGTGCGAGATACCCTTGGCGGCAAATGTGCAGCTGTCAATGATTTCAAAGACCTCGTTGTACAAATCTAAAGCCTTGTGTGAGACTCATCTTGCAAAGACGAGGGCGCCGTGGGGGAACGGTGTCCCGGTTGACTTACCATAAAGCTTATTCTCCAGAGTCACCTTGATCACAGGCATGAGGACGGCCTCAATGTGAAGGAGGACGTCAGGGGTGCTCTCAAGAGTGAGTATCAGGGTGCCAATCGTCTGTAAGACACCAAGAGCGGTAATGCTCTTATCGTCATAGTCTGCATACACCTCGCCATCTTCACCGGCCTTGCTCTCCTTTTCGAGAAGCTCACGAACGATGCGAAGGTAAGTGTCGCGGAGTTGTTCACACAACGCCACGGCAAACGGGGTGAGTTCGGTGGCGAAAATCTCGACGAAATCCTCCATGACGTTGGCCAGGGCATCAATGTCCACTTCGTTGGCGAGCTTGAGAAGCTGCTGCATAATGGTGGGAATGCTTTGTTGCATGCTGGACCGGATGACATCGTGTCTGATGAGAGGCTGCAGCGCCAAGGCAGCAGTAACGCGGACAGGGAGAGCGGGATCTGCCATGCAATCCAAGATGTGTCGATATATCGTCAACAGATTATTCTGATCCTGGAAATTGAGCTGCTCAAACTTCTCAATGGTGTCACACGCTCGAGCGCGGAGATAGCCCTGGCTGCTTGTAAAATCGGGGAACACGTATCGGACAAGGAAGTACTCAACCTGGTCAGCAATGGGGCTCTTTTTGCTCAGGATGACGGGCGCGAGGGTGGCAATCATGCGCAAAGCTCCCTCTTTGGCTATGTGGTTCTTCTTGTCATCCGGTGCTTGCTCGTAATCGTTGACGACGGCATTGACGAATTTAAGAATTTCAAACGTCTCCTTTCGGCGGTTTTTGGTCAAGTTGACGAGGAAGTTTGTGGCGGCCACGTCAGGGGCGGAGGCTTCCTCGAAGTAGTTGAGCTTGCGATGCAAGTATTCCTCGGGCTCGTCGTCGAACTGTTCTGCGTCCTCCTCGGAGAGACACATGACAGGGAAGATGAAATGCGTAACGAGGTTGGTCAGATGGGCTTTGAGATGAGTCCACATCTCTTTCGGGCGAATGGAATCGTCCAGGAACACAATTACGTAGGAAAGGCAAGGTCGGCTAAGCCACGACGTCTTGGCCACCCACTTCTCGATTTCCTGGAGGTAGTGCTTCAAGATTTCGGGGGCAATGGTGCTAATGAAGTTCTTGGCGAACTGTGCAGCCTCACTGCCCTTTCCAGGGCTAGCAGGGTTTCCATGTCTATAGCCGAGTTAGCTCATACGCAACTTGCATGCCTCGCATACAGAAAACAGAACAAACCGAATGAACAGCCTATTGAGATTGAAGAAGGCCCATTTCTTGGCCTTCCACCAGTGATGCTTCTCACGATCAAACGCGTCACCTTGCATGGCGCTGGCAGGTGCAGCCTTGGATACTGTCTGCAGGAAGACGGTACACCATGCAATATTGACGTGCTGTTGTCGCAAGTGGCCGCAAAGCTCGAGCTGTGTGTCAAGGACGGGATGATCAGTTCAAGGGTCCTCTGGATAGCCAAGTTTGCAAGGTGCCGGTTTCGTCTGAAGCTTGTTCCTCGGGGTGCGGTTTGGCTTACCCATGTCGCATGTTTGTAGGACTTGAGCGCCAGGTGAAGCATTTCGCCGGCCTCATCGCTTTCCTGATTCACCAGCTCATTGCAGATAGCAAGCAAGCGCGGGAAGCTGTTCTCGACAATCGTGTCGAACTGTGCTCGGTCATGATTGTCGTTAGATTTGTATCGGAAAGCGCGGCAAATAGCAAGCAGACACTGAAGGCCAGCGAGGACGGAACTAGGAGTATTCGTGTTTAATAGCTCGGTAGTAAAATCCATGAACCGCGGCCATTTGCTGGGAAAGTCGCACTGCAGGACACGTTGGAGAACAGGAATGAGCTGCTGGCGCACAGCGCCGGCGGAGGCTGCCAGGAGCGGTACCAGGCGGTCTCTGACGCGAGTCTTTTCATCTTCGGGTATTATATATTCGTTGGCATACTGATCGCTCTGGTACCAGGCACGATTGACGCGGTGCTTAATATAGATGACGGCTGGTTCAAAATAAAGGACGGAGCGTGGTCAGCGCACGAGCTCGACAACCTCACCAGAGAGAGAGAGAGAGAGAGACATACTCGACAAGCGCACGCTTGCATCCTGCTCGGCTTGTAAAATATCGAACAGGGCATCGACAAAGCCTGCCTGCTCCTCAACCTATTCAAGACCGGGCAAACATGTCGTCAGCACAGGCACTCAAGTTGATGCTTGAAATGCAATAGTCGCCCTCGCGGCTCCGTCCTAGCGATTGTATCGTGCTTTTCTTTTTAGGGGGGAGGGGGGGGAGGAGGGGGAGAGTTGCTTTTGTGATTGCAAAAGTCATGGATATTTGCCCAAGAAGACCCCCTGGTCGGAAACCCCTTCCCCCCCCCCCCCGATTCGGCGTGCCATGAGTTCATGTCGAAAAGACCTGGCCATCTATGCATAGTTGGACGGCCACAATACAAGCCCGTGATGTGCAAGAGGGAAAAGAAAAAATACAGTGGATAGCTGCCGGCAGCGGGCACCTGGGGTCTCCCGTGGTCATTGGCAGGTAATGCATCACATACCTGTTTCAACTGCAGCTCGGCCCGTCGTCTGTTGTCCGCATCGGTGGACAAGCTGCCCAGGAGCAGGTCCCGGAGGGCGGCGGTATCCATGTCGAGGCTCGAGGGCGGCAGTATTGGGGGGGATGGAGGTCGGGGGTCGAGGTCGAGGTCGAGGTCGAGGTCGAGATCGAGATCGAGACGAGTTGCAAGTGTCGGGCGAGGGTGTCTCGCGTCGTGGGATGAGATTTGCGGTCGGTCAAGAGTCAAGACTCAAGAGGGTGGAGGGCGATGGCGGGGCATCCAACGCTTATCGCGGACGCCTATGCGTGCAGACGAGCGATGGCCAGGCACTTTGGCACCTGGACGCACAGCTGGCAGACGGACCAAATGGTTGACCAGACAGAGTAGAGTGGCTGCTGGCCTGGCCTGTATTATGTCGGTGTATGGATGGATGAGGGATGGTCAATAAAGAAGAAGAAGAAGCGCACGCACAAGGCGGCTAACAAAGCGCAAGCGAAAGCAGGCAGATGGAATGATGGAATGCGAGTGCAGAGAAGGGGAAAAAAATCAAAAAACCAAAACGGACTTCTTATCGAGAAGTGCGGGATGATTCAGAGGCCTTGGCGGCATCTGGGTCGTCGGCAGCAGCACGGCGCTAATAATTCTAGGGGACCAGTAACTAACTGGAGACCTGACAAAGTCAAGTTTGTCGAAGTCAAGCGCCGGGCGGCACAAGCAGCAGTAGTCGATTCGGTGAGCCCTGACCTGAGTGCCAAGTACTCCGTGCCGGGAAAATAATGCTGCACAGGTCCAGCGTATTGAAGTCCACCGAGGTACAGAGAGTACGTGGTCAAGTACCGTTGACGAGTTGCACAGGAGACACCCACCTGGCCACCACTGAGGTAGGAGAGGGAAAAGGGAAAAAAAAAAAAAAAGGTGCCAAGAGTCCGGGGCTTCGCAAGTGCACCAACTGTCAATTGGTCGGGCTACACCGAATCCAAATTGGACCAGACATCAGTTCTTCGGACCAGAAGTCCGGAAGACGCTTGTTAGTTTGTTGTTGTTATTAGGGCTGGAAGCGAGCTGGCGTCGAGGTCTGGCTGGGCCCGTCGGTTGCTGAGCAGGCCCAGCGCGGCTCTGCTGGGCATATCAACACGCATACAGAGTAAGTTACTACTCCGATGCAGAGCAAGCAGAGCAAGCAGAGCACTCCGTACTCGAGTCAACAACCAAGTACGCCTGTGTTTCATCGACCAGGCCACAAATTCATCGTCCGGTCCCAGGCCGAGTGAGGACGTCAGGCCAGGCCCGCGCAGCAAGCGGTCACGCTCACGCTCGACAAACAATAGAGTTGATGCAGCCTGCCGGGTGTCGAGGCGATCGATGCCTTGGAAGCATCCGCCAGCCAGCAAGCAGCAGCAGCAGCAAGCAGCACGCTGCACAAGCTGCAGAAGGCACCGAGTGTGCCGGCCCAAGTACCCCAGTGCTCCGGTACCTGCCACAACGCAGCTTCTATTGCGCCCAGCCAAGTACAAGAACATGAACATGGCGGCAACCGCAAGCCACAGCAACCTCCCGCTGCCATGTGCCATGTGCCTCGGGCCCTGCGCCGCTGACACACACGCATCACCACATCACACATCATGACAGACAGAACATTCCGTCTCTCGCGCTCATCCCCATGTCTGGACATGTCCATTGCGCGCACTCACGCCGCACGTGGAAGCCCTCACGGGAAAAGCCTCATCCACGACAACTCAGATCAGGCATGAGCAGCCGACGTCAGCCCAGCCCAACTGGTATCCCGCCCGGTCTGCGGTCTGCGTCCTCGGCGTCCGCGCCCAACGGATTTCCACAGAAGGACCCCTTCACCCTCACTGACTAGGCCGGACCTGATTAGCTGGCTCCGTACCCCGCCTGCAGTCCGTAGTGTGAGGCTCCGTGTTCCTGTTCCTTGGCCACAGAGCTCCATGCTATGCTTTGCCAGCATCGCCGCCGCGGCAGCCAATCCGCCGGGGGAAACCAAACACGTCTAGACCGGGCTAGTCCGAATCCAGAAATGCCACCGTTACATACAATCTTTGCTGCAAAGGCACCTACCTTAAGTACCTAAAGTACCTGGGTACCTACAAAAATTTGGCTACAAGGCGGCTTGCTGCTTGCTTGCTGCCTGACCGCCGCACAACAAACACCAGTGACCACAACGTACGACGCGCAAACAACTTTACACATATTAACTACATACAACGCCAGACTGTAATGCACAAATTTCTACCTCCCTCTTCTGATTGATTCTTCCTGCCATGTTATCCGTAGCATCTAGCTATTTTCACACTATAATGCACAAATTTTCCCCCACCTCCCCCGATTAATTCTTCCCGTCATTTCATCCCACAATGCCTCGCCCGGTCCTGCGTCGACGTGCCTAGATACAATAATGATGATGATTGAGGAAGCATCGAATGGAGACACCATCATGCTTATACACAGCCTTGATACGTCGCATAAACCGGATTGCTTGTCAGAGGCCCTTTCTTTCCAGCATCTTGGTCAATCAGCCCCCAACATTCGGTACTGCGTCGCCTCACTGGCCATCCATCTCCCTGACCGATATGAGGCGCCATTCGCGGTAATCGTCTCCATTGACCGTATTTGTACGTATGACAGCCAGCGTATCGGATGTCGGAGACCCCCGTCTGTTATCATTTGTCTAGCTTGAAGCGCGTTTGTGATGACATGAGGCTTTGGCTACTTGACTTGTGGCCAATCATGACGTGCCTTGATGAGCAAATGCTCAGGTAACCGAAATGCACGTCATCACGGTTAACGCAAAGAGCGAGTTGCCTCGTACTCAGTCTATTCCTCGGCAGAAAATAATCTTGTTCATCCCCATCGTCCTTTCACCGTAAATCCCAAGTACGTCGCCTGCTCGCCTCCTTCTCCAATCACCACCCAAAATACGTTAGCTGCTTTGCACCGTCCTAGTATCATCGGACCACAGGCCTCGTTAAGACCTCCATATTGAGAGCTCAATAGCTGTCCAGTCTGAATCAAGTCCCATCGTCGGGTGCGCCTGTCGGCTCCGGTCCAGGATTGTGGTCCAGATGCATATATATCTACTCTAGTTCCCTGCACGAGGGATTCAAGTAGCTAGTCCAGCATAACCTGTTGCAGACGCCAAAGGCAAAAAAAGCAATCAAAGTTGTTTTCGCCACAGGAACAACGCATCAAGTCAGATCATGATACTGGCCATTATAGCGACCTCGGGTTGGAATGGACCAAAGCAAAGAATATCCAGATCAGCTGATTATCAATCCTGGACACCGGGCGGACTTGGGCAAAAACAAGAAGCCAAACCGTTAAGTCAAAACACCCAGGTCAAGGTGGTCTCCGCCCCGAAAGCAACACTGCCAGCCAATGCAGGTTTTGCAAACTGGGATTTTCCGATGGATCGCAAGATGGATGGGGAGGGTTTTTCGCCGTGGAAAAACAGGGAATGATATCCGGAATGAGTTTGGTTTGCGCGGTGAGCAAAGCATCATGTTGATTCCCGACAACCTAGACTGTGACGACGGCACGCCATTTGCACTGGAGTCGTTTACGCCGTACTCTTGTCAAGCCTCATTAACCAAAGCGGTCCAGGGAGGAAGGGCAGTGGTCCAAGTTCAAGAGGGATCAAGTAACGAAAAACGTTTGTTGCTATGATGAGTTACAAACATCATTCATGCCTAGCTACCATTAGAACAACGAGGCAATTAGTTCATCTCGATGCATGGACTCATTAGACAATTCCGCGTGGAGGGCCCCGGAATGAAACGTGAGAAATTGGCGGGAGAGGGTCCTCTTGGAGGCATCTGGCTAGTATATACAAACTCAACTGCAACTTACCATGCTGCCCGGACATTCCCTTGACTTTGGCATATGGAAAGCGCGGTGAGTATCCAGGGCCACTCCAATAGGGCTGGCCAAGGTGACCAAGTGGTGAGCTAGTCGTGATCCAGTTATTAGGGCAACTCCTGGATGGACAGGATCCGGGCAGCGAGGCAAGGACATAAAACAGTGAACAAAACAGAAATAGAAACCAACGTCGACGACCATCAATGGCCAGTAACTCAACTTGCGCCAAGAACATTTGCGCATAACATCCGCATGATTCATCCCGGAGTTTCCGCTGAGCCAAACGGAAAGAAAAAAAGACAGGAAATGCAGTAGCCCGCCAATCCCAAATGAAAACGTATAAATAAATCCAAAGCTCGAAGGGTATGCGTTTTTGACGGTTAATTGACAACAGATGCGATCAGCCAAGTGCCAGATGGTATATCCCAAAATGTGAACAAGTCTTTTCTGTATCCGGAAGAAACGACTGGCGAGGGGCATCTAGTGACGTGGTCCAGGTGCTTTGGTCCGGTGAGAGGCAAACTTGCTACTCTCAGAAGCATCGTGTACAAGGAGTATATCCAAAGCCAGGTTATCCGTGGAGCAAATATGATATCAAAAAGCGCAAGGCGCCGATCCAAGAAGGTAGAGTTCGAGTCCGAGAGTCCAGCCATTTATAAAACAGAAAAAAAATTTCAGGAAGGAAAAACAGCGCATAATCACACGATTGGTCACCAAAGTCGTACCAGAGGTAATTGGTCGTGCAAAACAAAAGTTCGGAGTGAAAGGGGAGATGGCGTCTTTCGTCTAATTTTATCGTCGAGAGGGTCGGGTTTGTTGCCTATCGGAATGCCTGTCACTACGACGACTACTTGAGCCACTGGGAGGTGTTTGGTTTCTTGCCGCGGGCAAAGAGGAGCGGGATTGAGGGGATTCATCATACTGTTGTCCTGGGACTGCAAACCCCGGCTGTTGTTGCGGTTGCTGGGATGGATTTTGGCCCGCTGGGGAAGCTGAAAAAAATTAGACGCGGGGCCTTTTGGGCGAACTTGGCTCGCATGATCTCTGCTTGGACGCACCTCGACCATAGAATGGGTCATGGGGTTGCATAGCCTGATACGAGTGGCCGCCAGCGGTGGGGGGAGGAGCCTGGCCTTGATACTGATATTGGGGAACTGGGTATCCAGGTTGAGGCGGTGGTGCCGTGGAATACACTGGCTGCTGGGGAGCGGCTGCAGAAGTTCCCATCCGGCTGGAATAAGGATCGCTGGGGACTGAATAACCCGACTGGGGCAGATTGGCACCAGTGCCAATGTATGGAGCATCCTGGTTTGGTTGATAGCCCGGACGCATCATTGAACCGGGCTGGGCAGTAGTGTACCTCGGGTCCAGAGGCGGCGACTGTTGAGGCTGCTGGAAGCCGGTATTGAAGCCACCGCCATTTGAGGCACCAAAGGGCTGTTGTGGAGGTTGTTGCTGGTATGCGCTAGAAGCACCAGTATATCCAGGAGCGCCAGTGCCAGGGTATCTTGGTCCGTCATAGGATTCACGTGGATATGACTCGGGCTGAAAAGAAGGGGGCTCGGTAGGCCCGAGATGTTGGCGAGACTGGTGAGTCTCGGATTGGCGGTATTGGACTGCTGTTGAGTTAGATGAGGGTCTCGCAGGAACGCCAGTGGCATCTCTCGAGGTATGGATACCTCCAGCGGCATTGCGCGAAGTTTGCGCACGCCTTTCACTGTCCCAGCGCGCCGAGTCAGCTCTCAAATCATCGATCATGGCCTGAGAACATGGTCAGCTTTGGGAAAGTCTTGTCGTTGAATGTACAAGACGGATGGACTCCATGTGATGTGGAAATGTCAAAGCAAAAGGTGCTCACGCTTGTTAGGTTTCTATATGCGGTGATGTAGTATCCTTGAGCGACCTGACCGGTTTCAGGATTCTAGATGACATGTCATTAGAGGCCTTGTATCCCAAATGCACGGCATATCTTGGTCAAAGTCCAGAGGTTAAACGAAGTGGAGGACATGCCTCGTAGTGACCAGGCCGCACCAAGGCATCGTTGCCCAGGTAGCGGCAAATGTCGGCAGAGATGACCTCACGGTCGATGCCGTCGCGCGGCACGAAGTACTCATTCTGCCGAGTCGCGGTGGGCTGCGTAGACGCTCCCTGGGGGCGGGGTTGTCTCGACATCGTGAACGGCAGGCGGGCTATCGAGGTCGGCGGACGTTATCGTCGTGTGTATGTGAGCGAGAGGGGGGGGCGCGAGGGAGCGACCCGGGCCGGGCTCTAAGAGGTGACCAAGATGGTAGGAACAAAGAAACAGAAAAGAGGTCGGCGAGGGTGAATGTGAAGGTAGGAAGATGAGAGAAGTCTGTCGGAAGTGAGGCAGTGGAGGGAAGAAAAGAAACCTGCAAGGTACTTAATGAAGTATGACCTGCACGCGATGGGTCAGCAGGCTGTGTCTGAGGGGCTCAAAGGAATCAAAGGAGTCTGGCAAGGCAGGGGAGGGGAGGGAGGAGCGACTGGTCAGGTCAATAGGTGGCACTCCTCCCAAGTTGGTGGGCGGGTGTGGCAGTTGGCAGGAGGCAGCGGCGACCTTACCGGCAACACCAGCTGGACACAGCACCGGAGAGGCTGGATGCCACTCAGCCGTTTACTGCCAGCGGCTGGAGAGGGGTCCAAATGTCAAGCTGGGTCAGACTGTCTGCCGAGAAGCAACCACAAACAGTCCAGGGACAGCGTCGAGACAAAAAGTAGGACGGGAAGGGGGGGGCCGGGGGGGGAGAAGAAGACACGAGAAACGACGGGCAGGCGACCTTGTCGATGTTGGGCTCTTGGGCTGCCAGACAGCGACAGCAACAGATGACGCTGCCTCTCACGACTCACGACTCACGAGTGGTCAAGGGTCAAGCACTCTGCGGAGCGAGCAACTCGGCCAGGGTACTCCGTGCTCAGGTACTCGAGTACGGAGCACCTGGGTAGAGAGATACGGGATGCGGCCAAATACTTGGCGCCCTTGGGCCATGGATGGACCATGGTCCGTGGATGACAGGATTTGTCCACCGTCAAGGGTACGAAGTACGGAGTAGTAATGACAGGATCCTGCACCGTTCATCCGGTGCGGCAGGGGGGCGAGATCGGTAAAGTGATTGTCCAACAGAGCACGGGGTACGCCTGCTGCTCGTGACTCCCAATCCGGTTTCCTTCCTGGTGATGGGAATACTACTCTGTTGTGCTCTACTCCGTACTTGGTAGACAGACAGTGGACACAGCGCAGACTGCAGAGATGGATGCGCAGGCACAATCGCACCAATGCCTCGTCGCCTGGTTGAGGTCCAAGACTCCGAGGTCCAGGATCGTCGCTGTGTGACCTTGCTGTGATGTGATGGTGCGGTGGCTGGCTGGTTGGCTGGCTGGCGGGGATTGGGTTGCTGCTGCCTGGGCCAGCTGGGTTCGGTTGGGCTGCACTGCTTCAGCCCAAGACCCTGCGACTGCAACGACGCGACGCTCCGTACGGGTGGGAAATGTGGCCCCAACTTTTGGCGATTTTTGCTGGTCTCAACCGCGGTTGGTTCGCCACTTCGAACCCGAGCGGGCTCGTGGACGACCCTGCGAGATGATTCATGGCCAGGCAATAATAGTAACGTGAGCTTCTCTCCGGAATGGTCCGTGGCGCTCCGTATCGGGATATGCTTGAAACTCGCTTGTCAATGTCTGTGGATCACACTCGTTTGAAAAGTTGGAAGAATCAGGAGGCAATCGGCACGATATATAACCAGAGTGCCGTATACTCGTACGGCCGCATGAAATCCGTAGTCTCGTTTAAAGGAGTGCCGATGTCCTGAGTCCTGAATAAATGTCTACCCCCGGTCCTCGACGACAATGACCTGCCAAAGGTGGCGAATACTTGACTTGAGGAAGCCAGTACTGCTGAGGCCATCGCCAGTCCAAGCTGGAACAGTGTGTCCGCAAAATACTCCTCCGTATTACGGTCTCCCGCGCTGCTGTTGTAAAACACTTGGTGGCGTACAGTACCCCGATCGGCTGACGTTTCCGACATTTTGTCTTGGAAAAGTTGTGTCACCACGCACAGTGTCGCACATATACATCAACGAAATAGAGTAAAGGTCACACATGTCTTGGCCGCCCGATGTGATGAAGGAAAACTCTCAGGACCAGCTTGGCGGCAAGTCCTCATTGCAATAGTCGCTCGCTTTGAGAAGCTGCGGCGAGATTTATACTCGAGCCACTGCCATACATGCAAGACCTCCTACATTCAACTAGAGAGAAGTTATCGATAGATCTCATCCGAGAATTCCGATACACTCGCCTCGCCCTCTTTTTCGGAAGCACGAAAATGCTCGTCTCAACACATTTGGGCCCACCCTGTGGAGGGGCTCGGAGTGGGCAAATAGGTAAAACACAATTCCCTGTAGAATTGTGCATGTTGCAGTCCACAGAAGCAGGAAGACGTGTCCATCATGCTGCTGATGGACTGTTGTGAAAGTCGTAACTAAAAGACGGACCTGACCTCTGAAGGCCGGTTTGCCTTTGCCCTAACAGGCGTCAACGCCTTTCCAAACCGCATGTCCCACAAGGTTTTGACTAGCCTCGGGCCGCAGTTGGGTATCGACACCTCTCGCCAATTGGAGCATAACACGCCGCGATAACTAGTCGACATCACGTATCGTGATTGCCGACGACTCCACCGAGGCAAATTTGAATCCGTGCAGTGGGCAATGGGGTAATGGCGACATCATCAACCTATCGTGAAGAAATTTGCGTCATTGAGACGGTTCCTGGCGGGAGGCGCGAAATTCTCCAATGTTAAATTGTGCTGTCTCTTACAAAGACCGATCAGTCTTCACGTCAGACCATCAGTCACCATATCACCATTGCTGCCATCAGGAATTCTTCGAGGGAGTAGAGAATGACATCACCTGGTGCGGACGACACATGCGGCGCTGGGGTTCCGGCTTGTGCCCAGCTTTCAAGTCTCAAGCATGCTTAGCTGTTGTACAGGCAAAACGGGTGTGACTCTTGCGCTGTTCGAGCGACATACAGCCAGCAGTAAGTAATATTGTTCCGGTTTCGTGCCCACGGTGATTCGGCGAAATGGTGAATTGTGCCCTGCCCCTGTACATGTTGAGCCTTCATTTCAGAACGCCCTTTCTTCATTGGAGTCGGCAAAAAAAAAATGTCAGAGGCCAAACATACAAATCTGTTTGTCGGCATTTCCAGCCGGCAGGTACGACTTCAGCACAATCACATCGCAGTCTAGCGCCATGGCATCATCCGAATTTGAGCCTCTGCTGTCCCTGTTCCAGCCCTTTCTCGCGACTACGCTTAGGTGCTGCACCTGATCCTTTCGGGGCCGAATTGCGGGAAGACGATGTCTTATGAGCGGGTGTGTACTTGCCACTTTCTTGGTCTTGGATGTCCTTGGCCATATGCCAATCTTCATGGCTCTGAAGCCGTTCCGCATCAACAGAAACAAAACTGCATCGAGCGCAGAGGAAGCTAGCGATTCGAGCCTGATTCTCGGGTGCTTCTCTTTCCGTTGGGCTTGCGGCTTCCTTGCCAAGAAGTAGTGCAGAAGACTGCACATTTTCACGCATATACATGGGGGCATCTTCACCGGTCGTGGCACTCGGAACCTGCCCGTTGCTTACGCCGTCCATGGAGAAAAACCGTTGTATGTCGTTGGTAGTCCGTGGTTTCTTGTGTGAATGGGTGTCGGCCTCACATGATCTCTTCTCTGGGGATGTAGACCTTGCGGAAGCTGCCTCCTTGCCTCTGACTAGGAACGCACCGATTCCCATATTGCCCTTGACGCCGTCTTCAAATCCGCCGACACTGAGGCTGAGATTTGCACATGGCCAGACCTTATCCTCCGCTAGGATTTGAGCAAGGAGATCCCTGGCCAAGTGAAACAGGAATTGCTCGTCAATAATTTTGCCGGATGGGATTGGGCTTTGCCTACTGCGGGTTTGGCCTGCATGGCGGTGGTGCAAATTGATAGAGCGTGGTCGTCGTCGGTTGTCCAGTACGCCTTCTTCCACTAATCGTGAGAATATGTCACCAACAAAAATTCGCAGCCATTTCAACGCCTGCTCCTCTGTGCTGATACTGGGTCGGAAGGACTTGGCAGAGAGCATGGATTTGATTTGTGTGCGAGCGTTGACCTCGCTGTTGTCAATGCCCCGTAGAGTATCGTGAAGCCATGAACCGGTGTCATCACCGAGCTTCAATTTCAGCTGCTCCAATGAAATTTGGAGAAGGTCCTTGATGCTTTGCGTGTTAAATATTGAGACAACTCGTTCCCCGAGTTTGCCGCCCAGATTGCGAATCTTGGTCACCTTGAAATCCGCCAGAAACAGATGCACCGCACGACCCCGGACGACTGTTTGACTGTTGGGCTTCTTGAAGCCGGAGCCCAATTTACTGACCATTTTGTTGTTCGCAATGCCAGCGGAGCATGTGTACCCCAACTTGCCGCGTACTTGTGCACGTACATGGCGCACAATCTCGGACCCAATGAGAATTGCAACATCATCCCAGTCCGGGTCTTGACTCTCCTGATCGTCTTCCAAATCCACCAAGGCATCCGCCTTCCAGTCCAGGGCCGCTATGGAAGGCAAGGGAAGCCTCTCGGCAAGGTCATCATAGGGGGCTGGATTCGACAATTCGGGATACCGCTCCAAGAGTACGGCATGGACGTGAGCTGACAGGTCGAGGAAGACTTCGTCGATGCTAGCTTTCTCCACCTTTTGCAGGTTGGGGGGTAGAGTGTCTCGGATGAGGGCAAGAATTTTCCTAGACTCCAATCTGTATGGATCGAGTGACACCTTGTCTGTGGCGATGCTGGCAGCAGCATCATCTCGGTACGCCCACTTGTCGTCACCTTCTCGCCATGTGGCAACGTGTTGGGCAATGAGATGTGGGCAGAGTTTCTTGGCCTCGGTCACGTTGCAGTGTCGACCGATGCCCCAATCCCGAGCCGGGTAGTTGACTGCGATGAGGCCTTGCCTGAAAATGGCGTCAGCGCATGACTTGGGACAAGCAGAGGTGGCTCATTGCAGCAAGTCTAGTCACCTCACTCACCATTGTTGAACCGCGAGAGGTTTATCCTCGGGAATCCCCAGCCTGACCATCTCACATTGTGCATAAAATGCGTCTAGGTCAATGTGGGCAATGACACGAAGAGGATTTGACGTGTTAAATGATGCCAGCTGGCCAAGCTGTCGATATGTAAACCTTGAGCGCGTCGCCGGCCTTGCATCTGGCGGCGACGAGATGGCAGCCACGGGCGATGAAGCCATCGCTTTAATACGAGTTGAAGCGCGTCTTCATGGTTATCCGAACGCGTTTGTGGGACAAAGCAAAGCCCGGGCTATGCGACGGAGGGCGCTGATGGAGGGTGGTGATGTGATGAATGTTGATAGCTTTGTAAGAGTTGAGAATCTATTGTGGAAGGAACGATGCATCAGCGAGTAGCCCGTCCCCACTTGGCAATGAGTGTTTCTAGTCCCAAGTGCCGAATGCAACTTGAGCTTCAACCAAACATCAATCATACATCTAACTGAAATCGCCGTTCACGTGCGGTTAATAACCCTTTTCTTTTCCTTTGCAACAACAGATTCATGTCTATGTTTGGAGAAGGGCGCATGTTGTTGCCCCGTCGGGTTTCTTGCCAGGTATTGCCGGGTCCTCTCAGTCTTTTCCCGCCGTTTTGCGAACGAAATTTGCCCGTGAACACAATGGCGGCAGTACTGCCTATAACCTGAGCAGGTACTCGGATCGTCTGCCTAGTGGGGTTGTATCCCGTTGATCGTTCCGAGCCTGTCGCGAGCTATGTGGCCTGTTTTCGGATACGTCCAATGCCCGTCGTCGAATTTTACAGATGTATCACCGTCAGTGCATTCTCTGCACTGGAAATACCCGCTGGATAAAATCTAATATTATTTGCTCATGTGCGAACATATTTTTGAGTCACTCCGGAACGACCCCGATAACGGCCACAGGCCTTGCATACTTGGTGGGAGACTGGGACATTGTGATCAAGTATAGGTTAGGCGACGAACAAGTGTCCAGAATAAGGCATGTTCTGGAAGGATGTGGAACATGTTGATCCGTTTCGTTCATCATCGAGGAGGAGTCCATATGACACGGGGAGACTGGAATCAGGCTGTAACTTGCTTCCCACCAAATATCCGACGGGAAATACCGACAAGAGAGGCCGTGTCCCGTACAGAATATATCCGCCCTATTTGCAACAAAATCTCACAACTTAACTCTCTTTCCAACCCCTACAAATCATCGATTGCTCCTTAATAGAATCATCCAGAATGAACTGTGCTACTTCTTTAGCCAAACTATTGACCTGCGTTCCAGATCTGATCGCTTCGGGGAATCATGGTTTGCGAAGCGGCATCTCTGCCCTGCCTGGTATGTCAATATGCCAATATGCCAATACAGTGATTTCATCAGGTCAATGATTCTAGTATCTATATTCTCAAGACAGTGCTGACCTGTCAAAGTCAATTCGGATACATACGAGTCTCCAATCGAGTAGTATTCATCCCGTGCAGATTGTAGACGTGTTCATCAGCAACACAGACCGAGGAGCTACTTGACCGAGGCAGACAATCTGGTTGTGGAAATCCTGTCAGATTCAGTGGACACCGTCGTACCCGTTACTCTCAAGCGCCTCGGGCCCGGACAAGCTGCCATGGTCCCAGTTGGCATCAAAATTAGCCACAAGCAAAGCCAGGTTCGCAATGCTCTGGGACCGTTGTCACCAATTTCGGCGGCAGAGGGGGAGCCAAGCAAGCCAAAGAGCCCGTCTCCGGAACATGCGGCTTCACAGACTGCTTCACAGACTATGCTGCAGACTCTGTGCCTCGTCTCCCCGCTTGTCCTAACCTTCACGCGAGTATATCCCCTTTTTAATTATGCAATCTTAGCTTCGCTATCACTTATTGACATCACCACTTATGCTAATATTATTTACTGTTTTACAGGCTTCTTACCATGCCTCGATCACGTCCCCTCCAACAGCAGACCCGTTCTGCCGTCAAGTACAAGATAATGCTCGTGCGCTTAGTGCTCCCTCGCTGAGGCAGAGCCTGAATCGTCACTATATAACGGGCATCCTTAGCTGAGACCTATTAGCTAGCTATCTTCAACCCCTCCTACTGTAGCGGTTTCTCCCTTCGCTCAGACGTCTGCTGCCTCTTTTGAGCATTAGTAGAGTCCTCCTGCGCCGCCCCTTTTCCTTGGGCTCGCTCGTACTGATCTTAGGCAGCGACAGAGGGTTAACTGTAACAAGGGCCGGTCATAGGGGTCAGGTCTTGGAGCAAATGACTTACATTCACATATAATATCGTGTGGTCCTAAAGGTCCTTGGTTCCTCAATCTGAGGGATCCGAACAACGAGGGCTATATATACAAGATGGACCCTGTGTGTGTAGCCTGACTAGGCAGCTAAGGAGTGATGCCTCGCGCCTTATTGCCTTGGTGCCTTGGTGCAAATAGTGGCCTATGAGGGCGCCGTGATAGCTGCAACCTTTGTGCATTGCAGCTAGTCATGTGGTTGAGGCTTTTCCGTGTAGCAGTTAATAAGAGGAACCACAGCAAAGACAGCTTTAAAAGGCGTCTTTCTCTACAGGATTCAGCCCAAGCAGCATAGCTAATAGCTGCGATTATATTTGCGGTAGTACCCCTCGTGCGCAGAAACTGTCTCTAATAATTGAGTTAACTATTAGATTAGCAAATAAAGCAATGGCGCCAAGAGGTGCTCGCGGAGGCCAAAGGTTGGAGACTCTAGCTACAACGCCTAAACACTAGACTTACTCCATCTCACATGTGAGCAAGTCGTGCAACACTGGTAGATATGTTGAGCAAGAACGCCCTTTTTCTTCTTGACATTAGATCTTCCGGTAATAGAAGCATTCCAACGGGTACGCAGGCCAATCTACGAGATGCCGGGAGATGGATCAAGTCCCATGGAGAGAGTATTTCTAACAAGACACGATTCCAGACCGTGAAACCGGGATCTGGTCCGACTCGATGTACGACGATGAAAGATGCTTTCAAAAGTTACATGCAGAAGCGGGGGGAGGAAAAAAAAACATACAACACCAGGGATTCGCTAGTCGTCTCCGACCTAACTACTAATCTGGCGCTCGCTAGTTTCTCCTGGGAGATCAGACGGGATCCTGAGCTTCTCTAGCGGCTGTGGTCGTATATGCTCGGTCCTCTGCAAGATTGATTTATATATTCACGAAGCCAGCTCATTTCTTCTGCTCGCCAAAGACCTCTGTCGGTCTACATTCATTACGTTGCAAAGCCATGCGACACTCTTTGGACATGACTGATCCGGTTCGTTTGTCGAGCGATGACGTGACTGTTGCAGGGAGGAGACTGAACGGAAGGACTGTCCCAGTATCGTGGGAGGGCATGAGCTCGCTGAGACCCACTTTGGAAAGGGAAGTCTTTTTCTGGGGATGAGTACATCAGGACGTTCAGGATTCAGTACAAGTAGAACAGCTGCGAACGTTGAAGCAACAGACGCCCACGAGGGCACCGAAACAGAAGAATGACGGTGCTGACGTAGCAAAGCAACTGCTGTTCAAAGCTGCGACCGGCAGCCAGTCGGGACCTGAAGACGCAGCCTTATGAGCTGCTGTCTCGGCTGGACTCGATGAGAAGAGATACAAGCCCACATGGGGACTATAGGGTTGCGTCATACAGAGCACACCGCGTTGGGCCGGCGAATTTGGCATCAGGTTCAAAATTCACCGAGAGCAACAACCAAGGAATCTATAATCAAGACCGTCACGTTGTGGGCGCCGGCACGAGCCAGGGCCGGGAAGGAAGAGGGAAGGAGCAGAAAAAAGCATGCAATAAAGCTATGCCTCTCGATGACGGACGTATTGTGGACAAGTCTATAACACCAGGGGAGGCACACATGACACCTTATGGACCGAAGATGTTGGAAAACGCCACCGCCGCAAGCGCCTCCCAATCGGGGGGACTCCTGTCTATATCCAAGACAGCCAACGCCACTGTATCAGGGAGACAGAAGCGGTTTCGAAGAGCGGACAATTGACTACTTTTTGTGCCGTCCTTTTGGCAGTCCACAAGGCGGGCATGTCGCTCCCCGTGATTGATCAACAAACTGGCCGGCGACGCGATCGCAATTAAAAAAAGACGGGACCTCATTTTGATCTTGCTGGCCATTCATTCCATGGCGCCGTGTTGGTCGTGTTGGCAACGACGTCAATGGCACCGAAGCGCAGTCGGGTCAGGGCTGCAGAGGCCCGGCCAGGATTAGCCGAAGGGAAGCAAGCCGGACGTACCGTGGCAAAGCTGCAGCACAGACGTCTGTTAGTTGGACAAATGACGGTGTCTGTGGGTTCTCGTCTCGCGCGGCCGCCTACTCCGTACCTGGTTGGTGATCGAGTGGTCAAGTGGCCTCCCAAGGCGCTTCTCTCTCCTCTGTCGGTCCTGGACTGACTCCTGAGTCCTGACTCGTGGCTGCTCGGCCCAGGAGGCCCGGTTGAGGTAAGACATGCCCACAGGAGACGGCCGAGTCGAACTCTGGAGCCGAAACGAAACAAACTGCGACGATTGAACCGACGCCGCCAAACCCCAGCCGACCAAGATGGATGGAAACAAGAGGCAAGTAAGTCACTCCGTAACCGCCAACCAATGACGCCGAGACGGGTCACGGGACGCTGCCGTTGTGCTGGCACGTGCTGGGAGACTTGGCCTCGCCATGTATCCATGATCCATCCATCTCGAGCTAGCTACTCCGTACTATGACGAGATTGCGAGAGAGCCTACTCATGCGAGGTGCCGTTTTTGGCTCCGCAAGCAAACTGTGGGCAAAATTGGCCTCCTTTTCAGGGCGCCAACTCTCGCAGCCTTTTTTGGGGGGTCCCATAGCATCTACTATCAACAGCAGCGAACAATCAGCGAAGCCGGCCAAAAAAAAAAGAAATGAATGAAAAAAATGAAAAAAAAAATAAAAAATAAAAAAAAAAGATCCCTCGGGGCTGCTGGTAATCGGCCAAGAATTCTCCAGGGACAGACGTGCAAACGTCCACCCGTCATGGCCAAACTCTAATGCTGCTCCTGCACTTGCCGGCCCGCTTGTTCTTCTCGGACAAAGACATTGTCGATGGCGCCGTTTGTCGGTTGCACTGGAAAACGTGCCTGGAAAACGTGCCTGGTGCCCAGTCTCAGTCTCAGTCTCAGTCTCAGTCTCCGTCTCAGTCGTCAGTGCTCACGAACTCGCTCGCACGACGCCACGCCGGAATGGAAAGATGGAAAGATGCAAACTCAACCCAGACACACAACTGGGCTGAGACGAGGGGAGATTTGACTTCTTCCCCGACGCTGGTCATACTCAACTCTGACAACTCCATGTTTGAACGAAACCCAAGAGAGCTGCCCTTCCAAACCTCGGGCGTGTAGCCGCCTCGGCTTCCCGCCTGAGTGCGACTGACTCTGCGTGCGTGCCATGGGCTTCGGTACGCCGTCTGGCATGGTCCATGGACCCTGGCCGAATGCCATCCGCGTCCATGTACTACTCTCTCTCTCTTCTGTCGATGCCATCTGTACATACATAGCTATACATGCAAACATGCCCGGCCAGCATACCCAGAACAATGTACCTGGACGACGCCACAAGGGACGCGAGCCGAGTACGGAGCACGCGGGTGTCGGGCAGGAAACGGACTATCCGGCACATGGAGAGGCGAGGCAGCTTGCTTTCTTGCTTTCTTGCTTGCTTGCTTGCTTGCTGGCAATTTCCACCCTTTTTCGGTCCCAATGGTCGGAGAATGGAGCACGGAGAGGTCCCCTCCCTCTCCCTCTCTCTCTCCGTTTTCGTCTTCGTCTTCGTCTCCGTCCACGCACGTACACGGACAGACACTCGGTAACATCGTTACATACCAAGTACTCCGTACAATGCAGCTGCCAGGTTTCCGGATTGGCGCCGTGCTGGCCTGTGCCATTCGTCGCCTTGGCCTGTTGCTTGTTCTGCGACTCCCGACTCGTGGAATGGTTGCCATGCCCTGGGTCAGCTTCATAACTCGTCTCGGCCGCACCAGCACTTGAAGTCATTTTTATTTTTTATTTTTTATTCTTCTTTATTCCGGCATCAATCAGTTACTTGTCTTGCCTAGCCGTCTATTCTGCTCCCCTGCCCCCCGACCCCACGCTGCATTCTGTCTTCGGTTGACGGCTTTGTCCGGGAAACGATCTGCTTGATGCTTGAACCGCGTAAACGGCGAATCTGATTAACCCAAACTGATACTACTCTGGTGCCGATCAGGGCAGGACACGCAAGAGATTGTACAGTCAGTTGAAAATATCCCGATTTCCTTCTCCACTCCGTGTCCCATCCCCTAGTCTTCACCCGAATGAATGATCGACCATTCCACTTTGATTGAGAGCAGCTGCCGGGCCCGGGGCTATCATCATCTAGCCTTGCTCTAATCTCACCTCACAGACCTCCTAATTCTTCTTTCCGTCACTTCATCTTTCCTACCCATTCGAGTTGTTGGTACATCTCGTGTCCTCCTTGTCGACCTCGCCCGAGTATTAAAAGACGGCAACGCAACGACCGGCCCTGGATCGCCTCTGAACTCACCCAGCCCTTCAACCTTCAACCCTACAAGTCACAACCACGACGCCGCACGACTCTCGTCCTCTCAACTGGTTGCAGGGACTCAGCTGGCTCATGGTGCGTGGGCCCTGTTTCCAGCAACTCAGCCAACACGCCAGACTGCCTCGTATCACCAGCGGCCCTTGACAATGGTTGGTGGTTTCACCCAGAGCGAGCTCGAGGCCATTAGTGCCGTCGAGAGAGCCTGTTCCGTCTTGTCACTCCTGGGCTGCCTCTTCACCATTGGCACCTTTTCCTATTCACGATCGTTTCACAAGCCAATCAACCGACTTGTATTCTACGCCTCCTTTGGCAACATGTTGACGAATATCGGAACCCTCATGTCACGCTCATACCTGCCACACATTAATTCATTTGGATGCCAGTTCCAAGGCTTCCTGATTCAACTGTACGTCGTCAATCTCCCCAACGACCTGTATTCCTGCTCCCGAGCCTGTCAGAATATCCACAAGTCTTGTATCCGTGTGCCTGACTGACGTTCTTTTTCAACCCCCCCCCCGCAACCACAGATTCATGCCCGCAGATGCCTTTTGGACCTTGGCCATGGCCATCAACGTCTATCTCACCTTCTACTTCAAGTTTGACGCCGAACGCCTTCGACGCATGGAGATCCCCTACTTGATCGGCTGCTACGGCGTCCCACTCGTGCCCGCCTTTGTCTTCCTCTTCGTCAAGAATCAGAACGGAGCCCGTATTTACGGAAACGCCTCGCTGTGGTGCTGGATCGCGCCCGACTGGGATGTGCTCCGAATCGCCGCCTTCTACGGCCCCGTCTGGTACGTAATCGCGAGGCCGAAACAAGACCGGGCCTGACGCTCTTTTACTGACATGAGCGTGTCAAGGATTGTGATATTCATCACCTTCTTCATCTACATCCGGGCAGGACGTACCATTTACGAGAAGCGCAAGCAGCTCCGCGATTTTCACTCGTCGGACCACGATCCTCTCTCCATCAACGGCGACGCCATCTCCACCATGAAGACGACGGAGATTACAGTCACGCGCGAGGTGCTGGCCGAAGACAGGGGCATCCAGCTCGCCAGCATGAACCGGAACTCCAATCCAGGGCCAAGCGCCAGGGGTCCCGGCGGAGCCTACTCAGTACACATCTCGGCCGACTCGAACCACACCGCCGAGAGCGGCGACGAGGGGGCGCCGCCGGTGCCGGTGCCGGCGCCGGCGCCGGTGCGAGGACAGACACTTCATCACACGTCCACGGTGCAGGTGGCCCCCCCCAGGGCAGTCACCGTGGCGCGTCGACGCAACCACGAGCTGAACAACGCGGCCTGGTCGTACACCAAGTGCTCGATCCTCTTCTTCACAGCCATTCTCATCACGTGGATCCCGTCGAGCGCGAACCGGGTCTACTCGCTGGTCAACGACAAGAGCGTCTCTGTTCCGCTGGAGTTTATGAGCGCCTTTGTGCTCCCGCTCCAGGGGTTCTGGAACGCCGTCATCTACGCCGTCACATCGTGGTCGGCGTGCCGGGAGCTCTTTGACGACCTGATATGCAAGAGGAGAGCGGGCGTGTCCGGGCCAGTCGACGCGGGGAGCGGCCGCGACAAGATGCACGACGGGACCCTGCGCAGCCGGACCGCGTTCAGATCGCCGCCCGGCAGCTCCCGGACCTTTGCGTCCGACAGCACGACGGAGCTGGCCAAGGCTCGGACTCACTCAGCTGACGGCAGCCATCACTGCTGAGGTGTCTGGCCACGGCCGGGATGCAAGACGAAGGCGCCAATTGATGTTGTAATGCTGTTTCATGTTCTTCTTCTTCTTCCTTCTTCTTCTTCTTCGTCTTCTTCGTCTTCATCATCGCTGTTGACGTTGGCGTATTGAGCCACCACCACCATCACCACTACATGCTTATTTCACGAGAGCCCGAATGAAACGAGGGAGGGTGTGGGAAGCGACGCCGTCTGATGGGCGCGGGAGTTTTGATCCGGGATTCTGGTTCCTTGACTTTGGAGATGAGATGCCTTTTGTGGCACAGACGGGGGAGGGGCGCGCCGTCTCTGCCCGGACAAGCTTTTTCGGTCCGGTGCCTTGTATGTATTAGATGGCAACTGCAAAGTACGTGGCCCACGGGAGCCGAGCCCTGCGTTGGACAGCCGTAACGGCTCGAGTAGTAGCACAATGCGAATGGACCAAGCGCAAGCGCAAGCGCAAGCACCAACCAGCCCGCCTCGACTCGTGCGGTAATTGACGCTGGGCAGAACAGAACTGAGTGCCGGTGGCGTCGAAGCCACCCGGCCAGCGAGGCGGGCGGGCCGGCGTCCGTCTCGCCCCTCACGCGACGTGGCTTGCACGTTGCCCGTCTGTGCGCCGCCCCCCTCACCGCCGGACCGGGGAACGGCCTCGCGCCAGGCGAGACTAAGGGAAAAAATCAGAGCGCAGCGCCGCAGCACGGCCACGCGACGAGTGGCACTGGCACATCGTCGTGGCTAGAACGCCCTTGTTTGTACCTTGTGCCCGGCACACGCGGGCAAGCAGGCAAGCCATTCGCCCCCCGGTCCCCCGTCCCTGTCGCCCGCCCCCTTCACCTTGCAGCTGGACAACCGAGCCGCCAGCCAATCTCGGCGCGGCATCGACACACGAAGCCGCCTCGTCCAGAAGACGCGAGCCGCCGGTCGACGAAACCCGGAGAGCCAGAGACAAAGCACGCAGGCAGGACCCGACGACCGACCGGGCCCCGGGGCATGGTCAGGGGCATGGTCAGGGGCATGGTCAGGGGCCCCCTCCCTCCCGCGGCCAACGCGAGCATCTGTCCGTGTCTGATCTGGTGACGATGCAGATCGGGCTGCCTGTCGGGCGCGGCTGGACTTCCGACTGCGCTCCAGCGCGGCCGGCCGTGATATGATGCCGGGCTGGTGAGGAGCACCAGAGTCCGCTGGCGAGACTTGAGGGGCGCCGACGATCCCTGGGCGTCCGGCGCCTTCCTTCGTCCGAAGTCTGGCTGCTGGGTTGCCTGCCCGTCACGACGACATCGTCGCCGCGTGCCATCGCTGTTTTCCCTCGTCCGAGGACGGGCCAGTGCGTCGCGGCGCCTTCTGTCGATTGAGCCGAGGGGGCCTTGACAGTCGTGCCGGGGCGTGGCACGGCCGGGCCATCTGTCCTTGTCTCACTTTTCGAGGAGCGAGCGCCGACTCGCCGGGCTGTTAACACTTGGGTGTGGCTTGTGCCGTTGCGCACCCAAGTCTGGACGGGGACTGTCACTACGTCATCTTTCCGCCACGACTCATCTCAACTACGTAACTACTTCGCACGGTTTCCCGCTTCGGCATTCATCAGCCAGCTACTCCGTAGCAATTAATCTCTAGTCTGAATCTTCTCCGTCTTAATCAACATCCAATTTACCACGGGGTGCAAAGTTGCTCGGCACTGAAGAACCCCCCGCTCCCCCTTTTCGTTACCCCGCCCCTGCCTGGCTGCAGCCTCCTCGGCAGGGATTTTCCGCGGGGCCGTCTCCCGGAGCCAGGAGAGGCAGATACGCGTGCCACTAGCCGGTCGCTGCCTGCGTCACGCGGGCATCACGCTTCAGTTGGACTTCACCGCTTGGATCGAGTGGTACTCCCAGAACGTCCCCAGCTCGAGACACTCCTGCATGCAGTCCGGGTCCTCCCACCACCAAGTGTCCGACGTGACGAACTCGCCCCAGACCTGCCGCCAGAGCATCCGCCCCACGATGCTCCGGAGCTCCGCCCTCGTCTCCTTGCCTTCCTGCTCCTGCCTCTCCTCGGCCTCCGCTTCGCCCTGTCTGCGGCAGATGCTGCCCGGGTTCGCGTAGAATTTCGTCGTCGTCAGGGTGCTCCCGGCGCCGCGCAGACACGATGCCCCCAGGACCTTGGAGAACGCGTAGCTCGGCGTGAGACACCGCGAGTGTCGCTGCAGTTTCGGCAGCAGGTTGTTCCTGAACCACGCTCTCATCTTCTTCCCCAGCGCATCCGTGTTGGGTATGGGATCGATCAGCAGCAAGTGGTAGACCCCCCCGGACCTGAGGCACTTGTTGACGTTGCCCAGCACGGCCGCGATGTCTGACTCGCCGCAGAGAGACGGCAACGTCGTCGAGTACGCGGCGTCGAAGCTGCCCTGGGGTCCGGGGACTGGCAGGCACGTGTCTGGGCTGTAGATGGCGCAAATGTTGGCCGCCGAGTCGGACGAGAGCGGGTTATCCGAGAGGTGATGGACCGTGTCGTCGGGCCACAACGCGGCTAGGTAGCGCGCCGAAACTGTTGTCCAGGTCAGCAATCTTTATGCAGCGGGGAATCTTTGCGCTCCGCGGGGGTCGGTCAATACACCTAGGCTCGTACGCTGCCAGAATCTTCCGCCCCCCGGCCTGCCCTGGTGGCATTTCGGGGCCGTTGCTCAGCATGCTCGAATCATCCGAGTCGTGCCCGCTGCCGCGGTCTAGATGGTGCAGTACCGAGAGCATCCATCTCTTCCTCTCCCCGTTGACCTGCTGGGTTTCCTCCAGGCTCAGGGCGTCCTCGTCCGACGCCTTCAGTCTTGCCAAGGCTGTCGAGGGCCTCGCTTGCGCCATCTGCTTCACTTCTGCTGTCAGATCACGCGAGTCCGGCGACGGCTCGAAGGACATGTGCTCCAGCTCCCTGGCCCTGAGTCCCGTCACGGTCTCAATCACCTGCATTGCGTTTCCCATTTCTGCAATCGCGTTCCATTCTCTCGGGCTGCGCCACAAGGATAAATCGTTGATGGGGGAAATTTCGTGGGCCGGTTCGGGTGGTGGCCGTATTTGAGACCTCAAGGGCGGCACCAGCTTTGCGACTGGGCTTGACGCAGACACTCTATAACGGACTCTTTGTTAGAACCGCAATACCATGTTCACGGTCGAATCGCACTTGGGATCCATACCTGGATGGCGAGGGACTGGCTACAAACGACCGTCTGATGGGGCTTTGGAGATCAAGCGGGCGCTGCGGGCGGATTGCGGGCCCGATACTCTGCTTCGAATTGCCATTTTTGTGTACCGTAGACGGTGTTTCATCTTTCCTCTTTCCTTTCGTCGAAAATACGTCACCGTCGTCTGATTGTCTGGCGCACGGCGCAATCGTGGCTGATATCTCTGGGGCTCGTCCTGGACGACAGCGTGAGCAAAGAAAAACAGAAACAAAAACAAAAAGTCGAAACCGCGCACGGACATGTCGTATTCACCTTTGTTCTCCGTCGTATTTTTAACGACAGCAAACCTTCTTCGCGCCGCTGAATAATATCCCTCATGTGATGCGGCTTCCATCATCTGCGGGTCGGAGCTCCGGAGCAGCGGACGGCCACCGGCGGCTGGTCTCTGCTCAGCATCTGACATGACGGATGGAGAGCGATTGTTGGAGTGATTGGGGGTCTGGGGCTCAGAATCCGGGTATGTATTCTGTCCCATGGATTCTTTCGAAGACGACGACTGTCGAAGGAGTGCTCTGGTCCGCAGGCGAGACAGTGTAGAGTGGGTGGATGTCTTTGAGCTTGTCGTTGACACCGAGTTTCGAGATAGGCTCTTCTCCTTGACACTCCTGTCTCTGTCCTTTCTCCCGCGATGCTCGCCCACCAGCTCTCGCCTCGGGTCTGTCCAGGCGACATCCCACATGGCAACGCGCCCGCAGGCTGGTCAAACTCGGCGGATTGCGTCAAACTGGTGCGATTCCGCCCACGCAGCACCTTCAGGTGCTTGCCTCTTCTTGATGAGATCAAACGACAAGACCCCCCTGCTTCATTAGACAGTACATGTAAGCACCCCCGGCTTTAAGTGCCACGGTACGGGACGACGAGGCTAAAGCAGGAGCTTGAGGTATGACAGACACTGCTCTGGAGACTCTAGAGACGAGGTTGTGAGTCGGGGCGGCAAGCTCGTTTTGTTGAAAACATTGACAGACAGTCGTCGGATCGACACTGTTTCAGCTCACCACTGGTCCGTTCTCTTTGCTTGTCCTCTCTCTCTCTCTTCGTGTTCATAAATTTTCGCACCTATAATTCTCACTGCTTAGCTCGTTTCGGGATGACTGTGGCCCAAGATTAGTCAGTGCTGCTGGCTGATGACGGCGGCAGAGAGGTCACGTCTGGTGTTCACTGTTGAGTGTGTGCGTGGCGTTGCCATCCAATCGAGGGTGCAAAAGATCAGTAGCACCAGGAATTGATTAGATGCAGTTACCCGCTGCCGTGCAACAAAGAGCTTAAGTTCAGACCAAAAGAAACACAGCAGAGCCGATCCAGGTGAGAAGGATGTGACATGTGGCGGCGCGGCGCAGATGCTCTCCGGCTCGCATCAAGACGGGAGCTCCCGGATCGCAGTGAACGGCGTCGATGCGCAGACTCGACGCGGCCAATCAGTTCTTTCTTCTGGTTTCACGTCGGTCTCGATTATTAGCGAGCTTAATGTTGACGTGTGGTTTGGGGGAGCTGCATGAGCTTGAATCAGACGATTTGAGAAGGTCAAACATGCGACATGCTCACATAGTCATCTGGTCACGTTTTTTGACTCCAAGGCATCAACTTTTTCCGGATTGGGATGGGAAGTCCGATGTATCATGTACACGTGGATGTATCTTTCCACGCAGCGAAGCGTCGTGGCGAGAGGAAAGCAAGAAGAAAGTATCCTGTTGCTCGCCTCTCCTTTTTTTTTTGTTTCACTCTTCCTCCCCTCTTGCTGCCTTGTCCTCGTCGGCAGTGTACGCCGTGGCCGAGCCTTGACTTGCCTGTCGCGCGTGTCCGGTATCTGCCTGGAGTGATGATGTGTGTGCATCTGTGACACGAGCCGTGCAGTGCACGATGGCATCGAGGCCGATCCATGAATCCGCGCCAATCGATCTCTTCGCACCAACTGGCCTTGGCCTCGGCCTCGTTTGCGGCACGCGTTGCCATGGGTCTGTGGCTGGCCGAGCTGGCCCAAGTTGCAACAACAAAAGCGCCTTTGTGCTCTGCCCAGCTTACGGAGTAACTATAACCTAGGTCTGTTTTCCACACTTTGACCGAACCAATTGAATCTCCCATCCGACAATGTAGTACACTGTGTTCCTAGTTCCTTTTCGAGCCTGGGAAACGCCCCAAAAAGCGCCTGGTGGGAGCGTGGTTGGTGGCCGTCGTCGTGGTGGCACTTTTCATGATCCAAATTTGGGCTTCTTTTTTTGCAACAGGGAGCAGGCCATCCGTCGTCCATCACCAGTTAGTTAGTTGGTCGCCCAGGGCCAATCGCCCCCCCACGGCTTACCCGGCATTAGCCTCCAGATGGTTTCGTCTGACCCTTGGTCGTCGTGACTCGTGGTAGGGCAGTCAGGAATCAGGATACATCTCGGCATTCACAGCGTCTTGAGAAACGCAACACAGATCGAGCCACGCACCAATATGGAGGCTCGAAGCCCCCAAGTCAACGCGACTAGCAGTCTGGCTTACCCTGCCAGGTGATGGTTTCTCATGCTCATCACCGCGGCGTTTGATGCCGTGCACCCTTGAGGGCTCTCTTCTCGCCTAGGCGCACCGTGAGCCGTCAAGAATCGCCGGGCCGGACACAGCCCGAGTGGCCAGTTGAGCGTGACGGAAAGCATCTCTACACTTCTGCGGCGTAGCCGAGATTGGCAAGTTCACATGGATCTGCTGTGAAGCCTCGACGTTTGTGATGCCCCATCGACTCCATGTCGTTCATCCGACGATCGAAAATTGCCAGCTGTCAGTCAGCATCCAGCTGTCAGCATCCAGCTGTCTCGCAGTGCCAGACGTGCCAGACTTGTCCACGTGCCCTCGACTCACTTTTGGCTCACTTTTACCCCGACAAGAGTCTCTGATATTCGTCCGTCGCTTTCCTTCCCCCTTCCAACTCCTCCCATCCAGTCCTGGCGGCTCTCGTATTTGCAATGCCACCGACGACACACGCCGGAAAACAACAACCGTCTGCCATCGTATCGAGCCCCTTTTCACACGATACTCCATCCGTCATCATGGAACTCCGCAAGTTCTTCCGTTCCATCGATCTTTGGGTGGCCAACTCCCGCTTCGGGAGCTACTTTCGTCTCGGGGACAGCGACAACGTATGCCGAGTCTCCCAGACAAGCAAGTCCCTCGTTCGCCGTCGCTAATCTGGTCCTCGTCTAGCCCGACAAGATTGACGGCGCAAGCTTCTGCCGCGAAATCCGAGCTGGCCTGACCACCTTTGCCACAATGGCCTACATCATCTCCGTCAACGTCCGCCGTGTGCCCCCTTGTAAGCCTGGTATGGCAGCCATAGTCTAACCATGTCTCACCAGGCGTCTCTCCTTTCTCAAACTGGCGGTCCTTGTCTTTGCGACCTCGAGACCAGACAGAAGTGTGATGGTATCCCAGAATTCAAAGCTTGCAAAGAAGGTTGGTGAATGTGTCACCGGGGCCGTCGCACCGCCACGGCCCAAACAAGCTCGACTGACCTGAGCCCAGATGTTCGACGAGAGCTGATCACGGCCACGGCCGCCATCGCGGGCCTTTCTTCTCTCGTATTTGGCATTGTTACAAATCTTCCCGTGGCTCTCGCGTGAGTGGCTTCGCACGCAGCACGTTCGCCGAACATCCCAGCTGATTGATGCATCGATACAGCCCGGGAATGGGACTCAACGCCTATTTCGCCTTCCAGGTATCTTGATCGCCAATGTTGCTCCCTGAAGTACCCCCGCCTCGTGGTCTGGGCCTTGGCGCTAACCCGAACAAATCCCCCGCCAGGTCGTCGGTGTAAACGGAGACGGCAAGATTCCATATCAAACCGCCCTCACGGCCGTCTTCATCGAAGGCATCATTTTCGTCGTACTAGCACTCAGCGGCATGAGGCAGTGGCTGGTCAAGCTCATCCCGTCCACGCTAAAGGTCGCCACCGGGGTCGGCATTGGCTTCTTACTGACCGAGATCGGGCTCTCCTACTCGGTTGGCATTGGAGCCATCACAGGCGGCGGCCGAGCAACACCACTGGCCCTGGGAGGATGCCCGCCCGAGCTCCTGAGCGCGACGACCGGAATGTGTGAATCCGGCCAAATGACTAATCCCAAGGTTCGAACGTCTTCGTCTCACCTGGCCCCTAGTTTTGTTTCGCGAGCTGACCCAAGGGGCGCGAGGGCCGCGGTCTAGTTGTGGCTTGGCGTCTTTTGCGGCGGTATCGTCACGGCTTTCCTCATGGCATACCGCATCAAGTACTCGCTCGTCATCGGAATCGCCCTCGTCTCTGTGATATCCTGGCCGTACGCTCTCCGACTCTGGCATACAGGCCCCCCCCCAAGGGGCCGTGACCGTCAAAGGCTGACTTGATCGCTCACTAGTCGCAACACACCCGTCACCTACTTCCCAGACACGGACGAGGGCAACTCACGCTTCGACTTCTTCAAGCAAATCGTCGCCTGGCACCCCATGAGCAAGACCCTGAACCAACTCGACTGGACCTTTTCCAGCGGCAGTTCGCAGTTCGCACTCGCCCTCTTCACGTTCCTCTACGTCGACATCATCGACGCCACAGCCACGTTGTACTCCATGGTCCGCTTCTGCGGCGTCGACGACCGCAAGGACGGCGATTTCCGTCGTTCCACACTGGCATACTGCACCGACGCCTTGTTCATCTCCATCGGCGCCCTGTTTGGATTGTCCCCTGTCACGGCATTCATCGAGAGCGGAGCCGGTATCGCTGAAGGCGGGCGGACCGGAATCACAGCCATCGTCTCGGGCTTGTGTTTTCTCACCTCCATCTTCTTCGCCCCTGTTTTCGCCTCTCTTCCTCCCTGGGCAACTGGGTGCACATTAATCATGGTGAGTCCGAAACATGTTGCACAGACTCGAGCTTCGTGACTGAAGGCGGGGAAACAGGTCGGCTGCATGATGATTCGTCAGATAACGCAGGTCAACTGGTACTATATCGGGGATGTATTGCCTTCTTTTATAGTCATGACCTTTATACCGTTCAGCTACAGCGTTGCCTACGGTCTCATTGCGTAAGCCTTTTTCAAAATTCCTCGGCACCCCTCGTAGCATAGCCGTCGAAACCTGGCTGACGTATTCGATCCAGAGGGATATTCGTGTACACAATACTGAACGGCCTAGTTGGAATAATTGTCCACGTCAGCGGTGGACGCATCGAACCACGCGAGTACGACCTCAAAGAGTACTGGACCTGGAAGGGGATCGGTCGTCCACCCTGGTTTGTAAGAGTCATGAAGCGCCACCGTCGGTGCCGCGACGAGGGCGGCAACACCATTACCTCCGGCAGCAACGGCACCGACGACATGGATGGCTCTTCCTCCATGACCCGAGTCAAAACCATTTCGAACGACTACTCCGCCGCAAATGGCGGAGCAAAGATGTGAGATCCCGAGAGGAGCAGTGTACGTCATGCAACAGGGAGCAACACTGTCGGCATTCATGAAGGCCAGCATGTCAAACAATGTAGCCATCTAGCTAGTCTTAAAAATGCAGAGAAAAGAGACATGATCTATTAGCTCGCAGCTCGCCGTGTCATTCGACGTGGCAAATAGAAACCGAAACCCTCGATTGAGCTTTCGCATGAAGAACTGGAAGAGGTATCATACCACGGAAAAAGAAGCGAATCAGCCCAGGCACAAGAACCCGCCGCTCCGAGATCGACGTCGGCATCTCATTCCACATCTCCATCCCCATCTCCGTCCCCTCTCCGTAGAGACCTCTCGGCTGCTTTTCGTCGCTCCAGGCTCTCGTCAACCCACTTGTCCACGGCGGCGTCGCCGCCCTCCCTGAGCTTCGAGTCCGCGACGCCCTTGAGCAGCTCGCCCGCGAAGCCGACAAAGTTGTGCCGCCTGAGAGCATTCTCAAACTGCCAGTCTCGGCGCTTCGCCTCCTCCCTGGCCAGGAGCTCGTCGTCGCCAAATTCGCGAGCGCGGACCCTCAGGTCCCGACACATGGCGAGCAGGTTGAAGCGGATCTCCGTGTCCTCGTAGCGGGCCACCCTCCGGCGCAGGACCTCGACGACGCTCGCCGGGAACGAGTCCGGCGTACACGGCCCGTGCGAGATGGGCGCCGCCTGCAGCCCGTCGAGCTCGTACAGCGTGCCGTCGACATCCGTGTACGCGACAAAGTGGAAGGCGTCCTCGGCCTCGCCCGCCCTCTGCGTCTCGTCCGCAAACGGGCTGCTCCTCGCGAAGCCGTTGTGCACCTCCCTAATCAGGTCCGAGTTGCTCAGCGCCTCGCCCCGGAACTCGGGCGGCAGCGCCATCGTGAACTCGCGAAAGCCACGCATGTGCGGCCCCACGTCCACCTGCTCCGTCTTGTTCATCAACACGCTCAAGAGGGCCTGCGTGGCGCACGCGTTCTGGATCGTCTGGGCCGCGAAGAAGACCCCCTCCGCCGCGGCGTGGTCAAACGACCCGTCGAGCGGTCCGTCGGGCGCGGCATACGGCCCGTCGGTCGGGTACTTGAAGAGGAAGATGACGCCGTACACGGGCTGGAGGGCGACCAGCTCCGACGCATCGAGCGTCAGCAGCTCCTCGAACTGGACGTTCTTGACGCCGAGGCCCTCGACGAGAGACGTGAAGACGCCCTAGGCAGCGCACGCGGCCCCGGTCAGCATACGACATACAATACAATGCGGCTGCGTTGCCTCCCTCGCCCGGGACTCGCCTTGGTGCTCGTACCGCGTCAGACTCGACTGCCGGGGAGAGACCGCCGTTAGCTTCATCAAGTCGCGGGGAGCGTTGGGGGACCGAAGACAACTCGCGGACGTACTTGTGTTCCACCCGCCACTCATTTCTGCGCGGCGTCCGACGGGTTACGAATGACGGACGGATTGACGGGGCCCGGTGGGCGGATTGGCGTGGACGAGTATGTGTTCGGTGTGGCTCGCGGCAGCGTTGGAGGACTCGTCGTGACGAGCTTGACTCGGGTGGGAATTATTTGTCCAAGTCGCAGTCGCCACCCGCTCTCGATAAGATAAGAGCAAGCAGGCGCCGCCAAGGAGGAACTCGAGCCAAGGGAACCTACTTGACGGGCACGGTTCAGGTTATTAATAATTTACTCGAGGCCAGCATCGAGCGCATCTGGAAGAGACCACGTGTAAATTCACACACTTCAAAGGACAAGACGGTCAGGTAAATTGGGTCTCGGGATTCCAGCAAATTTGCCTTCCCTCCCACCCCCCTTCGATAGTCACCTTTCAGTTGTGCAAATTCGAAACGTCCGGTCCAGACTACGGCCAGTTGTGAGCAAAGCCAGCCAGTTTACCGCGACGGCCTGTTTGCCGCGTTTCACGACACCACGGCACCGGCAACGGGCTGACCAGGTTATCCGAAGATGACGGCAGAACCCCTGGCACTTCTATTTTCAATCGCTTGCTGTAGTGCTTGGGATGTGCGTCCCATATTCTGCTACCATTCATTCGTCCCATCTACAGAACCATGTCGGTGCCGAGCCCGTTCCTACAGAGCAATCAAGTCTTCTCCTACAACATGCGCGCCAACATCACCACGAGCCTCTTCTTGTCTTTCGTTGCCGTGTGCGGTCCCTTCCTGTGTCCGGCCATCTGCTGCACCGGCCTCATTGTTTGTTTGGGCCACGTCTCCTGGGCTAGCATTGTTTTCTGCCTCGGTGGCCGCCGCCGCCTCCTCCTCCTCCTCTTGACGCCTTCTTGCTTCTTCGGCCCGCGTCTCTGCTTCCAAGTTTGCAATGTGTCTTTCCGCCACTCCCGGAGCAATGCTGGCAAGGAATAGCAGTCCGGCCCGTTCTGCTCGACGCAGCTGAGTTGCAAACCAAGTCCGGCGTGTTCGCTCAGTCGTCAACCTCGCCGCCATCTGTGCTGGGGTCGTTTCTCTTGCCTGAACAAGTGGTTGCTGCTCGGGAGGGCCTGCGTGACCAGCTGGTAGTTGCCGTCTACGAGCATGATGTTCGGGGGTGGGAAGAATATTCTCCAAGTGTCTGCCGATAGGGCGCCAAGCATTCTCGGCAACCCCATTCAAGATTCCTGTACTCAGGAGAAACACAAGAATGGCAAGGCATATGACCGTAAACCACCTCGACCAGCTCGAGTTTGGAGACGTGAAAAGCCAGACAAACACGGCTAAACGGAATATCAACCATACGTGGGGCCACGCCTGCATCAAAAGCGGCGGCACACCGGCAGCTGGAGGATTCGCTGGGTGAATGGCTCCCTGTGCGGCCTCGGGTGCGGGGGCCTGGCCATTCAAGACCTCCGCATTGGCCGGGTGGTGCTGTTGTTGCGCCCCTTGTTGGTGTTGTTGTTGTTGTTGCTGTTGCTGCGGTGGGTGCTGCTGGTAGTAGTTACTCTGGGGTGTCTGGTGCTGTGCAGCAGGATAGACAAGGCCGGAGTAGCCAGCCACGGTCCTAAAGGGATGCATGCTGTTCTGAAACCCCCGGCTGGGGGTGTAGTACATGGCTGCAGTATGGCTTCGCATGACCAGTCCGCGAGGTCCTTCCGGCGACGAGACCACGTAGACATCCCAAGCGCACGACGGGTTGCCCCCGATGCCCGCGGCGACGGGGGAGTAGTCCGCTCCCAAGCCGGATCTTGCGCCCAAATCCGGCGTGGCACGACCGCTGCCAGGTCTTGACGCGCGAGGGCCAAGCATAGGGGTGGTGACGCCAGGGTGGTTCAGTGGCCTGCCGTGCAGAGAGGCCCCGGAGGCACTTCTCTGCATGGTATCGGTGATGGCAGCCGTGGCCTGGATTGCGTCTGCGCCTCGCAAGATGTTTTGCACATCGTTTAGGGAGAGCGCGTGTGGTTGTCCCGGTGTGCCGGTTCGGATGACCGTTTCGATGTGATGGCTATGCCCATTTGGCCCAACCGTCTCACGATAGATGGTCTGAGTTGGCGCCGGACTGACCAGACCGCCGCCCGCGTTGGCGCCAGCATGGTTTGGGGGCCCGGCCGAGTCCCCGATGCCCCGCATGCCCATGTGCGCCCTTCCCAGCTGGTGCTGCTGGACTATAGCCCTTGTCGCAGCAGCGTCTCGTTGCACCTGGTTGAGCCAGATGTTCATGTTTTGGTGGTGTTGCTGGAGAACGGCCGCGGGATCAACGTTGGCGTGAGTTTGCTGGGCCGAGGCGGGAGAAGGCGTCCGGGCACCGTGGCCTCCAGAGGCAGCGGGCTGAGAATGCGGCCTCCTTGCAAAACCAGGAGGCGGCTGCGGACCGAAATAAATCTGGGCGGTATGCTGCTGCACCATTGGAGCTGGAGCATGAGCGGTAGACGCAGGGCTGGGACCTCGCGCGGTTCCAGGCGCCGGACTCGACGAATGGCTATCCGTGTTCTCCCTCACAACGAGGTGGATGGTTTGTCGTTCGGCGGTCTGGAGCTGTGACGGGACAATGTGGTCAGTTCGGGGCAGCTCCGAGTCGGAATATGACGATGGAACTCACAGCGCTGGCGCCAAAGACGTCCAGCAAGTTGTCCGACTCGCGCAACAGGGCTCTGCCTCGGTGGATCAGGCGCTGGTTCTCGTCGGCCGGACGCAGAGGGAGCGCTTGGCGAATTCTATCCTTGAGCTGCTTGATTGTCGTCACGGCCGGCAGGTCGGGGAAAAGGAGCGGGCCGTTCACGCAGACGGACGGGGACACAATCTTGAGGTTGACCAGAAGCTCCTGGGCGGGTCCCGTGCCGGCAGCCTCCCCAGGGTGCGAGTCCGACACTCCAGACGCCATCGTCGTTTGTCTGGTGGAGGAGTGCGGGCAATGAATGGACGGAACAAAGGGTGAAAAGGGCGAGGAGAGGAGAGGGCGGCGGAGAAGGGGATGCGGCCGGTCGGTTCACAGCTGGCACGAGCTGGGTAAACAGGTAGACAGGTTCGAGGACAGATGACGCCCAGGGTCCGACGGCGTCGTTGGCTGACACTATTCGGCAGGAGGGAGGCCACGATGACGGATGACGGATGACGGTTGACGGATGACGGATGACGGGTGACGGGTGACGAGTGACGGGACGGAGCGGTTGCTGGACTCGTCTCGAAAGGGCCAATGTCGTCGGCAGGGCAGGGAACAAAGGCGGCCACGGCAGCAAGGGAAGAAAGGAAGAAACGCCCGAGCAGCCAGTTGCTTGCTGGCTTGGGTACGGAGCACTCGTAACTCGCGCACGGAGAAGTAGGTAGTTGAGGGCGACCTCTGCGAAGTCTCAAGTTCCACCGTGTCTTTACCGGATCGGCGGTACTTGAGCTGGACGTACCTGCCGGCGCTCCAGACTCCGGCCGCTGGATGGGTACTTTTTAGTACGTACTTGAGTACTTACTTGAGTAAGTACCGGCCAAAAGACACCCGCCACATGTCCACTCGCCCGCCCAGGCTGGGTGCCTGTCATTTTTGGCAGCCAACGTGTGCAGATACGTTCCTGCATGCCGTGTCCTGCGACTCCTGCCTGTCTGTCACCTGCGCACCCAGGCGCCCGGGACACGCGTGACACGGCCAGGGGATCCTCCAACCAACAGCATCGCCGACGACCCGACAAGGCGAAGAAAAAGTCCTTGGATAATCACTGTGCATGCGTTGTGGATGTGAGCTTCATCTCGTCCGAGTACCCGGGTCCGGGGCGAGGCACCAGGCGCCGGGGAAGCCATTTGTCGGCACAGACAGCGAGCGCTCCTTCTCCTACTCCTTTCCTCCGTCCGCTTTGTGTTCGAAAAGCAGTCAGCTCGTCGGCTCGTCACGTGATGCGACTAGACTACTTGATATCATTATAAGTCCCAGACCGTTGAAACTACATTTTCATTGTTAGAAATAAATATACATGTAGAATGCTCTAGACAGCCAGCTCAGCGCGGCTAGACAGCCAGTACATCTACCACTATCTATTCCAAGCGTAGAGAGCCCTCCACATCCGCGACTGGCCATTTCCAGCTGTTCGCATAGCGTCGCTCATCGTCACTCGCCTCGGTGAATCCGGTGGCACTGTCTTGACTCTGATCGCCTCCCGCCGCTCAGGACCCCCTTCCAGCATGCCCGTCCGCTTCGAGTCTCGCCTGTCGTCTACTCCGTACGCATACTGTCCTCAACGAGCTCGATTCCACCGCGGACCAGATCGTGTTGCTCCGCCAGTCAAGGCAGAGCTCGTGTCAGAGAATTGCTTCGCCGTCGAGGCCCCACGGCAAGCCGCCTGCAGTACCCTCGACATGGCGCCGGGCGCCGGGCACGCCCACAGGTTGTCGATCCACAGAGACGTTACGTGTTCAATCTGCGTAAAACGTTTGTGTTTTTGTTGGAGGAGAGAAACGTCGGAAAGTTGGGCTTTTGTACGGCTCTTCTGCTCGCCATCACGCACCAGGTGCATAGAACTCCAGGTAAACAATCCGATTCATCCAAGGGCCGCAAAAAGAGGCACTGTGGAATCGTCTCCCACAGGCATGGAGAGAAAGAGAGCCGGAGAGTGTTGCGTGCGGGGGGGGGGGGGAGGTAGTGTTGAGCCAGTGTCGACGGCTTGGGTTTTATCCCATGATGCATCGTGAGGAGAAACAAAGCAACATCGTGCCTGTAAGCAAGACGATGGAGTTTGCCCCAGCCAGGTCAATGACCTTTGGCGTCCGGGGCATGGGCTACAAAGACCCAGACACACAGGTTTCAAGGGCCCTGAATCGGCGTGCTTGTAACAAAGCTGTGCGCAGCCTCGCGAACTGATCGCTCCCATGACGGCATGCTCGGTGTTGATTCCATGTTCTGCGGGAAGTTGGACCACAGCGCCCCGACGTGGCATATTTAAATGACGAGAGCGCAGGTGGTTGAGCTGGGACGAGTCGAAGACCTAGAGACGGAAAAAAGCATCACTTGAACTTCTCCTTCCCAGACTTCCTCGCTGCTCTCGCAACATGTCCGAGTACAGGAACAGGCTGTCCAAGTACGAGACTGTGCTGGCCAAGTACAAGGCCGTGCTGTCCAAGTATAGGAACGTGTTGTCCAGGCGCAGGACTCCCACGGCAAACATTCAAGATCTTCCAAACGAGATTCTTGAAGTCATCTTCGAGTTTGCCCTGCCGAGACAGCAATATTTCGACAAACCCGAGCTCCCCTTCTTCGAGCGGCCCTATGACTTCGAAGCAGTCCGTAATCTGGCACCTACTTGTCGCCGATTCAAATCAACGGTAGATGACATGCGCTTCCGCTACTTGTTCGCCTTCGATTTGGTAGGCGGCAGAAGATGCTGCGACTCTGACTCCGACTCTCATCACACCAGCCTCAGCTGCCTCTATGGTCTATACTGTGCGCTTCAGGAGAATCCCGAGCTTGGGCAAAAGTGCCGAGTGTTCAGGGCACACATGACGAAGCCCGGAAGCATCGAGGGAGGTCTCTCCTGTCTCGTCGGCATCCTCTCCCGCCTTCCAAACGTGACAAAGGTTTGGATCGATGTTGCGCATGGGGATGTATCCGTGCGGCCGCGCTTGTATCCCTGGCGTACCTCGTTTGCTCCAGTTCTGGGCCAGTTCAAGAACATGTCAAGGTTGACCGAGATTTATCTTTCCCCCATGGACCATCTCGAGATGATCAAGTTATCCCAGGCTCACTGGCCGCCATCAGCAAAGAAATTGCACATGGCAATGCCGACTTTCGGAGGCATGGTGCCCAATAGAAAGGTGAGTGACCGCATTGGCCGGCTCCTCGGTCCCGATGGTGACAAGATTCAAGACAATGGACAGCTGACCAACATGTAGATGCAACAAAACCCGACGTTTAAAATCACATCGCTTTCCACATACATGGTTAGGATGCCCACAGAATTGCCCCAGTTACTCAACGATTGGCCCACGGCCCTCGAGGACTTCACCATCAGTCTCCGTCAAGTACCCCGACACTACCGAATCATTCCTGCCTTTCTCCAACGGCACAAAGCAAGTCTCCGGGCCCTTAGAGTGATAGGGGGCAAGTGTACTTGGTTATTCAACCTCTCCGACTTCACGGCTCTGGAACACCTTACCTTTGACTCGGCCGTGAGCCGACGCTATGACGCGGACGAACAGCCGGTCAGTGACCCGACGGCAAGTGGCATCTTCGGCCCCAAGTTGAACAAGATCACCTGGCTCCTTCGCAGCCCCGATGAAGGGCTAGCCCTAAACCCTGATGCCGATATGGGGTTTGAGGCTTTGGCCCGGGAAGCTCATCGTGTAGGAGCGGCTTTGGAGGAAATACACATTGTCTTGGTCCCAAGAGGAGCATCCGAAGCATCAGTCTCGGCGCCAGCGCCTGTCATCTGTCGCCAAGCGAGTGTTGGCAAAGTCAGCATCTCATACAGTGTGGCCGAGTTGTCTGGCGATCAGAAGCTTGCGCTCCTCCGCCAACAGGTCGCTCCTGTCCCAGGGAGAAAAAGATGCAGCCTTCATAGACTGATATCGAGTCTGTACGACTAAAGGCCGCTCTTGGTACCACCTCTCTTCTTCCACGGCTCAATTGGCAAAACCCAACAACCGTCTGTGCAGAGCCAGTTTGCTATTGGGTGACACTCCGACGCCCGCCCCCGGGTGAAGGGGAGACGACTTGAGCAGCTAGGCGGCTGGGTATGATTATAGCCAGGAAAGGAGACGCTGAATGCGTTGGTTTTCTTTTCTTTTGGACATTGTCGCACCTGCGAGATGATTTTTAGAATAGTAGCACGCCCGGCATATTTGGTTGTCGAGGTTGATAGACTATTTTTTTGTTAGTTTTATTCACACAAGTTGCCCAGTCATAGCCATTAAGCGCACAACTACAAGGCAGGCATTCTGCGTCGCCTCGTCTCGCCTCGACTTGACAGATCATGCCGCTCTTTTGCTGTGATTCAACCCCGATAACTCGTAGGAAGAGGAGGGGGAAAAAAAGGAAAGGCCAGCTACTGACTGGTACTTGTTGAGGGCCGTGACGGCAGGCGTCTTTCTCCACGAGACTGAGTATCCAATTTCGACGTCACCTTTTGCGACAACGTCTGTTTGACATGTTTCCTGGAAAGTGGAACCTGTGTCAATCTCAGGACTCGGAAGCGTATCGGGGGAAATCCATCAGTCTCGTCCCTGCTCGCTGCAGTCGCAAACTTGAAAAGAAGCTGGAACACTAGGTGGAATGCGCTTCAAGTACCCATGGTGAGGTAGAGGATTGCTTGTTTGTGACGGGCATTTTTGAGATCCACCGTTTCTCTGTTATCAAGATGCCCTTCTAGGACGGCTAAAGATTTCTTCTGTTGAATAAGCGAGTAGTCACGTGTGGGATAGTAAATGTAGAGAATAACACTATCACACTAAAAAATACATATTACTACATACACTTAGAACTAAAAATAGTAAATACAACTATATTTTATATAATATTTTGTAACATATTACATTTTAAATCTAATGTAGTGTAGTATAGACAAAACATATATTACTTTTAAAGGTCTTACTCTATACTATTTTGTGTAGTATACTACCTGTAGTATAGTAGGCATTAATATACAAAATAGTGTCACGTTACATATTGCCGCCAATAGATAATAACGTTCGCGTTGTGACAAAAAATCTTTGTTGTAAAAAAGTCCTCTCGTGTGCTTGGATCTACTCTAACAAACTATCCCTGCGAATATCAAAGCTATCGTGCGCCACCAAGCAATCGTATACCACATCTCAAGCTAAGTCATTGTGGACAGCAAAGCAATCTTCGATCTACATGTCATCGAAATCATCAATGTCCCGGCCATCATCTTCAACAGTTCATCTCATCCAGAGTCACCCGCGCTTTTGCGCTTTTGCTTTCGACTGTTTTTAGTGACGGGCATTAGTGGGTTCCGCTCAACATTGTCCGCTGCAAACCATTCATTCAGGACGTCGCTCTGGGGTGTGTGACGATGCGCCGAAGCGTGCTTGCAGTCATGGGCGCCATGGCAAGCGTAGCGGTGGCCGCGTTTTTGAAGGCACATATTGCAGACGGGTTTGAAAGGACAATCTTTAGACACATGTCCGAAGCAGAGGCATTTAAAACATGTCTTGTCAGTGTGAGATACTCGAAGGATAGCGGAACGTTCTGACTGAAAAGTATAAAGTTTGCAAAGATGATTCGTTTGTTTTTTAAGGAAGGGGACATTAGACAAGATAACTTGGGTATAGTGCGGGCGGGAGAGGGTGGCATTCAGACGAAATTTGTCGCCAACAAAACCCGGTCTGTTGGTGCGGACAAGTGAAATAATGACACTTTCAGCTTGAGCACCCGCAGAATCATCTGATGTGCGTATGTCAATCAGATCAGGATGAACCATGTATTTGTTAAACTTGCCAATAAAGGATCGGATGAGTTTTTTTTGTTGCAAGTATGGTGTCAAGATAAGTACGCGACCAAGACGAACTGTAGAGGCGTTGTTCACTAAATCTTCGTAGCGAGGAAGCTTGAGGGAGTTGATCATATATACTGCAAGGTGAGCAGCGAATTCAGCTTCTGTTGGGTTCACAAACGATTTGCCTTTCATTTGCTCCTTGCTTTTCAAATCAATAAGGATTTGTGTCGAGGTGGTGTTAGGCAAATACTGTCGCCACCATTGCAGTGCGCGATCCGCTTGTTCCGATCCGCTTCGCTTGACGACTGTCATTTTTCCAGGGAAAAGGCGCTGGGCGACAAAATCAATGCAAGTGCCTTCAGAGTGGTGGTTCCTGTAGAGGAGAAGGTCCATCGACCCCATGGCATCAACTCGCTGAAGGAGACTAGTGCCGACTTGATTGAAAAATGGTCGGAATTCAAAAAAATCGTCATCTTGCTCGAAGGCAAAATCTTGATGTTGTGTGGGATCAACAGGGGGGAACTGATGAGGATCACCACTGAAAATGCAGGGAATGCCGGGCCATTTGGTCAAGGGTACAAGTGCAAGTCCTTCGGGAATACGTCCAGCTTCATCAACCAGGACAAGGATGGGTGACCAGGTGGGGTGATGATTAGCAATTTCGGCGGCAACAACAGCTGTGACAAGAATGACCTGATGACGTTTGAGCACAACATCCAAGAGTTTGCGAGCTTCGGCCATAGCTCCTGTTTTCTTCATTTGCCAGGCGATGACATCTTCGTTGCGGACCGCTCGAGCTTCCAGGATAGCAGACCATTTTTCTGGATCTTTCTGGGCGAAGGCGACAGCAAGATTGGACCAGGAGCGTGGGTCTGTAGCAGGACCGCGTTTTTGATGACGGGAATTTTCCTTAGCGTTAACTGACGTTGAGAATAACTTGAGACTTGAGGGAGACAGGGAGGCTGGTTGGGGTAGACAATTTGGCGGGACAGGTTCTGTGCGAAAAATGTTGTCTAATTCCAGGGAGTATGAGTATGCGCGGAGAGTATCGCGACTAAAAGGAGGCGCTGACAGTCGTGCCAATGCATCATCTGCCTGGTTGTTCTGTGCGGCAATGAACAAAACGGCATTTGAGATCTCTTTTTGGCGGGATATATCCTCGACTTGGTAAGGTCTAAATCCTTTAGGAGGGTCGAATGCCACCGCCACGTTCCCGGAGATCTTCACGCAGGCAGAGGTCTTAGACGCCGTTGTCTCCCGTGGGCGCAGGGTAGGGACGACGTCCAATTGATCCAGTTCATGCTGGACTGCTGGGTCTAAGGGTGGGAGCATGGTAATGGGGGATAGAGTTCTGTCCGAGTTCCATTCATTGTGCCATCCGGCGTCAGGAATGTAACCTCCGTCTTGCGCTGCAACGAGGATTTGACAACATGCGTTCGTCTTTCCGGTGCCAGCGTATCCGATCAAGAAGACGACGCCAGCGCGAGATTGACGAATGTTCTCTAGTTGAGGTGTAAGATCTTGAGAGAACCGGCGTGCTTCGTAAGTGCGTGCAACACCAGGGAAGCATTCGAACAGATCGCGCATGTGCTCTCGAGGGAATTGTTGGAATGCGAAAAAGTGTTGGAAGAGGGCATAAGTGGGAGATTTAGAAGCGAGACCAGCACAATCGCTGATGGCACGAATTGCAACACGTTCCGTCGTGTTTCGTTGTGCCACTTGAACAATCGTACGAATGAGATGTTCAGTTTCAACATTATAGGTAAGCGCCAGCGTTTCATCAGTGTTGCCTTTGAAGGAGACGACTGCTGGGTGATCTTTGAGATGTATCTTGATGTAGGGCGCTTCAAAGGAACCCGGCCATTTGGGTTGTTTGGGCCGATCAACTTTGAAGAAGACGGCACTTGTAGAGACTCCAAACGGTTGTGAGATTCGCCTGCCGTGAAATGGGAATCCAACGTCGGATTTAGGAACAAGATTTGGAGGCGATCTCTGATTTTTTACCCACTGATAGATGCGTTCCATAAAAATGGGAGCATCACTCCGAGGGTAAAAGTCAAGGGCGAGAACATCTGCCGTGTACTTTCGCAGTTCCTCATTGGAGGCTTCAGGATAACGTGAAAGGATATTAGCAGGAATAGAATCGCATCCGATATAATCAACAAGAAAAGGGACGACTTTTTGTGTGAAGGCTAAGTCAAGAGCTTCACCCTCATCAAAATCTTCAAGGAGATCTTCCTCTGCTATTGGTTCAGCTTTACCAGAGTCATCATAAACATTAGTGCTCCTGTGTTTAGCACTGCTGTTCATATGCTCTTGTCTCAATTGAGCCACACGCACTTGAGAATGTCTGGCAAACGCACAGCATTGTCCGTAAATAAACTCTGCAATGCGCTTGATTGTAGCCGGCGTTCGGTCAACGTCAGGGGACTTATGCAAGTCTTGGCGAACGTCCAAGTACAATGTGACGCGCTCGTCTACATTAGGCATAAGGAGGTGAGAATGCTTTGTTGGTTTGTGAACGACCAGGAAGGAGATAGGTTCGTTGTCTGCTGTAACGCCGTAACGAGTGAAGTCGTCAGGTGCTGGTGACCATAAGCTATTGGGAAAGGGGATAATGCAAGTGTGAAATGTGATGTCATTGCGCATTCGGGAGAGAATGTTTTCCATAGCTATGGCATCGAACAAGGAGACAATGTGTGTGGTAACGTAATGATGGACGTCAGTGAATGTGAAACAAGGGCCAACAGGTTTCAGAGGTCGGTCGGCGCTATCAACATCAACAGTAGTGTGATCAAGTTGCGTGATGTTTTGGGCACCACCAAGGAAAACCGAAAAAGGGTTGCAAGAGTCGTCTTTCATATTGAACTCGAATTCCCAATGATCTGGCCAGTGACTTGGTGCAGGCAGGAGGAATGACCATGTAACATGGGATGATTTCTTCTCGACGCGATCGATGAGGTCATTGATCGTTTGCATGATTGCGTTTTGAGTGTCTGAAAGACATTCTGATTGCCACAGATCAGAAGACTTGCGAATGGCGTGACCGATTTGAGTGGTTGTCAATTGCAGATGGACCACTCCCGGACTGGTGTGCTCCAGAAAGTGTTCATCAGGAAGTTCACTATTGTTCGACGATTCGGGAAATTCTGTAGAGGAATTTGATTCCTGTGAAGTGTTCCGCAGCATGTTGTCCAAGAGATCAATGGTCGTTCTAGTGTCAAACAACTTGCTGGTCAATTTGGCGTTGCTCAAGGGAATGCCAACCGTTGCAAGTCGGAATTCCTGACCATCCTGTCGGATCACGAATGCAAGGGTGATCTGATTGGCAACGTATGGGCCGATCGCAAGTTGAAATTGGACTCGCAAACCTGGAGCGCAACCTCTGCCCAATTGGCGTATAGCGTCAGTTGGGGTGTGACGCAGTAGGTGGTCCTCATAAAGGAGAACATATTCAGGCTGGCCATGGAAACACAGACGACGTAGTTCGTCAATTGGAGACGAGATGTGACTGCTCTCTTGGTCATGCTGGTCCTCGACCTCATTTGTGACCGAGTTGGCTGGGTCACTGGGGCGCGAAGTCATGTCAAGGTCGTTCATCGTTGCGTTGTCAGAGGGTTCGACCTGTGGTGCCAACGTAGGGGATCTGGGCTCGTAATTGGGGCAATCCCGAAGAAATGATCTGACAGTTGAGGTGATTGGAAATGGAGATAAAATGAGGTATAAGAGAGAAAAGGTAAGGAGGTAAAAGAAGAGAGAGAAGCGTGGGAAGCAATGCAAGATCTCATGTGGGCGATACAGCTGTCAACAGCTGTCAACAGCTGTGTGAAGCTGGGAGCAGGTAAGTGAGGCAAAAGATACGTAGATGTGAACAACAGAGTACTTGCTAGGGTGTACTTTTTGTGGGTAATACAGGTGCAGCCAGTTGGGAACAGTTGGCAGCGAAGTCTGAAGAAAGAGTGGAAAGTATCCTTTCAAACAATAAATTTTGCCATGGCCGTTTGTGAGCAGCAGTCCTAGGGGGGTTAGCATGTTTCGTAGCTTGTACAACAGGATCCAAATGTTCAGTACTCATCTGAGGTCGCCATTTCAAGTAGGTTGGAAGGAGGATATTATATCGCAAGAATCTTTTCGAGGACAGGGAAGGGTCCTAGGCGTCGATGGGAAAAGCTTAGTCTGATTGTCAAGGTGATATAGCCATCATGTCCTAGCTTCGCCAATTTGACATAATACAAAAAGGTATAAAATAATCCCCGGTTGGGTACCTATAGATGTCACTTGCGATATTTGTCGATACTCAGGTAGTTAAAAGACGCAATATCTCATAGTACAATCCTATCCGTCTGGACCTAAGGATGTACCGGTATCTTAATTTTAGACCTGTGGGTACTCATTTTGACACCTTATGTAACAGCAACCAAATAATCAACGTGTAATTCAGCTGGAGGAGTGTGTTTTTCGTCGTAGTAGATCTTCATGCGGGCGACTGCAAACTGCGTTGCGTCCCAAGCATCGCGATGATGCTGCGTTAAGTGGTGCCATGGTCAGCTCCAGAAGATGCAGGAGGCTAAATTGCTACCATGTGAGGTATCGTGACAGAGCAAGAATGACAATACAGGGGCTGAAGACACACGCAAGCTTCATAGCAGAGCAACTGATCAATCAAGGTAGACGAAGAAAGTGTGTATGAAGTTGCCTTCTACACTTACACCTGAACCGTGGGGTAACCTTTTTGAAGGGATGCAGCACGTGATGTGGTACCAGAGACTGTGACGGCTGGCCGCTTGCTTTCTGTCACCCGAAGCCGACTGGACAGACTCCACTCTTGGCTTGGCAATAACTTCATGTCACCCGTCCCTCATGACTTTTGTTCCGAGCCAAGCCCCCCAGGTCCTGCGAATTGCCGCCGGGGCTTCATCCAATTCAATGCCAACCATCTAGCCTCGCCAATTTCCTCGCTCCTCAGTTGATCGAGTCCACGACATTCGAAACACCTCTCCCTCCCGTCCACCACAATGATGGCGGCTCTGGGAGTTGGCTCCGGCCAGCTCCTGCGACGCCATGCCCTGGCCAACATCCGCGGACGATGCTCCAGATGCGCAGACCAGCATGTGACGACGCTCATGCTGAGCTCCAAATACCCTCTGCGAACGCCGATTGCCACGCGAAACTTCTCGTCGCGATCCGGCAGACGCCCCAGGTTCTCCCAGCGCCTGGGCGAGGCACTCCGGAACAGCAAGATTACTTGGTATCACATCCCTGTTGGCGTGGGCATCGGTTTTCTCGGTCTGGTGCAGTTCTACAAAGTCACTGCCAGGGAGCAGGAGAAGCGACGGCGGGAAGAGGGCGGTGTGCCTACAGAGCAGCCAAAAAGGCGTCATAGGATCCGACCCGACGGGCCATGGTATGCAAATCGTCACCCTGTATCGCTCTTGTCTCTCGCGACGAAGCTAACACGATGTCGCACCCCAGGCAAGTCCAAGTAATGTCGACTTTGCCTCTCAAGGCCATCTCGCGGCTTTGGGGCAAGTTCAACGAACTGACCATCCCGTACTACCTGCGCGTGCCCGGATTCAAGCTCTACTCCTTTATATTCGGCGTCAAGTGAGTCCCTTGGCTGTCCAAGACTTCATGAATTACTTCTTAGCCCTCGCAAATTTCTAATCTCAGTCCAAAGCCTTGAAGAGGTATCCGAACCTGATCTACACGCTTACCCAAACCTGGCTGCCTTCTTCTACCGCACGCTCAAACCGGGTGCGAGACCTCTCGATCCCGACAGCCGCGCCTTGCTCTCCCCGGCGGACGGTAAAATCCTGCAGTATGGACGAATAGAGGGCGGAGATATCGAGCAGGTCAAGGGGATGACGTATAGCGTCGATGCGTTGCTGGGCAAGAACTCGCCCACCGCCAGCATCGCCTCGGGCCAAAGCTCTGCATCTGCCCAAAGCGGCGGCAGTGTAGCCCACGGAGACGAGGAAATCGTCAAGCAGGAGGAGGAATTTGCCAAGATGAACGGCATTTCCTACACGCTCCCTGACCTGCTGTCCGGCCAGCCCGACGCTCAGAAGCCTCACTCGGCAACGGACGAGTCGACCGAAGTCTCTGCCGGGGCCGTGTCCGAGGTCCGGGCCGAGCTAGCCCTCGGGGAAAAGCCCTGGTACGACATCGTCTCCGCGGACAAGACCACCTCACTCTACTACGCCGTCATCTACCTGGCTCCCGGCGACTACCACAGATTCCACTCGCCGACAAACTGGGTCGTCGAGCGACGGCGCCACTTTGCCGGGGAGCTGTACAGCGTCTCGCCGTACCTGCAGCGGACACTTCCCGGCCTGTTTACCCTCAACGAGCGCGTGGTGCTGCTGGGCAGGTGGCGCTACGGCTTCTTCAGCTACGTGCCTGTCGGGGCGACAAATGTCGGCTCCATCAAGATCAACTTTGACCGCGAGCTGCGAACAAACAGCCTGCTGACGGACACGGCTGCCGATCACGCCGCCGAGGAGGCGGCCAAACGTGGCGAGCCGTACATGGGCTATGCCGAGGCCACGTACGAGGCGGCCAGCCCGATCCTTCACGGCCACGCCCTCCGTCGAGGCGAGGAGATGGGCGGGTTCCAGCTGGGCAGCACCATCGTCTTGGTCTTCGAGGCCCCGTCTGAGAAGGCACAGGGGGGCAAGCCCAGCGGCGGCTGGCACTGGGCAGTGGAGAAGGGACAGAAGATCAAGATGGGACAAGCCCTTGGACGAGTTGTCGACGAGTAGCTCGGGAACGCCCGCTCATGTAATTTTATAACTGTCCGTGTTGATATGGCGGCCGGTCCTGTGCGTGAGGTGACGGGCCAGACAGGCTGCATCGCGCATACAAGTGAAGGTCGTGTGTGAACGAGCCATCCATGTAATAACAACTGCACCCAGGGGGTGAAGAGTTCCTCAACTCCCCGTCTAAACGTGTCTTTTTCACACCGGGGTCAAGAAACAGGTGAGCACTGCATGAAACACACATCGCTCACTGTTCGGCTTGTGTGGCAAAGCTCCCACTCCTGTCTATTACTCTACATCTACGATGATACCATGACGAAGAAGCACCTGAACTGCTGGCGCTGAATCTGGTGAACCCGTTCCAAGTCTAGTGCATTCCTCCGTGTCTATGGACAAATAACAAAGAAAAAAGTCGCGACAATGGGCTCTGCAAGCACGACAAGCATGTGTGACGTGCTCCATCCGAATGGCAGCACCAACCCAGCCCCAACCCCCTCCGAGTGCAAAGCCAGCAGGCAGACGGAGGAAGAAGAGACATGTCCCACGACGTATCACGGGCTGAAAAAATCATATGCGGCTCGCTCGCCATGCAATGCCATCCCGTCAGGCGCCAAAGACCTTGACCCGCTCGTCGAGGGGCTTGAACTCCTTGGTGCCGGGCTCGCCGGCGCGGCCGCCAAAGACCAGCTGCGCATTCAGCTGCCAGCTCTTGGGGAGGTCCCAGGTGGCGGCGACCTTTTCGTCAATCAGGGGGTTGTAGTGCTGCAGGTTGGCGCCGAGGCCCTCGAGCTCGAGGCTCGTCCAGAGGAGGAGCTGCTGCATGCCGGCGCTCTGCGTGGCCCAGCCGGGGAAGCGGTCGGCGTAGGCCGGGAAGGCGGCCTGCATGCTCTTGACGGCGTCCTGGTCCTCGAAGAAGAGGACGGTGCCGGCGGCCCCCTTGAACATGGCCATGCGGTCCTGCGTGGGCTTCCACTTGTCGTCGGGGACGATGGCGCGCAGCGTCGACGTCGTCAGGTCCCAGAGCTTGTCGTGCTCGGAGCCGAAGAGCACGACGGCCCGGTTGGACTGCGAGTTGAAGGACGAGGGCGTGTGCAGCGTCGTCTCGTTGACGAGCTCCTGGATGCGGCTGGTCGAGATGGGCAGGTTCTTGTCCAGCGCGTAGATGGTGCGGCGGGCCTTGGCCATCTGGATGAGGAGGTCGGCGGAGAGCTTGGCGGCAGACATTTTTGTTTTATATTCTAATTTTATCGTCCTTGGCGAGATGCTGGCTTGTGGTCTGGTGTATCGGATTACGGCGAGATGAGAAGGGTCTGTGAAGCCGTGCAGATGTCTTGTATGTTTGAGCGGTTTTCTATGAGGAACTGCAGAGACCTTGTGGGGAGCCAGAGCAGCTGCTCTATATAGCGTCTTCCTGATTCTGGGAGCCGCATCTTGGTCCGTCGAGGACGAAGGGAAGGAGCGGCCCCACCACGATGATTATTAATGATTATTCAAGGCGTGGACCGGTGGGCGCGTCTCCATCGAGGTCCGAGCGATTTGAAGATGCAAAAAAGCAGTCAGCGGTTTGTCAGCACCCTTATTAGCACCCCGCTTGCGCTCTGGCTGTCCGCGTATTACATATTACAGTACAATAAGTTTTATACCTATAATACGTCAAAACTCACACAGACACACACAGACACACACAGACATATTGTGAGGTTGATCAACCCATCAACGCCATGACGAGGCAGTCGCGGTGGATTCGGCCACTGATCCCAGATTTGTTTGTATCGTGCGTTAGCATGGTAAAGGTGCCTGAGTCTAAATAATAAGCTCGCTAACACAAGGGCAGCCCGCGTAGTCGGATCTTCAGGGTCACCTTGAGTTAATCGTCGGACGATGACATGGTTGGAAGGTTGGCTGGTTGACGTTTTCCTGTGAAAGGGCTAGCTGGATTGGGATGTCAAGTTTGCGCCACAGACGATCTCTCAGGTACGCCATGACCAACTTAACGTTGGCATCAGATTCGTCGACAACAACTTTACGGAAAGCGCTCTCGAAGGGAATTTGATAAGTCGATCAAGCTGTTGAACCCAATGTCCATAGAATAGCAGAAATGTTCGGCGTCGTTCGAGCCAAGAGGTAGGAAAGTCAAGGTCCAAAATACCCAACGAGCCTTCGTACTGACGAGTAATTTCGTGTGCGAGGTGGATGTGCCGGGTCGGAATGTCTCCTATGTGAGGATGATTTGTTAACAAAAATCGTGCCAACCGAACTGTATCAAGGATGAATTGCGATGGAAGCACAGGGGACGACGACATAGAGTCAGTCCGAAATAATAGAGAGAAAACGTGGTTGCAGTAATAAAAATAATGCTGGCTCTGGTTTCTAGTCGTACGGGCGAAAAGCTCGTCGGAACGTACAATTGCTACCAATTGTGAGGTTGTCTGCATGAAGTTGATTATGTGTAGCTAATTGAGCTAATGGATATGTATGTGTATGTGACCTGTTGTCACGTAACACATACCCAGACATACCCAGACATACCTAGACATACCTAGACATACCTAGACATACCTAGACATACCTAGATATACCTAGATATACCTAGATATACTTAGACATACCCAGACATACCCAGATATACCTTACCCAGACATACCTAGACATACCTAGATATACCCAGACATACTCAGACATACACCTACACACGATTCACAGTTTGCGCACTGAGGCTGGCAGGTCAACTTGTGTATTTGGTTCGAGGCTCGAGGCAAACTTCCACTCTTGACACAATTAGCCACCATTCTTCGTTATGCGCCATAAACATCTTCCCGCTTCCACACGGCAAAAGCACACAAAACCCGCCGCATAATTGATATCTGTCCCAAAAAGACCAACGCCATGATGCCGTTCATGAATGATGAGCAATAAATCCAAGCCGGCCTGTGTCGAACCCATGCTTGCGCCCTTGACGACTGTATGTATAGATCGTAAAGCCCATCCATACTTTTAGAAGCCAGATAGGAGACACCAGAAAAGTAAAACAAACGGGAAAGAATAGCAGATCTTGTTGGCCACGATCCAGCTAGCCCCTATTTTCCCATAAAAATACAACACAGCCGGCATGGCCGTGTACAGCCCGAGCCCGGCCCGTTTTGACGGGCGACCATGACCAGGGCAACCGGCACTCTACCATGTCTCAGCAATGTACTGTCCGGCTTCCTTCTTGAGCTGCCAAAAGTTCTTGGCTTCGTCGCGCTCCAGGTTGCCCTTTGACATGGCGACATCGACGAGAGCGTCCTCGACCCCCTCGCCCATGCCCTTGGAGCTGCCACAGACGAAGATGCGACCGTCCACCGAGTTGGCAATGTACCAGACCAGGTCGGCTTGGTTCCGCACCTCCTCCTGCACATATCGACCCTCGCCCCGGCGACTTTGCACCACTCTCTTGACTTCGTCCTCGTGTACGCCCCATTCACCGCTGTAAATCTCATCGACAAGAGAGTCGCGGATCCCCTGCAGAACCCACACCTTGTTGGCACAGTTTGCCTGCTTCAACCGTCGCTGTACGAAGCCACGGAAGGGAGCGATGCCAACGCCAGCACCGATGAGCAGCATTGGGCCCTCAGAGTTGAACTGCCTCGCTAGCGGGTTGGCCATAAGGCCCTTGAACATGGGTATGTAGAACTCGGGTGACTTTTCGCCAGCCTCCTGCGCACTGATGTAGCGCCGGGCCTGTCTTTCGAAAAACCCCGATCCGACGCCTGTACGGCAACCCTTCTTCCAGTCGTTGGTCTCATGGACGGTAACGGCAATCTCAATGAGGCGATGTCGCTTCTGGTTGCGAATCTGGCAAGACTCGTGGGGATCATTGGACAGCGAGTAAAAGCGCGGCATGAGCGGTGTCAGGCACGACAACAACTCATCCATGGGGGGGTGAGAGCTGGGGAAGGCGTTGAGGAGCTGGGAAACAGTAATGTGAGGCCCAGTGCGGAAGTCGCAGAACGTGCCCTGGCCCTCGGATGAACAGAGAAACATTAGTATCTTCTTCTCGTTCTCGGAGGTGGCATGCTCCGCAAGCACCCTGAGAAGAGGCTTTGTCGGGGGGTAAGACTGAAGATCAGTGCACCACGTGAGTAGGTCACGGCGAGTAGTCACTAGTTCTCGTGCCTTGTCGTCGCCCCAGACGGTTGGCCATCTACCTTTGGTTGTGGTCAGTATGACTGGCTTGTTCCGAATGAACCGAGGCACCATCAACGTATCAAGAACATCCTCGACAACCAATTCACAGTTGGGGGCCATGACGCCGATGGCACCGCCGACCTTGAAATCATTTCCGTCTTCTTCGGGGTAGTCTGTGATGTCAAGATCGAAATGGTAAGTTCGCTTCTCGGCGCCATCCTTGGTCAACTCTCGGGCAGAATGAATCCTGGCTGGGTAAACGTGGTAAGGAGGATGCGGCTGGACGAATCTCGGAGGCTGAATTGTGGTATCAGTAGATGACAGAGTCTGGCCGAGACTTGCATTATCCAACGCGGGGCCTGCATCGAATCCAAGTGAAATAGCAGAGTCTGTTGGGGATGGAGCGCTTCTTGGTTTGGAGATTGATTTGAACGAGATGGTTTTTTCTGGCATCTCGACAATCTTGGTCAAGGTGGTAGGAATATCGCCAATCTTTAGTCCGAGGGATCGGAATGCATCATTGTCAGGCAGTGGAACGGTCTCGTATTGAAGGCCGGAACGGCGAGCGCCCCCCATCAAGCAGCAACCACCGCCGCAGCAGCGGCCGACGAATTCGGCCGTCGTCTCGCCGGTAAAGCGCTGGATGTCGCGGGCATTCTGAGCAATGAGTCTTGTCGAGGCACGACGCTGGCGAGGTTGGACTCGACTTATGGGTTCGTCCTGGTCCTCCGACTCTTCAGAGTAAGTTAACGAGGGCGCAATGGACGGTGCATCGGGCTCCGAGGGGATGCAACGAGACGAAGAGGGCACGAGGTCCTGGGTCTGCGTCGACTCGGTCATGGTGAGCGAGGGAGTTGGAGTCGCTGGCGGGCGTGGTCTTGGCAATTTGAGCGTGGCAAGACAAGGACACAAAGACTTGCCGTCGGCGGTACGGAAAAGTACTTGAGAATCGAGTACTCTCGCACCCACCGGACAACGAGTAGGTACTCGGGCAGGGCCGAGCAATAGGTAACGCTCTGATACGGCGAGAAAAAAGTCTGGTGCAATTCAACGCGACGCGATGCCGGGGTCGTATATCAATGTCGAGAATCTGCGCAAGGAGACTGAGGGAGCCAAGGGACTCGGGTCGCCGATGTGAGGAAGATACAAGGGTATAGGAGAGTGTGAATTGGAATATCGAGTCGCGAGACCTTGGGTATGCGGGTGAAGGAGGAGACGGAGGGTATTTGGGGACACCAGAAGGAGACACCAGAACTGGGGGGCGAGGAGGGGCGTCAGGGAGAGCGGGCCCTGGGCGGGTCGAGGGTGTGTGCCAAACACTGACAAGTTTGTAATGCACAGCCGTGAGTCGCCGTCGACGATCTGCAGCCCTTGACACTGTGCTGACTGATGACCGCGCAGCTCTGTACGGAGTACTCCGTACTAATTAAATTGCACGTTATTAGTTCCTCCACACCAATAGACACCAAACTTTATAACCGCGCTCCGGAAGACAAGTCAGTTTAGTTTCCTGCCCGCTACAACGCACCTTTCGGGAATGCACTGCAGATTAGTTCTGCCTTCTACTCGGGCGGCCGAATCATCAATGTTTGATAGATTTAGCCTGACAGTTTCGGAACCTCAATTGTCTAGGAGCAGAGTACGGAGTACAGAGTACAGAGTACAGAGTACTTGGCTGGAACATGCGCCCCACGGCAGGGCCCTACAGGGGAGAGATACAGGGCCTTCTCCACTGGCTTGCTGTGTCAGTCGCGCTATACTGCCGGTTGACACGCCATCATCGACCTCTCGGTCGCGACTCGCGATCGAGAGACCGCTCTCCACCAGGCGGCGGTGGTGCGATGCAGGCTGCCTGCGCGTTGCCGATGACAAACTCATTTTTTTTTACAGGCATAGATGCGGAAGAGGAAGCCTTTTGCGTGCTTTGTGCCGGTTTATTGCTACGCGACAAAGTGTCCATCCAGGGACCAAGTACTTTAGTAGGTACCGAGCACTTAACCTAGGCGCCCATGTAGGTGCGTGGGGAAAGTCGCCAAGCAAACCTAGGAACTACGGAGTACAACAACATGAGGCAGGTGCGTCCCACGCCCCGTTCCCCCGATAAACGGACCTTGGCCCCCTGGAGCCCCAACACCCAACAGGCATGATGACGCCAGGCCACATGACTAGCCCTCCTGCGGAACATGGGAGACCGGAAGCACAAAGGGAAAAGTTATCAATCAGCTCCCGGTACACAACACGGCGCGTCACGCCTCTCTATCCCAAATCTCATCGCGTCGCCTCGAATTTGCCTTGCGGCTCCAAGACGCGGGCAGCACGGTGTAGCCTGCTGCCACTTGGCAAACGTCTGGGGCCGTGCTTCTTGGACGCTGTCAACTCTGAAAAGGTCAACGGTCCGGAGTGCGCGATGCATTGATGACCTGTTGGAGCGGCCGCCATTGGCCAGCGCCAAAGTCCACCAGCCGCTGAATGCCGATTGATAACAGGCTGCATGCCACGTTCCGCTTTCGTCCCCGGATCGAGAAGAGAATGGAGGCTTCCCACCTGACATGTGCTCGCGACGCCCTATCCCGTACTACGTACTGTCGAGACAAACTCCGAATGTGCCTGTGCGGCCTCTGGGCGTTAGTCCGAGCCGCCTTTTGGCAAAACAGCTCGCGTCTGAACGGTCGGTCGCTGTGTGGTTCGTTCCAGGCCGAGGGAAAAGATCTTACTATGTGCACCCCCTTCACATGCCATCATCGACGCCCCGGGCACCGTGCGACTTCCCAACCCTCATCATGGGAGCCGCCTCCTTCCTAGCCTGATCCGATGACGGTCGCGATCCGATTCACGCCATCAGTCTGAAGTGTCTTCATTGAACGAAAAAAAAAAAAAGAGTAAAAAAAGTTGGCACATCAGCATGAATGACTATGAAGGGCTCGTGGGTATTTATCAATTGAATTGTTGAATGAATCTACCAAGGCGAAATTGTCCAATGAATGGCTTTGTTGGTCCGCTCCAGTCGCGGTGGGCCGACCGGCCAGCCTGGCGTTTTTGCGTCGCGAACCCCGTTTTATCAGATGAAAGCTTTCTCACTCACATTTTGTGTCCTCTCCCTTCCGCGGGACGCTGCAATTTCGCTTGCTGGCAATGGGCCTCGTGCTACTCCGTAAATGATTACGGAGTGCATACTGCTAGGCCCCGTTTCACACGGGGCCAGATGGATGCGGGCCAATCGCAGGCTCCTGCCACTGTGGAAAATTTTTCTTTATCTGATCCATCTTATCAATCAGTCAGATTGCATCTTCATCCTCTCCCCCGGTCCAATATCTTGGTGCCTGGCGACGACGCCGTGGCTAAGAGCACCGCCCTCGGAGCTGATGCGCATTGATGGCGAGCATCTCATCACTGGAATGAGCTTGCTCCTTGACCATTTGCCCCTTTCTTTACTTGCACCCCCTTCTGCCTCTGGTGCTAATGTTGCACAGCGACAAGGAACGTGTTCCTGTTGCCAGGTCCTGGCATATTTTCCCGTCTCAAATCCCAGCCATCACTCCACACTAGTTACGTACAAAAGTTTTGTATACAGACTGTTGCGCGAAATGAATAGTCTTGCCACTTTGTGTTCGATGCGAGTTATACCGCGGGGTGTACCCCCTCCAAAGAGACGACTTTTCTCCCTCGAGCCCCCTATGTAAATCCGGCATTGAGCATGATACAGACCCTCACGCCATTTCAAAGCATGTGATAATGCTGTTAACTTTGCCAGAATGTCCTAGAGTGCGAGTGGTCTCTGTTGCGCATTTCGCAGCTACCCTGCCGAAAAGATGCTCGCTCTTGAAAAGATGGGCCATCGTCGAACAGACAGCCTGCAGAGCGGATCAATAGTCGCATTGGCATCAAGCATACCAGCCGGGGTATATCTGGCGCCCGGAGCTGGCAAGGCGACCGGCACCGTGTTGTATTAACTGGTATTAGGTCTGGTGACCTTGTATCCAGGCTCGCGCAGGATCCTTCGCCCTCGGCTTCCGTTTCCTCGCTTGACACTTGTCAGTGTGCCGGGACCTGAAGAGGCACAGGGGGGAAATGCCACGTCACTTGTTATGCCAGAGACGGACGTATCTTTGAGCTTGCTCCAATGATATCCCTTGGGCTGAGACTCATGCGGTAACAGCTTCCTGTTCTTGCTGCAATACTCTGGAGGCCCGTACACATCAACGCGAACGGGCCAGCTCTCACAGCCACCGCTGCAAGGATCCGGGTTGCCTGATGCAGACTCGTGCTTGGCCGGAGCAGCCTTTTCTTCGCGTGTGGACCGTGTATGCTGTACGTACCAGGGTATCAAGGCACGCCTAGAGGCATGGCAGTGGCAACTGGCCTGCTCGTCTCCAGCGTTGCGCGATGAGATGCGCGACGTGGTTAGATGTCTAAGTTGCTGCGGCGGAGGCCCTGCCGGACGGTAAATTGGTAATTTTGTGCTCTCGAGACAAGGGCTGACTGACATGGGGCAATTACCTCCTTGAAGAGTCGATTGCAAGCTGCCGGGGTTCTCGTCGCGTTTGTCATGGTCAAAGGAGGCCGGTATCTGGAGTTGGATCTTTGCCGTTCTACAGGCAGCCGAAGCTGGCGACGAGCATCGCGAAACGGAGGTCATACGTCTTTGCAAATGTCAGTAGTTGTATCTTGGGTCTCTTGCCAAGGACTCGACGAATACTTTTGTCAAGACGCACCCATGGTTTCGCCCCAGCAATCACCCACGCCGGGGATACCAGCTCTCACATCGCATGGCGGCGGCATCACTTGAATTGCAAATATAGGCAAATTGTGCCTGCATAAACATCACTATTCATCACGACAAGCTATGGGGGTGTTCCTTTGATTTGGCCAGACGCCCATACGCATGTTACATACACAAACCAGCCCGGTCCAGAACGCCCTCTCGCCGTGGTAAAAGCATGCGGTCAAATCGCACAAGATGAAAAACGAAAAATGTTACGAATATGCCCAAGCAGGCATGCAAAGTCGTCCATGCAGATGCAGCCCTAAAGGCCAAGCCGTGGTAGTATGGTGGGAATCCTCTGTCAGCCGTCGAAGCAGCAATAAAAAATTGACTTGGAATTCGTGAGCACCAAAAATCGAACTCTCTCTTGCTCTCCGTTTACGACTTGTAGCGCTGGTATTCGCCGGCAACCAAACAATGATCACGTTCGAAAGGCTCTGTACGTTCAAGTTAGTCGGGTTTGTTCGCGGTTGCAAGTCATTTGGCAAAGAATTCGACTTACCTAGAGTAAGCTGGAACTTGGGCTTGATGGACTCGGCTCGCATCTTTTGGACTTCGTTGGCGAAGACCTCGGCAGGAGGTGCAGTGCTGTCAATACAGTTCGCCTTGATGGAAATGAGGACGCCGCCGCCGACCTTGAGGAACCAGTTGGCGTTCATGGCGACGATACGGGCCTGATCGGGCTGGGCAACATCGGCAAAGATGACGTCTACCATGGGGACAATCATGCGGTAGCGAGCGGGCTGACGGGCATCTTCGACAATGGGAACGACGTTGGGTCGCTTCGAGGCCATGCTGATGAGGTCACGACCAGACCGGGAAGAGAACTCGACTGCGTAGACGTATCCGGTCGGGCCAACCAGGTCGGCAACGTGCGAGACGGAGGTACCAGAGGCACCACCAAGGTACAGGACGCGTGATCCAGGGCGCATGTAGATGTCGTCGGCACCTCCAGCAATGGCAGCACAAAGCTTGCTTCGGAAAGGGTTCCACATGCGGTACTCAACCTTGGTTGTTGAGGAAGTGCCGTCGTCATTCTTTACCGTCTCATCCACAGATATACGCTTTTCGCCGTAGACAGACTCGCCGGGCGTTAGGTTTCGGGTCGCAATGCCATCTTCCTTGCCACCACGGACGACGAATACTCCTGGGTGACGGTGAGGCTCCTGCGAAAGGTCGGGAGTCAGTCTTCTGCCTGGACCCAAGAGGGAACGAAGCCAGGACGGCAACAGAATCGACACGTACGATGATAACCTTGGCGCCGCCCTTCTGCCCAGCGCCTCCCCGGGCACCACCGCGTCCAGCACCTCCGCGACCACCGCCGCGACCTCCACGGCCAAAAGCACCTCCTCTGCCACCACCACCGCGGCCGCCTAAAACATCCTCGTAATTAGCGATGAAGTCGCAATGACGAGGGACAGCAACGCGAATTTGATGAGAAGAGCATCATACCTCGAGCACCGCCACGGGCACCACCGCGGGCACCACCGCGACCACCGCGATCACCGCCAAATCCCCCACGGCCACCTCCACGACCGCCTCCACGACCGCCGCCTCGGGGACCGCCTCGATCACCGAAAGCCATTGGTCAAGAATTCCCGGTTGGGGTTTCTTTTTTTTTTTAATAAAAAGATGGATGTCGCCTCCAGAGAGGTTGGAAAAGTCCCCAAGCGTTCCCGTGAACTCTCGATGTTTGTTGTATAACCTGCCACTGCGGGTAAGACTTGCGGCCCTGAAATGTCGAAGAAATTTTTTGAAGCTTTTCCTCTGGAGCTTTTTTGCAGACCCACTTCAAACTACCTTTCTTGGTTAGAGCCTTTTTACCACCGACCTTGTTCGACCCGACTTTATTCCGGCTCAAACTCAGTCGGAAAGGACAAAGTCCAACACGTGTGTCACGTGGCGAAGAAAGAGGTACGATAATTGTAAGAAAATCTGCAACCAGGGCTAGAAGGGGGGAAAAGAATTCAATTCTAGAGAAGTGAGTTCTTCCAAATTTTCTTCTATTATTTTCTATTTTTTTTTTAAGTAGAAATGCCCTATTTAAACTCATGTTAGTTTCCAGGCTAAAATTTGACCGGAGGCGTGTGCAGCGTCGGGGCGCCGCCCACGCTGGACCGAGGAGGGCAGCCAAGCCCTAAGACATACCCAAATCGGTAAGCGAGCTTTGGTCGCGGCCCCAAGCGCCCCAGGAAAAGTTGTCTGAATTTCTCCCAACTCCCAGCCTGCGAAGCCACGTCGTCGAATCAGCAACCACACCCAAGACCGTCGAGATGGTGAGTTATACCCTGCAACAAAAGAAAGGACCATTGGCTATGGAACAAAGCGTGATTTGCTCGTGCAATCGCCGTCGCGCACTCGACGAGCGTCGCCATTTCCCGGGGAGTCGAGCCCTCGGGACGCTGGGTGATGGCGGACGAGAGGGGAACGGTACGGCCTCAGGACGAAACAAGGGCTGACGAGTCGGGACAGGTTCGATACGCCGCGACCGAGATCCAGTCCTCCAAGTCGGCCCGCGCCCGCGGTGCCTACCTGCGAGTTTCGTTCAAGAACACCCGCGAGACGGCCCAGGCTATCAATGGCTGGAAGCTGCAGCGCGCCGTTGCCTTCCTCGAGAACGTCAAGGAGCACAAGGAGGCCGTCCCCATGCGACGATACGCCGGTAGCATCGGCCGCTGCGCCCAAGGTACGCACGCCCTGAGTCGAGAGCCGCGGAGGGCCTGCGAGGCTTCTGCTGTAAAGGGATGTTGCACCTCCCCTCCTCCGATGTCGATTTTGGACCAAGGCTCGGCAGGGGGAGGCGAGGGCGCATTGCCTGCACACAGGGCGTGGATGGCTGCTTTCGTGCTGCGGCGCAGAGGCGTCGGGAGGCAGTTTTTGCTGACGCAAGTATCAACAGGCAAGCAGTTCGGCGTCTCCAAGGCCAGATGGCCCGTCAAGTCGGCCCAGTACCTCTTGGACCTTTTGAAGAACGCCGAGTCCAACGCTGACGCCAAGGGGCTCGACACCGGTGCCCTGATTGTCAAGCACATCCAGGTCAACCAGGCCCCCAAGCAGCGCCGCCGAACGTACCGTGCTCACGGCCGTGTACGTCTTCCCCCCCTCCACCCTTTGGCACCAATTTCTACGTGCACAAGCGTGAGAAAATAGCACTGAGGGCTAACATGGTGCAGATCAACCCGTACATGTCTAACCCTTGCCACATCGAGCTTATCCTGACCGAGGGCGACGAGGTCGTGCAGAAGTCCGACGAGGTTGTCGGCCGCGAGGCTCATCTCAGCTCGAGACAGCGTGGCGCTCGTCTCCGCAAGGCGATCACTGCCGCATAAATTTATCTTTGAAAGCGTGAGGCAGGATCAATTGTTTTTACGAGGGGGTTGATGGAAACAGGCGTGGGAATACTTGAAACGTCTATAAATGTTTTCGGGGCGATTCGTGGCTCTTTTCTCATCTCCTTTGGTGTATGGCAGACTGCGGAGGGAGCATGGCATCAAACAAGAAAAAAAGGGGAAAAAGGATTTCACACACATCATATTTTCCCTTTTCTGCTCGGCAAGGGTTCTTGACGAAAGATAAATCAACGACATAAAAAGGCTCACATTTCAATCTTAGTCTATGGTGTTCCTGGTGCTCGTCTCCCCCTTTTGAGATGATGGACAAAGTTGAGGAGTAGTCATGCTGGATTCTCACGCTCAGTAGAGGTGATGGGAGCTGTAACGGAACTCGCTGCGAAGCGATACTTGACCACTCAGACAAACGCTTTTTCTATTCATTGACATGACGATGGTGCGGCTATTGAAAAAAACAGACTTTCGCTTCCTCACCCATCTATCTAACCGATTCTGCCAGCCTTCGAGTGTCGTTGGGAGGAAGACGACAATCAATGAAAGGGGTTGACCCTGACTGGAAAAAAAAAACGTCAAAACGCCATTGCGCCAGCCTAACCACCGCCTTGGAAAAACAAAAAAAATCCACCGACCTGTCAATCTGTCCATGATCAACTCCGTAACATAAACGACACGATAGCTTGGCAGGTGGTAGAAAGTACATGTGTGCGTGTATGGACGTGAATTGGCGTAATACTATTTCCCATTTATGTTGCTGCTGGTGATGGTGATGGTGCTTGTTGGTGCCGTAGACCACGGTCACATGCTTCGAGTAAACCGCTGAAACGACCCGAGCCTGGCCTCTGCACCCCATCTCTCTTGGCGTCATTGATGCACCATGCGCTATAAACATCTTTCCATCCCATTGTCATGCCGAAGGCGTGAACAAGCATGGCCTCTTCCTGTTCTTTCATACATTGCGTGATTTCGGCCAGGAGCTTATCTTTTGAAGACTGCATCCAAGTCATAATCCGGTGATTGCTGCCGTGAAAGACAGTGCGTCCATGGTGCAGGTCGGAAATAATTTCTCTCGTTTTCAGGTAAGGGGTATCAACGGAGACGTAGCCACACGACTTGAAAGCCAAGCATTTTAGGCGATACCTTCGCTCGTGCCCCCGTAGAAGGGCAAAATCGGGAATGTACTCGCTGGCTGCAACGATCTTTTCTACCAAGGCCGTCGAAACTGTATGATGATCGGCTTTTTCAGCCAAAAGTTGTCTTATCTTCACACTCGGAGAGAAATGGTCAATGAACCCTGTCCATGTCAGCAGATCAGGCTGGCGGAGCCAATCTATCGGCGCGTCGTGCACATCATGGCTGGGGGGGTTGCCGGGGACATTGAAGTGTTGTGGCTGCGGCGGGAGCGGGTATAGCGGCGGTAGCGTCAGGAGGAGACCAGGTGGCAGTGCGTCCTGGAGGTCGGCCAGATCTTGATCATTGTCTTGCAGAGCAGATACAGCAAAGGCCGCAGCCGGAGCAACACCGGCCAAGGCCAGAGCCGGAGCCGGGAGTGGGACCGGTAGATGTGCCGCCATAGCCTCGGGCACGGTTGTAGGAGGACCAGAAAGGGAGACGGACTCCAATTCCAGCTTTTCGAGAGACAGCAGGGCAAACTGGCGGACTGCTTGCAAGAAGACATGCGGCGATGACCAACAATTCTTGAGAGAAAGGTGCTTGACATGGGGGAGTCGCAGTAAGCTTGATCTGTCACGCCGGACGGCCCTCGGGCTAATCATGACGTCTGGTTGATTGACAATTGGCGCGGGGAGGATGTATGAATTGCGCTGATACGAGCTTGGCGCAAATTCACCGCCGCATATCCATTCAAAGTGAAGGCTCTCGATATTGCGGCACTTGGCGACGTGATCGCTGAGCAGTGTGAAGACTTTGCCGACGGATTCGACCGGGGATATACGGGTATCCTCGACAAACTCGGGAGTAGAGACGTTGACCCTTCGCCAATCCGCAATGACACCGATTGATACATTCCTGAGACTGGGAATGCTTCCCCAAAAGTCATCTCGACAGAAGAGGTGAACGTGGCTCGTTGGGATCTTGGCAATGGTGAACGTCGTCACGTGCTGAAAGCAGCCATCGTAAGCATTGTCAATCAAGCCCAGGACGTAGGATTGAATCATGGCACGATGGGCCCACTCGAGCTCGAGCAGCATTTCCTTTTGGGCTCTGGTGAGATTGACAGGTATCAAGGGCGAGTCTGCCTCGTCCCTGGGGGAGTCGAAGAGGTCTGCATGGCCAGGAGCTCCAGCGGGGTCAAGATTCGGCGCGGGCGAGGCAGATCTTTCGTCAAAGTTGATATTATCGAGACTGTTGTTTCCGGTTTCAAGCATGATTCGCACTGCTTCTTGGACTTGAGGCCCGCAGTAACCGGCGTCCCTCTCGAGGGTTGCATTCCGGAAGGCGCCGAGGTTGGGAAACATTGACTTGTGCTGATCCCGAGCGAGGTCGTTGAAATCGGCAACGGTGATGGCAGGTTGGTGGACGCTTTGAGCCGAGCGTTGATGGCGACGCCAGTCCACGGTTGCAAAGACGGGATGATGGATGTGGGCGTTGCGGGCCGCCTTGTCCGGCCCAAGCAGGAATCCGAGGCCGGCATCGCAGCACAAGCCAATATTCTGCACTTTGGTCAGGCACGCCAGCGCAGCTCTCATGCCCTCGGTCTCGTCGGCGGTCTGCTCGAGGCCCTCAAGGTCGGTATATCTGCGATAGTTTGCAGGCGGCCAGCGGTAGATGCCCCAGAAGGCCGGAACGGCTTCCTGGAGAGGCTTGACCGGGGGATAGGCGAGAGAGTCCTCGTCGAGCTCGAGGGACAGTGCGAAGCGGAGGATATGAGGGCCAAAGGACTTGAACATGTACATTCCATTGGAGAAGAGGCTCGAGGTCGAATGGCGCATGGAGCCATGCTCGTCGCGAACGAGGGCGCCGTACAGCTCGGATCGAAACGGAACGACGACATTACGAAAGTACTGGGGCGAGACCTTGGCTTCAAAGGCCCGACAAACCAAGCGGAGGTTTCTGACCTCGGCTCTTGTCAGGTGAGACGTGATGATTTCGATGATTTCCACGGGAAGTTGTGCCATGGGCCATGGAATGAGAACGATTAGCTCGCTTTCTGCGCCGGGGCAATAGACGGCGCGAGTGTGGATGAACGCGGAGGGGTGGTGCAGGACATGGCCCAAGGCTCCCTCTTCGCGGTGAAAGAGATGGCAGCAGGGGATTGAGAGCCGACGACTGATGATGGCTATTGATGGGCGGTTGTATGCATGCGATCTGGATGGATGCGAGACGGGAGATTGGGAGACGGGAGACGGGAGACGGACGGGAGACGGGGTGGATGGCAGGTGCGAGGTGCGAGATGGGAGCAGCCGAAGTGGCACTTGGTGGTTGGCGGTTTGTTAAGCTGCGTCACGGCGTCACGGCGCTCTCCGCTCTCCCATTTAACTTTTGTCACGACATCATCCTCCATCACGCTGCGTCCTCGACGGCACGCCGCCACCACGGCGCTACACCAACCTTCGAACGTTACAATATGCACCATTGACTCCCGCCAGTCCCCGCCGCCGGAGGCTGAACCGGAGTCTGGTTCAATTGAACGGGTCACGGCTCCAGGCGCAGCGACGGCCTAGGCTGGATCTCACCACCAACTTAGTTGCTCTCCAGTCTCCTCTCTCCCTCCATCGCGTACGCCATGTTCCAAGCCACAATCCCTCATCCGATCTGCGTCAGAGTTCAGATGAAGTATTGTTTGCCGTCTGGGAGCTCGGCGCCCCAAGCCGTCTCTTTCCAAGGCCTGCTTCTTTTGTCGTCCATGGGTTGGACGTACCAACTGCTCAAGCACCAAGGGTCCGAGCAACGTTCCGTGGTCAAGGTTACTCATCAGGGGACACGACTTCCACAACGGCAGAATATTATCCAGCTAAAAGAACCGGCAAACGGTATGCGAAATGGGCTGCGTTAGAACAGAGAGCCTCATGTACAAGCATTCTCATACGAGAAAAGTCATGGAATGCCACACCAAAAAAAAAAGAAGTAAAGAAAAAAAATACCCCAAAGCAAAGCAAGCCTCAGATGTGCGTATCAGCGTCGGTCAATCAAGGATCGATGATACGAGCCCTGCCCAGCCTTTTCTTTCCAAAAACTCCCCGCTTTCTCCTGCTTGTACTCCGTGCCCATCACCGCCTATTCGTGCTCTGCCAGAACCAATAACTAGTTGCTCAAGTCAATAACATGGTTCCTGAAACACCAGTCAAGCGTGGAGTGGTGGCTGCCTATGCGGAAAACTCACACTGCTGAATACTGGACCTCGAATGTCGCAGGCATGTCCTTGCATGTGGCAGGTGGCGAACCGCCAGCCGTGTCCACACGGTAAACGTCCTTGATATCTCCCGTGGTGCCGTCCATGGCTGTGAGCCGCAGCCAGGTCACTGCCTTCTCGCCCTTTTGGCCCACGGCCGCGGTGGAAGGGGCCTTGGCCGAGCTGTTCTTCGCGCAGGGCACCCGGCCAATGGCCAGCGCCGGCGTGTCCAAGTTGAAGAATGGGGTTGAACCGTCAAAGTAGTGCACCCCAGACTTGGCCATGGCTGTGGGACCAAGCTTCTCGGCCTCGTCAAGCTGGAAGTGCACGGCCATGGGCGGGATTCGCGAGAGGAGGTCAGGGTACAGAGCCGCAATACAGCTGGCATTGAAGAGGGTGGCCACGGCGCCGGCGGCCTTGGGGGAGGCATGTGCGTTGTTCGCATCGCAAGTGTAGTTTTGAGTCCCACGTCCGACTGCTACGTGGCGTACGGTCAAGCCATTGTCGGGGGGAGGCAGCCCATCGATTCCTGCGAGGCCATGCATGTCAGCCATACCATGCCACAGCGGCCCAAGGTCTGGGATGATGCGCCGTCTGACGCTTACCATCGGGCATCCGGGCTTTCGACAAGTCACACAAGGGAGCCGTCGAGAGAAGCTTGGATGCCTCGACCTTGGATGCAATGAGGTTAAAGTACCCCGACAAACTATCCAGAGCATTGACGGAGTTGTCCCTCCTATCCAAAGTCGGGAGGGCTGGCGCAGCATTGGCAACGACGACAAGGGCAGCCGTGAGGGCTGTCGATAGATGATGCATTTTCCGTGTTTCTTCTTTTCCTTGATATTCACGTGAGTACGAGTAGTCGTGCCCTTTGCATCAACCAGCAAGCAGGATGTGGTGATTGAGACACGGCGCAGTCGAGGAGAATCAGAATCGTAGCGACCAACGGGCAGACAAAGTCGTATCGACACTCGGCGAGACAGGAACGCAGATAGACGCAGCAACGAGAAGAGCAAAATAAATAAGTAACGGCTCGAACAACTTGAACAGCCGTGATGTGAGAGGAAGACGACAAAGGGAACAAGGAAATAGAAATAAAGGAAAAAAGGAAAAAACAACCACCCCAGCTGGGATAGATAAATTATGCCGGTTGGTTCTGGGCTTTAGGAGAAGAGACGAAATCAAATGGACCTCGGCGCAGAGGCAAACAACTCTATTATAAGCATTCATCTGTCGTTTGCAGGCGCACGGCCAACGGCATGACATTGAGCCTATTGAATGCATGACACTGCGGTCTGCAGCCGCCTGTCTGGGCACGGCGTCAGGGATCGCCGGCGTACATTAGCCAGAGGACCATTCATTGGTCGACGAGGTCTGGGACATGTAGGGCGGACGGGCAAGCCATCTGAGATCCTGGGCGGCCGAGACAGCGACGCAACGACATAACGACATGGGGGTGATGCTTTTTATGGCACGGCGACAAGCTTGACGATGCGCGGGGAGCGTGTCCTGTCGTCCAATTGGTTGCCGCGCTGGAGCAGTCGACGGGCGCTTCGGCGGGAGGCCGCGGGAGCGGTGGGCTCGGCGTCGCTTGATTGGCTCCATGTTAAGCGCTGTGCCAGGGGTACCAAGTACTCCGTACCCGTGCAGACTTCAGATGCATCTTGCTGCTTGCCCGGCCTCGGCGATTATGGACGCACGCTCATTTGGTACACGTTGGCCTTTGTACATGCTCCGCGCAGATGATCAGTTTCGTGCGCAATCAAGCGAGGGAAGCGGACCTGATGCCGACCCACACAACCCTTCAGACAAGTGTCGCGGCGATGTTGCTCGAGGCATGACTTGCCTAGGGCGAATGGTCCTGAGTGCCTCGAGCCTGAGATGACCTACGCGGAGGCGCTAGACTTTCAAAAAATCCACGGATGCCTGGTCGAACTGGTGAGCTACCGTGAATTTTCTCCTCTGGGCTTGTGGCCTTGGGCTTGTGGCCTTGGGCTTGTGGTGAATCGAGTGTATTGCGTGTCCACCCCGTGGGGCCCAGGCACAAATGTTTACCAGAGCAGCACGAAGCATCGCCGTCATGATGGAAGGAGAGTTGAGCTTCTCAGTTCAATTGTGCCTCTCGGAGCACCGAAAACTAACTACGAGTGCGCAAGGCCACCGTGGGCCAAAGAATGCGGACGCTTTTCCTTTCCATATTCATCACTATCATGGCTCTGTCTTGCCCTTTTCAGGTGAAAATGCTCAAACAATGCTGTACTGCTACATCCTATGTCAGGGATAATGTACATGTGTGCTTTGGAGCTGGCCTGGACCTCGGCCCAGCTTGATTGATACTGGCCGTTTGTTCTTCGCCACAGCTGAGCCGGTGTCTAAACGTCATTACTGCCGGTTGAAACTATCTTGCTTCCACTCTCCGTGCTGTGTACCGCCACTCGCCGCCTTGCCTGCAGCCGCTCTGGCAGCAGCGGCAGCAGCAGAGGAGCCCAAGCCAGACGCGTGCTTGTCAAAGTCTGCGCTGCCGAGCCAAAAGAGCGAGAAAAAGACCAGCATGTGCAGCGCCACGCAATAAGCTGCAAAGAGGTTCCTGCTGGTACGGGACGCCAACACCATGCGCGTGATCGAATACACCACCCTCTCCGGGAGGCTCATACGCCGATAAGCCCTGGCCGACTCTCGACCACGGAAAGCCGCAAATGGTGAAATGTTTGACTCATACGCTTGGCGGTATCTGTCCATGGCCATCCCCGGGTTGCCCGTTCCGCCCATGGAAACCGCCCAAGGATTCGGGTTGGAGGAGTAGGCCGATGACGAAGTTGCCGTCGTGCCGCCACGGTTGTATGTTGACACGTATCTTGTTTTCTCGTACAAGTTCAGGTTGTCCTTCTGCAAGGCTGCCACTTCTTGCCGCAGTTGCTGCACAGTCCGATTGGTCTCGGACAGTTCCTGTTCCAATTGCGCATTCTTCTTTTTGAATCGGTCTCGCTGTGCTGTCACCATTGGCAGGATACCAGATCCGCCTCCCATCGGCTCCCGCTCCCCTGGTGTGGACCGCGGATCCAGGCCGCTGATGATGGACGAGGTTGGTGATGTCCTGCCCTTTCGTGTTTGCGCTCGAGTCACATATGTGCCGGCGACCGACGCACCAGATGGGAAGGCATTGGCGCCCTCAGCTTGCATGTTCTCAAGATCCTCCTCCAGCCTCTGATTCAGGTTTTGTGACTTCTCCAGCTCCGCATTTGTTCTTGAGAGTTCTTCCTGCAAATCTTCCAGTCGCGTTTGCAGATCTTGGTGTGAGACGCGGAGTACCGTCAGCTCGTCGCCAAGCTTCTTGTTACGGGACAGAAGAAGCTTTTCTAGAGAATCCCCTTTGTCCGTGCTGCTTTCCATCTTCTCTCCACCTTCGTCATCGTCGCCTGTGGAAAACTCGATGCTTTTGAGAACCTCGAGTTCCTGCTTGATATCTTCATAGTCACTCCATTTTTGGACCTTGGCTTTGAGCGCATCTTTTTCCTCTTTCAGATGAAGTTCCTCCCGCTCCATCGCACGCTGCTGAGCATCGAAATTCCGCTTCATGCTTTCCTTCTCCAGCCTGGAAGCATCTAGCTTTCGGATCAGGGATGAATTTTCCGACCTCATGCGCATGTACCCGGGATCGTCTTCCAAAGACCTTTCGGGTTGTGTCGAGATGGAAGATTTGGCTTGGGCCAATTCCAGCCGCAGCTGCTCATTACGAGCCTCTACCTCGGCAAGCCGGGCGCTAGTACGCTCAATATCGGAATGGAGCATTTCCAGCTCAGCGCTCGAGGCTTTTGCATGATGGTTTTCTTGATCTTCGCCAGCCTTTCCGAGTCGCTGATTCACCTCGTAGCTGGCGCGCAACTCGTTCAGAAGGCGCTCCTGGTTCTCTACCTTTTCTTCCAGGCTCTTCTCCTTGGCTTCCCAGTTGTCCTTTTTCTCTTCCATGACGGCATTCCAAGACGATTCAACCTCTTTGACCCGTCGCTCGAGGTTGTCCTCAATTTCTTTCCGCGCGGTTCGCTCTGACTGGAGCTTGCTTTCAGTATCTTCCAGCTGTGACGTGAGCTTGGAGACATTCTCCTGGAGCAGCCTGTTTTCTTCCGTGAGTCTCGGAAGTGTTTCCTCCGACAGGAGCATCGAGTCTACCGAGGCTTCCAAGAGTGGGTATGGATCCGGTGCTTCTGATATCAAAGTATAGGCTTTGAGGAAGGCCGAGTTGACGGACTTGGAGTGATTCGTGAGAAGGTCGATAAAATTTTGATAGGCTTCCACGATTGTCAGCTACGATGGATATATGCAAGAGGAAATAGCCGAGGGCGAGACAGGATCTGGACTACCTTTCAAGAGGCCTTTGATTTCGGTCAACTTGGTCGAATCTTCAAGTTTTCGAAAGTCTTTTGTTTTCTGTGCCAGCTCTTTGCGCTGCACTGTCGAGTCCCGTTGATATGTCACGATCTCCGAGGCAGTGTTATCGAGGCTCGCGGTCAAAGTTGTCAAATCGACACCTAATCGTCTCGGTAAGTAAGTGAAACGGCGCCTTCAAAACGGTCCAGCTGAGGCGGCGTACTTCTCCATGACGAAATGGCATGCTGGAATTTGTTCCCTGCTCCCTCAGCAGTCGGCGCATCGGGTCGTGCTGCGGAAGGGGCAGCTTCGGCGGCAGCAGCGGGGCCGTGTCCAACTCCGACGTGCGCCATTGTGAAAGCGGCCAGTTGACGTCTGATTAAATGTCGACAGTCGGAAGCTGCGCACTTGATGGGCGTACTACAAGTCTTGCCATAAATCGTGGTGAGCTATGGGGAGGTTTCTGAGCGGTCATGTGTTGAAAGACGAAGAGGTTGACGTGTTTCGTCGCAGGAAGGGACGGTGGAGCCCATGGCCCATGTGCGTTGTGCACCTTCAAGCATTATTTTAAGCTGCAACCCGTCCAGTTGACCCTGGCACCCAGACTCGGGGCCACAGCCTCTGAAGCTGTCGTCCGCAGCCGGCCAAGCCCCACATGCGCCAGACCTTGGCTGGCCTCATCCGACTTCCCTTCCTCTGCAAAGCATCTCCGCCGTTTTCCTGGGAAGCTCAAATCATCGTACTCGCGGTGCCACAGCTTTCAACCGCAAATATGAGCCCAACACCTCAGTAGCCTCAGATGAGCGAATCCTTGCCATGGCATCCCCAACTGGCCTGACTGCCAGCTCAGGCCTGAAGGCAGCGGTTGAGGATGGACCCTATATCTTACGGCCGTTGTTGGAAGAGGTCCCTTTGGCGTCAGATGGGTCCGACAGCAATGTGAAGATTAATTGCGTCGAATTTCATGGTGCGTAAATCTACCATTTGCCTGTAGGGACATGGAGGCTAACGTGCAATCCAGATGGAAATCTGTACATTGGCACGTCAGCATCCGAGGTGCTTCATTTCGTGCAAATCCCCCCCGACTCCAACGACGTCACCGGACAACCTGTCTATATTCAAGCTTCAAGGCTGTCGCCGGTCTATGTCGAGTCTCCCACATCACGATCGGCCGGCCAAGGTGTGCAGGAGATCCTTTTGCTGCCGCGCATAGGAAAGGCCTGTATACTGTGCAACTCGACCGCCGCGTTCTATTCTCTCCCAGAGCTAAGTCCGGTGTCTGGAATAAGCGTTGTCAAGAACTGTAACTGGATCGGTGGCGTGGACTTGAATGATGCCATGGCGACAAATGGCGTCGTGGGTGCTACCGGCGATGATGCCACTATACTCCTGTCTTTGAAATCCAAAATACAAGTTGTTCGCCTGGCCGATAAGGTTCTCGAAGCACCCGTCAGTTTTCCTTTCTTTTCTGGTGTGTGTTGTGGAAGGGAAGAGGGGGGCTGTAGAGAAGTTTTTGCGACCAAGACCCTGTTGCTAACTTGGGATATCAGAAAGTAACATTTGCTGGAAGCGTTTTGTCCGTTCGCAGGGACTCAATCGCTTGCGTCGCCGATTCCAGATCCTACGCGCTACTCGACATTCATAGGCAGCTAACCATCCCACTGATGAGTATCTCAACCCTGGATGAAACGCCTGTGGAAGACGTCGGACGAGTGCAGCCAAATCGCGATGCTGCTGCAGATACCCCTACCCGACCAGGCCCATCGCATTCGTCTACTCACAGTGGGAATGCACCACACCACAAACGAAATGTGAGCCAGAATGACAAGTCCTCCAGCCCTCAACCACCATCGTCCCCCGTGTCCTCAAAAAGCCCAGAGCCTCGCTCAGAATCCAAATCGCCGTCGCCAGCTACGGATAAGCCTTTACCTTTACCCCCTTCAGACGATACTCCCGTGGATAAGAATGTGGAGCCCACAAAGCATCAGACGTCAATTGCGCTCAAACCTCACATTTCATCGCCAAACCCTGAAGAATTTTTGTTAGTCATTGGGACGAAACTGTCAGAACCAGGTGTTGGCATGTTTGTCAGCCTGGACGGCGAACCCACCCGGGCAACGCTTCAGTTTGAGAAATATCCAGAGCAGGTTGTCGTTGATGGCAGCAATTTCGACATGGCTTCGTCTCGAACTTCGTCTCGAACAGGTTTTGGAGACGAGGAAGATTGTCACGTGCTAGCTTCCACTTCCAAGGAATCCGAGAATGGACTGTCGTACGGCATAGAAATCCAACATATAAATGCGGGCCAGGAGGCAAATCCAAAAAAGCACTGGTTAGAAGCAAGGGGGTTCTCGAAAGAGCACCCTTATGGGCTGAGGACTCTATTCGGCAGAGGGCAGTTCCGACTAATCGAGATTGTCGACAAGCTCAGCCAAAGGCGATTTTCTCCCTTTCCCAGACCATTGGAGGCGTCTGCCTCACTCAGGCGCTCAGACTCCAGGACAGCATTGTCAATAGAACGACTGTCCAAAGAAAAGGAACTGTTCGAACGTGATGATTCCCAGGACGATGACTCCCTGCCGGAAGGCTGGGAAACAACCCGCAACACTGAAGAAGAACATTTTGTACGGCGACTTGCTGACGTCGGAACAAGATTGGCGGTCTGGAATGGAGATTGTATATGGTGGGCAGTGCGAAGTCCTTTAATCATTCAACTTGACGCGCTGCTGGACGAAGCATGCCCCGAAGGGCATATGGCGGACATGAACAAAGATGCAGTGTATGCTGTCCTGAAAGTTATTCGCGGCCGGGATGCGAGGACAGAATTGGAATACATGACGTTGGATTACCTGCGTCAAAAGGCTGGTCTCCTACTCCTTATCAATATCCTGTCTTCGCAAAGGGAGGAGGTTTCCGAAGGCGAGCTCGGTGATTTGGAAAAAGTCTTGGTTGACAGCAAACTGGATCCTCGAGTAGTACTGTCTCTCATTCCGGGAATCAGAAACGACATCATTGAAGGAAAACAAGGCATTTGGATCTATGCAGGAGTCAAGAAGATTGCCGAGTCTTATATTGGAAGCGTCAGGTTTGAAACGCCGGGAAAGAAGGCTCTGCAAAATATCGAGCTACGGATTATGCACTTTTCCCGCCGATTCCTGTCGGCTTGGCGGAAACGAAAGGGGTTCGGCAGCGTTCCCGACGAAGGTGAAGTGTTCAGGACCGTAGACGCTGCACTTCTCATCTCCCTGCTTGAGCTGGATCAGCGGTCACCTCGACGGACGAGACGCGGGGGCGCCGTCAGATCGGAGCTCAACGACGTCGTCGACAAAGGAGTGGACTGCTTTGACCGTGCGGTCGACATTCTAGAGTCGTACCACAGACTTTTCGTGCTGAGCAGACTATACCAAAGCCGCAAGATGGCTGGTGATGTTTTGGCGACGTGGAAACGAATCATTGAAGGGGAGCAGGACAGTGCGCCCGAATTTCACGATGGCGAGCAGCGTGTTCGAGACTATCTGAAAAAGATTAGCAACCAGGCCCTGGTCCAAGAGTACGGAATTTGGCTGGCCAAAAGAAACCCACGATTGGGAGTGCAGGTGTTTGCCGATGATGAGGGAAAGGCCCCCAGGTTTGAGCCAACACGAGCTGCTGACATACTCCGAGCAGAGGCTCCCGACGCAGTCAGATACTACCTGGAGCACCTTGTATTTGCCAAGGGCCTCACGACATATGTGGACGAGCTGTTGAACCACTATCTCGACGTGGTCCTTGAGCATCTGCGGTCCTCGGCAGCGAGCCGCGAGAGAGTCATGGCCACGTACGACGCATACAGGGCGCTGCAGGGCCCCAAGCCCACGTACCACCATTTCCTCACCGAAAGCACGCCGCCTGATGGCGAAATATGGAAGAGTCGCCTGCGACTGCTCCAGCTCCTCGGCGGCGCACACGACTACGACACTGGGGCCATTGCAGAGCGCATAGGCAGTTTGCCGGCCGACCTGCTCGTACCGGAGACCATCATTCTTGCCGGTCGGCAGCGTCGCCACGACGAGGCACTGCGACTGTTGGTCCACAGACTTGGCGACTACGATACGGCGGTGTCGTACTGCCTGGGGGGCGGGTGCAGTGTCTACGGGCACCAGGATCCGGGCCGTGGCGGAGGCAGCACGCCAGACACGGAGCTGCAGCGCCGTCTGTTCCAGGTAGTTCTGCACGAGTTCCTGAGAATTGCCGACGTGAGCGACCGAATCGAGCAGACGGGCGCGCTGCTGGAACGGTTTGGTGGCTGGTTCGAGGTGGAAGAAGTGCTGGGCTTGGTGCCCGACGCCTGGTCCGTGGACGTCGTGGCCGGGTTTCTGACAGGAGCCATGAGGAGACTGGTGCGGGAGAGGAACGAGACGGTGGTGACAAGGGCGCTGAGCGCAGCAGAGAACTTGAGGGTCAACCACGACCTGGTTGCGGGAATCGAGAAGAAGGGTCCGAGCATCGAGGCCCAGGACTGAACCGTGGCTTTGGCGTGCGTGTCGTGTCGTGTCGTGTCGTGTCGTCTGTTTCAGCTCCCGAGGCCAAGTCGAACCGTGTACGTAAAATCTAGCGCGCATCTGCGATTCTCATGTCAACAAAGATGTCTCCAACGTCTCGACGAGACCACAAGACGCTTGCTTGCCCGCTTGCTTGCGGGCAACGAGGTCAAACAGCCACGGCTGTCCGAGCTTGGCCATGGGAATGGACTCAGCTCCGGTCAGCTCGGCCAAATAACGGCAGAAGAAGAAAAAGACGACGACGACAAGAGTACGACACACAAACGCCAATGAGCGGTACCCCAAGCTACACGATGCAAGCAAACCACGTACGATGCCGCACGAAAATGTAGCAGCCCCCTTCTTCCTCGGTGACTTGACGGAGCACACGCCGACGCGTGCAAGCCAATGATTCTCCAAAGACCCGCGCCGGCGACGATGCCCTTGTCCCCCAGGCGGCCGGTCGAGAATGTCCCATCTTGTATCTCGTTGCGCCTCGGGGAGTCGCGAAGCGTGGGACGATGGGGGATGGCTTCACAGCCCGCCGGCGGTGGCTTGAGCTGAACAAACTATCGATTGCCTCACGCACGCACGCCCGAAGCTGTCCGTCTGTTTCATCTACATGCTGCCTGTCCCGACGAAAGGCAAGAGCCGCAGCGCGGGAAGGGGGCGCAGTCGAGCAGGGCTTGTGCCTGTTCCCCGTCGGCTATATATACTCGAGGACTGCTATAAACTTGCGTCTCCGTCTGCACGTCATGCGGAGCCGGATGTGCCGTCGAGGCATGCATGGCCCCAAGATCCAAGATGCAATGTGCAAAGGGGACCGGCCGGCCGGCGTCGACGGCGCGGCACTGAAACCACGCGTTTTTACTTCTTTACCCTTTGGGCCCCCCCTCTTGTCACCCATTTGACGTTTAATTGCCCGTGTCTGTCGTTCCTTCTGCCTCGTTTTGTGCCCGCGCGTCGCTGGCCGTCCGTGGCACGATGCTGGGCAGCTCGGACACAGAAAGGCCGTCGAGTACGCTTGCGCGGCGACACCATCGTCATCCCTGCCCTGCCCTGCCCGGCCCTGCCTCGATCGGGCCCGAGCCCGGCTTCGGCAAGCTGTCGACTCGTCTGTCCGCCATCCATCTACCGTGCCTGCCACGTTGCGTCGCAGCAAGCTCGAGATGCGGCCGCTTATGCGGATGCGGATGCGGATGCGGATGCGGCGACGCGTAGACGACGAGGGACGAGGACGTGGCCGGCGTCACCGTGATGCACCGTCACATCCATCCATCATCTGGGCAAACAAACCCCCCCGGGGCGCTCGCTGAACAAGTAACCCCCGGGCTCGAGCGACTCCACGCGCTTTGATGACGGATACAAGGCATGTCGACCGCCTTGCTTCCTCGGCTGTTCGACTCCCCCGTGTCCGCTCACCGGCAGCGTCCCCGGACCGGACAAGGTGATGCGGCTTCGAGCCGTGCTGGGTCTTGCTATCGCCGACAGACGCACTTCACTTGGGTTCCGCTTGACTGACCAACCGATCCTGTCATGCGACATGCTGTGCTCTGTATCCATCTGCGCATTCGCATGTCGCTCAGACGACGGGGGAATGTGGGCCTGCGCCGGCATCAAAGTTTCGAGTGCTTGGCGGTCGCCTCATGGTCTCCTCGCGAGACAACGGAGTCTGGGACGACCTGCCGGTTAGTGTTCCCTCATTGGCACCGCCACAGACCCTGGTCCTCTCTTCTCATGGCTAAAACCGACAAATCGAATCTCACAATGGCTCAAAAGTGGCACATGACTTGGGGATAAGAGTTCCTGTCCCATTAAGAATATTCCAAGGGGCGTTGCCAAATCGCCGGGAACGCCGCCTCAGTTGACAAAACTCAGGGTATCGAAAAGGAGTAAGAAAAAAAAAAGAGAAAAAAAGAGGACAACGAAAAAGTCCCAGGACGGCTCTCGACAAAACAACTATGCAAAAAGCTGGGTTTCCCATCCATGTCATCCATCGTAATTAAGAACCCAGGGTCCATGCCTATGCCAAAACCTGCACAAAACTCCACAGATTGAATGCCCTTGGGGCCATGACGGAAAAAAATTCAATCCTGCCCAGCCATGTCCCATTAAAATCCAGTACAATTTCGCATGCGCCCATACTCCCCTTCTAATATTTTGAGGCTCTAGCAAATCGACTTCGTAACATGTCCAGACTCCGTTGTCTCGCGAGGAGACCATGAGGCGACCGCTCAAGGCAAACAATACAACTTTAAATGGGGGCACTGCTCGTCTTCAACATCTCTTGCATTTCCTTTAGTTGTTCCTCGGTGGGGTCGTCGGAAATCCAAGGTCCCTTCTCGTCGTCCGTGGCACCGAGGAAGCCCTCGGCGCGCTTGAGAGTCTGGACATCGAGGTCTGTAACGTATGATTTGCCGTCCGATAGTTTGATGCGAACCTCGTGGTCGGTCGAGAGCATCATGTCGTCCTTGGCCAGTCTGCGGGGGCCGTCAAAGACGGCCATGATGCGCTTTCGCATCGTCATTTGGCCCTTATCAAAGCCCCATGATGATGGGTAGTCGCGGCGGTTCTTGCGGCCACGAGCCTTGGTAGCCGTCGGGACACCCCCTCGAGAATGCGTTAAACCCCGCGACTTTTGGACACCGCTGGCAGGGTTGCCTTTCTTCTTGATCGAGGGCGACGAGTTGGCTTTGGAGGAAGCATCGTCTGCCTCTTCTTCTTCACCCATGTCCAGATCGACGTCATCATCCTCATTCTGGGAGGCCTGCATGGTGGATGTGACCGTTGGGAGGTTGTTCTTTTCCAAGGTTAAGTGGACCGTCTTGTCATTTTCAACCTCGGCCAGTCGCTGTGCATTGATGACCTCGGCGGGATCTTCCTGCTGCACAATTCGGAGGACACAGTCGTCCAAATGCTCGTAGAAATCCTGGGCATTGGAGAAGGTTTGCGAACACGTGCTGCACTTTCCAGTGGCGTCGGACGCGTAGCCAGTGAGTTTCTTTCCGGCGGTGACGCCGGCGGGCGTCTTCTTGCGGCTGTTTGGAGGCGTCTGTTCGACACCGTGGACCGCGGTCAAATGTCTCTTGAAGACATCGGCCCGATTGAACGACTTCTCGGCAGGAGATCCGGAGCCAGGGCAGAAGCCGCAGACCATTGTGCCCTTGTAGTGGGTCAAGGTGTGGCGGTTCTTGTCGTATTTGCGGGCAAAGCCCTTGATGTGATATTCACAGGTCTGGATTGGGCACTTTTCGGGTCGCTCATTCTGGTGAGTGAGCATGTGCGCCTTCAAGTCCTTGAATATCTTGCCGCAATCGGGATAGGTGCATCTCTGTTTCTCCTTGGTTTCATCGCTGCTGAAGTCTGCAGAGCCGACGGGAGAAATGAAGTTGTGCATGCTCACGCGGCGACCATTGGCATCGATGGGAGCACCGTACGGGCTGTTTGTGTAGCTGGGGCCAAAAGGGCCGCTGTGGAGGAACGGTGAGGTGCTGTCAGGTCGAACCAGGTTGGGTTGTGGTGATGATGACAGTGACGGTGAAGGCACAAACTGATGTGGCTGCGCGTGTTGAAAGTGGCCGTCGTAGGGCGAGAGGGGCATCGGGGGACGGGCTATTTCCGGGTGGATGAGGGAAGGATCTGCGACACCAGGAAGAGAGTCAGTAATCGCGGCCGCGGACGACATGGTCAATTGCTACGACCGCCGTCGTGATCAGATGGCGGACGGGTAGGATTGAGACAGAACAGTACGATCGAAGATGGAACGGCAGAGGCAAAGAAATCTTGAAGGTCCAGCGCGGACGCTTATTAGCCCCCGGGCAGAGGGGAGGCTCCGGGCCAGGCGGGGCAGGCGCCAGCCACTCAACAACGGTTTTGGCCGACAGGAGAGGCAGCCAAGAGGGTAGGCGCAGCGCCGACCCGTTGACGTTGCAAAGGTCCCAAATAGGTGCCAAGAGACTAGAAGGACTCTGCCTGGGGCCGGCCAGCGGGAGGCCGACTGGGCGCCACACGCTCGCGCTGTACAGAGGAGACACTGCAGCTGGTCACAGCGACTCGTCACAATCGGCCGGCAAAGCAACGCAGCTTGGGACGACGGACCAGTCGCTCCATGTCGCTCTGGCCGGCATCCCGTCGACCGAGCTGCGTGACCGGCACCGAGGGCACACCATCCAGCATGCAGCAGGCAGCAGGCAGCAGGCAGACGCAGTCCATGCAGCAAAGCAGAATGCCTTCAGTGCGGCGGGCAGAGCGCAATTGGTGCGCCTTGGGGCCCAGAGAGATGATGACGCGCTGCATCCAAGCACCGCTGTGCCCGTTGTTCATGTCGACTCACGCACTGGCGGAGCCACCACCCAATTGTCTCAGGCATGGCGGGCAATGGCAAGCTGAACTGCGGGCCCCCCTGGCAAACCCAATTATCCAGTCTCCAAATCACACACGCACAAGACTGTGAGTGTGCATCGTGATGCGGCCAGTGTGAAGAAACGGGATCATCATGATGCATCGCTTCCCTTGCAAGGACGGCATCGAACAGGTCTGCTGCCATTCCGTTTGAGAGCCGCATCGCTTTGTCATCAACAACAAGCGGCAGCCAACACCCCTGCCTGGAAAGCGACCTGACCGAGACGACGACGGTGACCATGACACACAACTCGTCGGCGACCATGGACAGCCGCGCCGGCAAACGATGGCCCTTGCCCACGAGGCAGACATTCGACCGCGAAAGAGAATAAGGAGACAAGCAAAAAAGACAAAGACAAACGACAGAATGCGAAAATGTAAAACTCACCAACAAAAGACTTTGCCTGTCCGCCAAAGTCAAAGCTGCCGAAATCCTCCACGCCGGATCCGTGGAAATACTCGGGAGCGGTCAGATAGTCACTTCCGACAATGCTGGGTTGCATATTCATCGTGTGACCGATCCAGTCAGTCGCACCCAAGTGTCCGTGGCTCGACTGCGGTGAACCGGCTGCTGAGGAGGGCGCCGAGGGAAGAGATCCAGATGACAGACCAGAGGACGACAGTCTCATTTCACCGTCCTCTGGGTACACACCAGGAGACGTGTGGCTGTTGAGAATGTAGTTCGGCGTCTCGGCGAAGAGCGACGGCTCAAAGCCCATCGATGTTGTGCTAGGCGGGTAGGTGACACCAATGGCCATTGGCGAAGCAGATCCAAAGGCGTTCTGCGGGGGTTCAGGATAGCTGGTGTAATCGTCTGCACGTTGCTGTTGCGTGAACAGGCTATTGTAGGGCTGCTCGGCCAAGGCGGCCATTGTGTGTTTGTGACGAATGGAGAAGGCGAAGACTAAGTCTGTCAGTCCTCAAGTCAGTAATACATACATGTGATGGCCATGTTCCAGTCTCTCGGCGGTGTTTTGCTTTTCTTTTCTTTTGTTGTTGCTGTTGTCGTTGTTTTTACGGGGGGAAAGGGGAGGAGGGAGTCTTGTCACTGTTCTTCTTGCTCTTACCTCGAGCGAATGGCAATCTTGTTCCACCCCAAAGCTTCTACCGTTGTGAAATCAGGTAGGCCCTGTTTCGCGGGGTTGCCGAGGCTGGCGGGGTCACAAGAATAAGACACTTGGGCGTGGATGGAAAGGAGAAACTCGACACGTCGTTATCGTTGTAATGAGCTGGTTTCCTGCTTGACCGTATGCTGTGAGGGGATGACGATGCCGGGACAGGCAAGTGGTAGGCAAGGCGTGAGGTACCGAGGGCATCAACGAGCGCAGTTGACTTGCAAGGCTTCTGTTTCGATGTGATGGCTGCGCCGTCGACAATGATGACTGGATGCAGGCTTGGGAGTGTTTGTTTTGTGGATGACAACAGAATTGAGCGTGATGATTGACTGGTGGTGAAGACAACCGAAAGTTGATCTGGTAGAAACGACTGACGGCAGAAACGTTGATACTGCTGGGGGCTTGGACGTAGATATATAGACAGCCTGCATCAGGACTGGCCGAGCTAGGGCATGGTAGACGGGATCTACTTTTTGACAGAGTTGAGATACAGGGCCAGTAGGGCAGAGGTGTTGAACTCCGCCAGCCTCATCCGGGAGACCGGGGGGGTGGGCTTAGTCAAGGGATGGCCTCCAACACCGCAGAAAGTGAAGAGACAAAATTCATTGCCCATGGTCATCAATTATGCCGCCCGCTCAAGATGGTTCTTGGGCTGGTGGGCGTTTCGGTATTCATCAAGAAAGACCCTTCCTTCCTTGCCTTGGGACTGGAGTCGACCCCGAGGGGTGCGCAGAGGCGTGTGTGGAAGACGACGCAAAGAGGAAAAAGGAAAAAAAAAGGGAATAAAAAGAAAACGAACGAGGCGTTTGCGTGCCTGGGGCGTGCACTCTAGAGTTGATGAAGGTTTGTGGGCGGTCCCCGACCCATGGTCTAGCGGAAAAGGGTCAGTCGAATGAACGAGTATCCAAAAGTAGCGGTACCTCGTTCACCAGGCCGCCTTGGCGGAAGTCGGCAGGCAAGAACGAACCTTGGAAGGAAGGTGCAAAGGCGTACTCCGTACGGCGTACCGTACCGTGTACCCTGGCGGTTGGCGTTTGTGGTCCGGCCTGGTGTGGTCCCGTGGGAACGGTACATGTTCCTGCTACAAAGGTCGAGAAACGAGCAACCCGGCAGGCTCAGAACCGCCTGCCCATGAATGATGACTGGCCGCCCAAGCGATGCGCGGCGACCCCATCGGAGGTGAACGGGTTGACGGGGCCGCGCCTGGGGTCTCCCGGCATGACAGACTCTCGCTCTCGCTCTCCCTCGCACTCACACACCAGACAGAGCACCCACCAGCGAACCAGCAGGGGTATCGGACGTGCTAAACCTAAACGGTGGACTCGCGCCCGTCAGAGTCCCCCCCCAAATCCCCCACAAGCCGCCGTTCTGTAGGCAGTTGCAGTCTGGTTGCTGTCTCAGACACGCAGGCAAGCTTACTACGTACTACAATGATACCACTCACTCCTTCGGGGTTCGTCTTTTGTACGGAGTACCGAATAACCATTCATTCAGACCACCACTTGAATGCTTAGAGACGCGTCGAGATGCACATACTCTCTGACTCCGTACCAGGTGGCAGGTTTGGACGCGCCAAATAGAGACAGACGATGCCTACGGAGGGTCTCTTCTCGCCGCAGGGAGTGACAGTTGACATCTTGATGTCAACGTGTTGTGGCGGCTCGTGGCTCGTAAAGTCGTGGCTCAAGCAGATAACTCGACCTTGACCTGACCCGGCCATTGGTAGTGGACCTATCACCGGAGCTATGGTGGATACCAAATTTTAAAAGGCACCACTTAGGGTTGGGGTTAGGGTTGTCGGAGAAATGGACTAATTACATTTAGCAAGATGAATGGTCAGGTCAGCTTAGCGTTGCAAACATTTACGGGCACGGGCACGGGCACGGGCCGTTGTCATCGCCGAACGATTGCTCTCATCTCACAAGTGCCGTGCTCCGTACAAGATTTGCAAGTCCCATGCCAGGCCGGGCCGGCGCCATCTCAGCACCAGATAAGCATTGTGCGCAGGGCAAGCGCTCAAGAAACACATGGCAGCCAATACAGTCTAGACATCCAACCAGTTCCCAACAAACCCTACCTACACACTGTCTGTGATGAGGCAGCAGGTCTGCGGGACCCTCGACTGAAGTCTTGAACTACGTTTGCCGCCCTGGGCCTCAACCCCGAGTACAGAGTAACAAAGGTTCGTCACTGCCGGGGACGGGGATTGCAGGCCAACTGAGCCACCATGAGATCCCAGACGCTTCAGAGCTCGGTATGTACCAATTGTACAGCGTAACAGGGTCCGTAGGCAGTACGATGTAGTTATTTGGCGGCGTTTGTTGGTCTCGGCATGCCTAGGACTGAGGATTTTCCCTCTTTCCAGCATTGATTCGTCGCGAGAGCCTCGAGTCTCCTGTCACGTATGGTTCGTGCGTTGTGATGGTCCCGTTTTACTTTTGCCTTGGTATCAGGGCCCCTCCTCCTTGTATAACAAAACCCAAGCACTCGATTTGGAAAGTGAATTGTGCCAGTGCGACTTGCTGCACGATGCTGCGCAGGCTAGCCTTGCCCGAGGCGTGAAAGACGAAAATGCATGTAGTTGCCTGGTTGACGATTGCCTCGATTGCGTCTTGGGTGATACTCCTGCCACGCTGGCAGTCAACAGGCTGCCCATGCCCATCCATGCCCAGGTTGCTTGTTTGGCGAGTCGTATCATGAGGTCAGGGCACGCGTCTTGCCGGTCTCCAATTTCGGCTTCCATCGTCAGAAGGGTGTCTTAGCTGCTGACGAATGCCACCGCTTCCCAGAGCCGTGAAACACACTCGCCGGTACTCCGTACTCCGCAGTGGTTAGTAATGCTCTCCGTGCAGGAGGAAGAATGTGAGAAGCGTCGGTGACCAAGCAAAGCGACTGGCTAGTCTGACCTTGGGATCCGTTCCGCCGTCCCCTATTACAAACACGCTTGACACTTGACACCCTCCTCTCCTCTGCCCTGGATCCCTGCCGGCCACGAAAAAGGTGGACAAACACGGCAAGGAAAAAGAAACGACTGCATTTGTGGATAGCCCAATGGCTTTGACACGGCGGCATGGAGCCCGAATTTGGAACCGACGGGCGCACAGCACACGCACAGCCCGTCAGGCAGTTCTTCGCTCTCCATATTTGGCTCGCGGGGTGATCCTCGGAGCGGGATCGGGATGGGGATGGGGATGGGGATGGGGATGGGCGTTGTTGATGACGGGTGGCGGACATTAGTTAGTTGGGGTTGAGGTGCGCGCTGCGGTGCTGGTCCGCTGTGCCGGTCTGGAGGTGATCAAGTCGTCAGTGGTGAGCGGCAGAGTGGCGAGTGGCGAGTGGTGAATGGTGAGTGGTGAGAGTGGTGGTGTCTGATAACTCCTCCACGACTAGCTAGTGTGGAGGAGGAGAGTGGGGAGAGGGCGGTGATTTCGACCAGAAGAGGACTAGTCGACATCTGCAACCCAGAACAATCGGAACTATGCCAGATTCGGGAATTCGTGTCCCGCAAAGGCGATTCGTCTGATGAAGTTTGCGACGGCCAGGGCGCATTTCTACGCCGGCAGCCTCGCGGGTCAAGTCAACGCATAATTGGGGTTTTGGCATGACTTTCAATCAACTGCCCGTATCAGAAGACGACGTCGGACAGTATGGAGAAGTCCATTGCATGATTTTGAATCTGGTGACCGAGCAAGGCGCACAGGAGTTGGATCCTTGGCTGCTCCCTCAAAACACGCCAAAGAGCAATATCAAATATTTGCTGACTGCAGTGGCCTCGTTGTTGCTCATCTCATTGCGAATGCATGTGCGGAGGGAGTCGCTCATTGTTAGCCATGTCCGAGGGCCTGTTTTCGTGTGTCATGGACAACATCTGAAGCCCGCATCCAGGTTGTCGCGCAGCAAAGTCAATTTCACGTCTGTATTTTTGCTTACTAGTCGGTACTCCGTACTCGGTAGCGTATCCTGTGCCCACGGTTGATGCCGCGTAGTAATACGTCACAACTCGCAAGGTCCGGCGTCATCAGTGTGGTCAGTATGTACAAGCCAGCCAGATCTGTCTGACCTTGAGGGGAAAGCAAGTACTCAATCACGCTGGCATGCAAGTCTGCTCGATGATGTTACTGACCAGGTTTTTGCGTGTACGTACCCACTGCGTACGGAGTACTATGCATGCACTCCGTATAATCCTACGGTATTATTAATCTCAATCTTTCGACCACCATCTCCTGACCGGGTTGAGTGCGGCCATAGGGCAGGCCAACCACGGCCCTGGGTGCGGAAGTTGCCTCGTGGCTTGCGAATGTGTTGCTTGGCCTGGGTCCACTGGAGGTGCCGGGGTCTTTCTCAAAGCGGCCTAGCCACATGCACACTCGCTTGCGGCTACCAACGTCAGTTAGCTTGAGCAGTGGAGGTGCCTCTGCGGCGGGGGCTGATTGGACGGGTCCGCAGAGGCGGGCTCTAATTTACCTTGGCGCGGAAGGAGGGGGCCCTGGTTAACTTTCCCGGCTCAACACCCTGCCGATGAGGCTCTGCGGGCGCCTAGTATGCCAATATGTACTGTACTTAAGTACTCCGTACCTAGGCCAGTTTCCTCTGGCAATGTCCGTTATCCGTTATCCGTTCTCCTGTCAGCGGCACACCAGTGGCAGCCCGTTCAGCCACTGAGGGGCCGCACCGCGGGGCCTGCGCATTTTGCATTCTACAGTGGGCGCACCGACTCGACAGTACCAATTGAATACTTTCGAATTACACACAGGAAA